ATAAAATAAGAAAAGGCATTCACGTAGAATCACTGAATCCATTCGAAAATTATTATCTTAGGGCAAGTTCTTAAACTCTGCGCTGGGATCATCGTTGGCATTGGAAACCTGAGTGGTTCCATCTAGTCCAGTCAATGAATGATTATAGAACGAAATGGCGGAGCCACAAATTTTGACTTTGGGACATTGTTCGGTCTAGTAAGGAGGTAAACACACTAAAAGTCCCCCCCCCCACTCCTAAGTGGTGAGCCAGATTTGGGGGAGGGTTCCTAGAAGGTCACTTTTTCGGGTTTTAGCTTATATCAGGAAAACTATCCATCGCATCAACAAAGAAGTTCTATACAAAATTGAAGCCGATGAAATTTTCAATATGATTTATTCTATACATTTTTTCGTTACCTTACTTAGTTTCCGAGATATCCGTCCTCAGCTACAAGATCATTGTTTCGTCGAGAACGTATGTTTTTAATAATGCCCATCTCTCTCTTTCGGCAAGGGTTCAGGATAATGGTTGTTTTTCTTACAACCCCATTAAAAATCTCCAGCTCTTTTTTTTTTTAACAGTTAATAGATAGCCTCCTATACATTTTTTTTTAAAGGTTCCTTTTCCTCAAATGATTTCTGAAGTTTTTTATTTAACAGTTGGGTAGCGTTCTCATTTAATTAGAAAAGGTATAAAGCAACTCTATAGATAAAAAGTACTTACGTACTTACAGTAATATAAAATTTTATTCAGTTTGTAATAGAAAGAGTATTAAGTACAGAAGTTATAGTGCCAATTTCATAAAAAGTGTTTCTTTATTTTTATTGCGTTAAAATTTTAAACAAAATCCTATTGTAGAAATTTTGTTTTTCTTATGTATTTTCCGAATTGATTATATCCTTCTTAATTTATCTCATTTATTGTTTTAAGAATACTTTTGTGCCTACCCCTCGAGATATTTCTTTCTCGTCGCTGAACCGCTTACAGATATCACTAGCTATCCGTCCTCGCTAATTTTGAAAATTAACGTCCAACAAAATTTTGACAAAGACGCTAATTTTCAAAATTACGTCGAAACTCTTTGTCGATGCGATGGATAGTTTTCCTAATAAAAGCGAAAATTCGAAAAAGTGACCTATTAGGCGCCCCCTTCCCCACACCACAAAGGAGTGAGGACTTTTGCTATGTTTACCTCCTTACTAATCCAAACAATGTCCCAAAATCAAAAATTGTGTCGCCGCCATTTTCTTCTATGTCCTCTTTTCAACTATTCATTGACTGGACTAATAGCTTTTGGGGCCGATATAAAGCCTTGTAATAATCTCACTGTTGTCATTTATCAAATTAATTTACATATTTATATTCAGTTTACTTTCTATCTATATTTATTTACCTTTTGACAAATTTAACAATTCAGTAGGTACATTTTATATTTAGTAATATAAGTATATAAATTATGTTTTTTTTTTTAAACTTTCCAGAAGTATTAATTATCTGCTGGAATCCATCAGTCGTTCATAAACTGCGATTGCCTTTATTGACTCTTTCTCCGCGAGTGGCAGTTTATAATACTTTCAACTTAATAATTTATTTGCGAATAATATATAGATATATTATTACCAAAAGCCTAGCCAGAATGGTAATTATTTTAAAAAGCGAGAGAAAGCTCAATAAATTTAAAAGACAGGGAGATTAATCTTTATCATGTAACTAATTTCTTTCAGAATGATTAAATAATAAAACCAACCTCTTTCCAATAATAATTTTTCAGAAATTTATTTAGTTATATTTATTGCTACTTTTTAAATTTGTATACCGTTGCATGCAGCTTCTCCTCTCAACTTCCTCTAGATTCGCATGTATATTACACTAACGGTTAACAATTGAAATTTATTTCTCTATTCAGTAATACTTGCTTTCAAGGAAACCATACGTCTGGCACGCTATTCAATATAAGCCTATGATTAAGGTCGTTAAAGCCATTTAACGTAATCATTATCATTAAGACTAATTGGCATTGGTAAAATATGCAAGAGGTTCCTTAACGAAAATCTAAATAAAACATGAATAAAAAAGTGAGTTAGAAATTGACAGGAAAACATTTTTTTTTTACTTACCCTATTTCAGACTAAATTAGATTCTCTACTTCCAACAATATTATACACGGGCGGATCTACGGGGGGGGGGGACTTTCGGACTGAAGCCCCCTCAAAATGGAAAAATATAACCATGTTTTATGGGGAAAATTTAAAAAAAAATACCTCTTAAAGTATTATTGTTCGTGTAATTACATTTAAAAGTACTTAAGGAATAACTTAAACACCATTTCATATAGGTAGTTAGTTTCTTTCTGTTATTCCAAAGTAATTATCGTTATTTTTATGAAAAAAAGGTTTCGGGCTGAAGCCCCCCCAAAATTAAATCCTGGATCCGCTAGTGATATTATATATATGTGCATGCTATGAATAACAGTTTCTTTGAGTATTTAAATAAAGTCCGTTTGTTAATTACATTTTTAATTTTAAAATCATTCATTACTCACATATTAAGCTTCCTATTTTATCATCGATGTTTAATTATACGATATTCATGACGATTAATTAATGTCAAACTTTCACAAAAATAACTTGGAACATTGATGACTGTTGTTTAAATTGATTTTAAAATGCGTAGATTGTTTACGATGAGGACTAAAATGAATGAAAGAATACAATCACAACACAAACAATACTAGATTAAACCAGGTCAAATCGCTTGCAAACGAATCCAATTCTTGATTCGCGACCTCAGAAAAGAACCTTGAACTTGATCTCTGTTTGGCAATGTTGTTTATAAATAGCCACCGTTGGAAGAGAAAGTGAACGCCCTCAACGTAATGTGCTCGGTGTACAGATAAATTAAAAAGTTCCTTTACCTTTTTGCTTGTTTGGGACTTTTAAAAGGTCAAATGAACCACTATCACTGGGAAAAATGGCTAAATAAAAAGCTATAGTTTTCATTACCGAATGTTTTTAAAATGTCACCGTGTACATTTGCCACCACTAACCTCATACATCAAGCTGCTTAAAGATTCACTACTTGAAACTAATCGAAACGTGACAGCTTTTAGCCTTGTCGGGGATGGGATAGTACGTACGTATCTCTAAAATACATAATATTAGTGGAACAAGTAAATAAAAGTTGTGTTTTCCCATTGACCCCCACCTTCTATTTAATTTTAAACTTTAGCTAATTTAACTAACAGGGTTGAGTTTCTTTATTTATGTAGATTACAGCGAAAATAAAATATGGTTATTTACAGTTAAAATAATTACATAGATGGTTATTTATAATCTAGTTTGACAAAGTTATTTAATGTAAATGTTTTAAAATTATTTCGGTTTGAGGTATTTTTCGAAACAAATAAGTACAGTATCTTTTCTTTATGTTCAATACAATTGTTAAAACTAAATTTGAGAGCATGTCCAGTTATAGGAAATATTAGTACACACCGAGAAATGGTTCCTACATTCATACATAAAAAAAAATTAAAAATATATTTAAATATCTTTAGATGATGATGGCGAGTCAAATTAATACGAATTTATCTTTAACAATGACTCATAAAAAATTAATAGAAGTCAATTTGGCGGTGGATATCGAAGCTTTTTTTAAATCGCAGTCTTGGTAAAAATTTTATTTAAAAACATTTATTTTTCTTAACAAAAAAGAAAAAAGATTCGAAGTAAAACAAATTGTAGACAGTATTACATTTTTTTCAAGTTAAGTAGAATGACAGTAAAAAGTAGAAAAGTTACAAGAAAAGTGATGAACTACCAGCTCAAACCAAGCAATTTCACAAAACCTACAAATCGAAATTCCCCAATATAACTATTCAACAAAAATAATGAAAAATTTATATTTATATTAACTGAAAATTTCTCACGACTTCACAAAGGTATCAATAAAACAGTTTATGTGGTGTTTAGTTCTAAAAAAAAAAAAAAAAAAAATAGCCGATGTCGCGAGTTTTTCCTTATTCGTCCCACTGTGCGCCATGTTAGAGAGGCACAGTGTTTTATATTAAAATAAAAAGTAGAGAAAAAGGGAAAAAATAGAGTTGAAAACCAAATGATAACGAGTGTTATAAAAAATAAATTTTTAATTTATTAGTCTGTGGTACAGACACCTTTTTTATCGAATTATTAACACCTGGCTGAAACTTTGTAAATAGCTTCATCTCATCGTAACCTACAACTATTTTATTTACGAAATACTCGGAATTGGGACGTTTTCAATCTGGAAGTCGTCAAACTTTGTCTATTTAATTAGGTTCTAAAAACTCGTAAACACCGATTTGTTTTCCACTTAATTCGTAAAATAACTTAAGCAAAGTCAAGAAAAAAGTTGGCCTTCAAAAATACTGAGCCGTTTGGCGTGACCTACAGCCCAAAATTGTCTAAATAACGAGGTTATATAGGGCGAACGGCTCAATATTTTTTAAGGCCACCTTTTTTCTTGACTTTGTGCTCAAGTTATCTTACGATTCAAGAGGAAAGCAAATGGGTATTTACGAGTTTTTAGTATCTAATTAAATAGACAAAGTTCGTCGACCTCCAGATTGAAAATGCCCCAATTTCGAGAATTTTCATAAATAAAATATTTGTAGGTTACGATGAGATGAAACTTTACAAAATTTCAGACGGATGTTGATAATTTGATAAAAAGGTGTCTGTATCATGGACTATATATTTTCTAAATAATAAATATTAACTAGTAGAATGAAAGTTGTGCAGTGAATTTATTGAATATACAAGCAGTTGATGAATCAATCATAAACAATATTGTAACTGATTTTTTTTTTGTTAAATTTATTTTATTCTTTCAATAACATCATGAGAGAATAGAATAATGATTAAAAAAATCAGTTACGCGGTTACAATAAAGAGTTGGCATATGATCAATATACTATGTAAGTTATGTAAGATTAATTAGAGGTAATATTCCAAAGAGGTAATAAAAAAAACTTACAACATACCAGTAACAAAGACGTAAATCTCAACGTAAGAAAGAGCCACCAACCTTCTGTGGCGGAGGCTGGATGCCGACTGCCTGATTCCTCTCTACCCTTCCCCAAGTACTTTCAGCACTGGAGGAAACAAACAGCATTCTTTCTTGTTTTGTTTTTTTAAAGGAATAATAAACAACAAACATTTAAGTAGAGGTTGATTTAAAATAAATTATTTATAATCCAATCACAATTTGTTATCATAGAGGCATAATTAGGTCAAAAAGATAAATATACTATATTTAATAGTCCTAGTTAATATGACCAATTAAAAATATGGCCAACTATAAATCTAATGATTACATGACCTTGCAGAGTTATTATTCGTAGGTGTAAAAATATTTTTCTGTGAAAAAAAATAAGTTATTCTGAATTGAATAAGATAATGTTAGATAATAGAGGATTCCTTAGAAATCAAGGTATCTGAAATATTTGATAAACAATTCTTTAGAGTAAATTATTATTTTTCAGAATACAAGTTTTCTCTTAAGCTAATGCAATTGTTAATTAATCATTATTATATAACTATTACTTTCAGTAAATCTGAGGGATGGAATTATTATGCTCAAGCTATCTCCTTAAAGTGATTCAACTTTCCGTTTACAAGAAAACAGAAAGAAAAAGAAACTGTAAACATTATTTACAAATGGATCAAGGATTTAACTTTTTTTTTTTTGTGGGAGGCTTAAGCCCAAAAGCTTTTTTTTTTATATATATATAAAACGATATTTACTTTGAAAGAAAAAGAAAGAAACTAACTACCTTTATGAAATGATGTTTAATCATAAGACATGATTATATTTTAACATTTTGGGGAGAGCTTCACCCTGAAAGCCGCTCCCCACTATAGATCCGGCTGTGATTATCATTAAACCTTTCATAAATATATATAATTTTCTAGAATATATGTATTTTTCTATAATATCTATATGTTTGAATAAGTCTATAACTAAAATCATCCCTCAACATTCCATCAGTTCATTTTAAAGATAATCAAATTATCTGAAACACTAAATTTTAATTAAATATATTAATCATGATATAATATTGGCAGCCGAAGATGCATCTAAAAAAATTTATATTGGGCTCTGCTCGGCATCCAAACTAGTAAGAAAAAACATTTAAGTGGAAATCTTACTTAATCATAAGCATAATTGACAATTTTCCAAGCATAATGGGACAATACAGCACATCTCAAAATTTCAAGATTGTCTAAACATTGTTTGAATTAATTATATCCTAAAGCACAGGAAACACACATTGTTCATGAATTAATTTCAAGAATAATAGTTTGTTTTTTTTCCCCCGACTAACCAGTAGTTCTCATTGCTTTATTTCAGCTGTTTGAGGGTAGACTATTTTCAGCTTATTTTTATAGCTGTAAGTAGATTAATTAGGCAATGGATGTGTTGTCTACTACAATCATGGATTTTTTTTTCAAAAATAGAAATAATAATTTACTTCTAACTTCATAAAAAAGGCTTTTTAAAATTAATAAGCTACTCACTCTTTTTTCACTTATCCATATTTTGTTTAATTTCTGATTTTAATTAGAACATATCTCTTTTATATATGATATTTAGTTTGAATTATAATAGTAAATATACCAACATTTTATATTTAAAAATAAAAATACCAAGTTGGTAATGGATTTTTAATTAGAGAACATAAGTTGTAACGGAAAAAACAATCTATAATTTATTATTTAAGGATTCTTCAATAGCCTTTTTTATATTAAGAATGTTTCTCAAACAGACTATTTAATAATCTAAAAATGCTTTTTTTTTAAATAAAGTAAAATTTATTGATATTAAGTATAAAATTATTAGGAACATTTAATCAGTAATCTCCTACAATAAACTAATTTATCCTATGTTGAAATACAGACAACCATAATACTATAGTTTAATTTACAATAAAAAGTAAGAGCACAAATGTCAAATCTCATTTTTTCACTAATTACTTTCCACTTTCTAACATCAAATGCATTTAATCCTTCCAATCTAAAGTCCTCCGATCAGTCGATGCTCCCTTCTATGTATCCAATGTATTATTTTATTTTTCTATATTATCACTATCTTAGTTATTATTTGATGTACATATTGTGTGAATGATTAATGTTGTCTTAATATTAAGGCCCTTCAATGTGGCAGAATGTATTAATATTCAATAAAAAAAAAAATTACTTTCCTATTTTTGAACCAACTAGTAACAAACAATTTACTAAAACCCAGCATGGTCTAACTAAATTATTTAAAAAACGATTTTAAATAATTTATTTAGACCTTTTATATACAAGCTTATGGATGATAAATAATAAAAACGTACAAAGGATTCACAGATGTTTTCACACACATTGTAAAGAAATTTTTGACTAAAGAGTTGTGGTGTGTTTCAGAATTATAATCTATTAAGGGTGTAGAGATGGTTGACCGTGATTATAATATTTATTTGACCGCAATCCCCGACGAACTCCTCAAATAATCATCAATAATTAATTTAGCCTGCAGTTGATTGGAAAGATAACCAAGGAATTGAATGCAAAATCAGCGAAAATTATAGAAAACTGGTGAGATGAACAAATGAAACCATAAACACCGGACAAAAACCGGACAATAAAAAAAAAAACAAGTACCCATGACCTTGGGTTCAAACAGGATTCACCATAATTTTAAGAAACAGAGTTAAGTTACAATTTATTATAACATGAATATTTTATTATTTAGACTTACGATTTTGTTTGTACAATACCTTGGAATGGTGAACTCAAATTTGCCTGCATCTCCTGGTTTAATTGTACCTCTTATTAATATCCTCTAGTGTCTCTAAAGTTCATTTAAAATACAAACTAACCAACCAACTTTATACGTTAACATTGTGGTATTAGCATGAGCCTAATCAAAAGAAGAATCAGATTGATTTATGGTAAAGAAGTCAAGAAATTTTGGTGATTCAAAAAACAGACTCATTCAAGATTGTTCCTGGACAGATTCTGGGCAAAGAGAAATCATCTGCTAATTAACCTGCACAGGAATTCTCTTAAGAAAATTATAGCGATTTGTAAACTGAATCATCATATGTTCTAACACGAGCTAACGGAGTCACCTCGCTGTAGGTTCTATGGCTGGGAGGATGAAACTGCTTATCACATCACCTGTTGGTGCGACAGATTCGCCGGAATAAGATTTCTGTTATTTGGGAATGACAGATTGTTAGAGTCCAAGTACAATGAGCTTGTCAATCCAAAAATTCTTCTTAAATTTGCTCATACTTCTGGCATAATGTTCTGATGAAGAGCAACGGTGAAATTAGGGTGCACAATAGGTCTTTGTGCACGGCCTGAGTGCATTTTGCCACAAAAAAAAAATCAACATTTCGCCAATTCAGGCATCATCAGAATAGGAAAAATAAGATCACATCACTCCATGACATCCAAACACAACTTTATTTTATTTAACAATGTTATTAAATATTACTATAACATTGAAACGATTATGAACATTCAAACAATTTATCAAATAGCTTAGTGGAAAATGGTGGTCACTAAATAGAACACTATATCTAAAGAGGTATTAAAAGAAATAGAGACCAGTTTGAGATCTTTTTTTTTTTTTTTTTTGTTCTTCCCTACCTCGCCTTTTAGGCTATACGGGATTTTCCCGGGCCGGGGGGTGAGGGCGGGGAAATTTAAAATCCCCTCCGGCACCGGGACGCGAACTCGTACTTTTTATATCATCTCAAATCTCTGTTATCCGGTTGCCAGGCAACTAGCGGTGCTGTTACACACGCTTTAGCCTATTCGGCCACCCCGCCCCCTCCACCAGTTTGAGATCACAGGCCATAGTTTTTTTCTTTTGTGTCTTGGGCTTAACATAAAAAAACTAAGTCGACACAGATGGTTTGATAACAGAGGACCTCCCCTACTATCTCGTTTTCTTTAATAAAAGCTGTAAGTTCAGAATATTGAGCTATATAACTTACTTCTTGCATGAACTGACTAAATTTAAAAGAAATTACTTAAATCAGGGGTCTCCGAACTACGGCCCACAAGCACCTTCAGTCCAGCCTGCGAAAGTTTCTTTAATTACATCATAAAATTTTAAGAAATATTTTTAAAAAAGTATAAAATTTAGCTAATAACTCACACAAGAGATTACTACAACATTTTTAGCATGTTTTTTTTTTCTTAGAAAGCTTATTTCGCATCATTTAGGGAACAAGATTTTTTTTTCTTCACTAGCCATGGCCCGCAGGACTTGATTGGAGGTCTCAATGCAGCCTGTGAGACATTAAGAAGGTATCAATCCGGCCTGTGGTACAAAAAGGTTGGAAACCCCTGATTTAAAAAAGTGGTATTCAAAGTTCATGCAAAAGTTTTGAAAACTTTCTCTTGCATCTGTATGAATTTATAATATTACCGTCAATTCACTAGTTTCAGTAACCTTATTATTTCCAGGTGTGAATAAAAATCGATCTTTTTTATTAAACTAAAGGCGTTATCAACTTACTGCACGAACATATGTCCTGGAACTGATTATTTCATTGTCACCGAAATGACATGATTATCTCATAAAAGATCCAGTATTGCATTAGACATAATAGAATTTTGGTTCACACCAGATGCGCTCGTGAGCCTAACTCACTAACATTCTCCTCTATGAATACATCTGGTATTCTACTAAGCGTACTCGCTATATTATTGCCTGCAAACCCTGGCAACACCTCAGACCAAATGGCACAATATAAATTCTTCATAGCAGTATATGCTGTTAGATTGTACACATTCAATTTTCTTGAATAGAAAAATGAAGTAATATTGACATTAGGCCATACATTCTGAAGATCAAAAAGCAATAAAGGATTGCTGCCCTCTTAGGTATTTTTATTTGTTTTCTCGTGGCTTTTTTTCAGAAAGATCTTCTGGAAATTCCTGCTTGAATTCTTCTTCAGTCAAAGTAGAAGTTTGCTTAGCCATTCCACACTTTTCACAGAGGCCAAAACTATCAAATTTTGGTACATGAAATCCTAAATTAAATTCAGTAGAAAATATTTTGTAGTACATCGATTTTTTCACTGGCACAATTAAATTATTCTTCTTGTTGCATTTCTCAAGATATAGATCGAACATTTTTGAAACATTTAAATCTGAACCTAAATATTTCCTGCCCGGGGCTGCCTTACAATAATGGGTCTCTGTTACAGGAAATGAACGTATGTGTTCTTTAACAAACTCAATATCTCCAACAGGCTTCCGTCTCGAATGTTCACTCTTGCCTCTCATATCTTGTGAAGGAATATTTGTTTCAGTTATTTTTGTAGCATGAGCTGTATATACTGGTTTTTGTGAAATAGCCAAAGTTCCAAGATAAAACTTTTTACAAACTTGGACTTTCTCTCCATTTACATAAAAAAAATATGCAAATGAGTACATCCTTCTAGAAGACTCCTCAACAGTTGCCCTTTTAGGCCTTGCAGTTAAATAACGTACAGTTGTATCTAATAAAAAATGTCTTTTTTCATTTAAACTTAGTGCATAATAACTGTTATGAAGTGCATTGCGTGCATTTTCATTTATTTTGCTTGCACATTTCAATCTGCACGCAACCAGACAATTTTTAAATGTTTTTACTTGCTTTGCAGGAACATCTTGTCCCCTCCGATTAATATAGGCTTCACCTGATTGGTATTTCCTGCTTTGAACATTGCATTTCCAAGACTCCGGATTTGGCACTATTTTCCACACTTTCTTTTTTTGTGTGGTGTCTTGATTATTTCTGAAATTAAAGTAAAACTAACTTGTAAAATATATGCATAAAATTAATTTCTGGAAGCAAAACTAATTGGTGAAGAATTATTTTGTTGTCAAACAACAGAAATACCACTAACTAATTTAGGTTAGATTTGACATTGAAGTGATAAAAATAAACCAAATACCTCCTTAGGGTTGATTCTCCACTATCATTAGCCACCGATGAAAGGAGTGGAATGCCATTACAAAAGATAGAACACTTAAATAGCTTATTCATTGCGATATTAGTAACCATTAACTATAAAGTTTAAACATAAAATATAATTTTAATCTTAATCATCTTCTTTCATATAAAAATGCTTTGAGTGCATTTTTCACAAAGAACAGAGAATGGCTAATTGTATAAATGATTTAATTTCATGTTTATCTCCCACTAAACAACCTTGTAACCTACCAAGTAGGTGGAATCTTGTCAAACTAATTACTTTCAAAAGTTCTCACCAGATAGAACTAGGTCACAACAATAGTTCTATTTTCCATCAGATGATTTTGAAATTCATTTGTGAATGGCTATGACATTTCTTTAACTTCTCCTGATATCCTATTTATTATGAGATGTAAAGAAACAATCCTTTTAGTAATTCACAGCAGCCATAACAGAAAAAAATATTGAAAATTATATACAATAATTATTGAAAATTTATTTTCCCTTTAAAACAATTTCGTAAATATCCAGTAACAATTTTTTTCTTTTTCCTTTAATATTGAAAATATATTTACTTTAATTTTATCTCAAACCCAATAAAATTTATTAAACTAATTTATAAATATACTATACTGATTTATAAAAATATATTTGAAGAATAAAACAACTAGATGAAAAACATTTTTAATTAACTTTTCAAGCTCTAATTACTTCTTTTGTCAAACTAAATTTTATTATAGAATGTTAATTAAATGGAAGTGAAATTGGGAGTGAGTACACAAAAATAGAGACAGTATTCATTAACTTTATTTATGAAATTCTAAACAAAAATTACCTAATTTTCCAAAATAATTTGTTGAGACTGATAACAATAAAGTAATAGTAAAATTGTCAAATTCCATTAGTTTCTACAACAAGAAAGCTACTTAGATAGCTACTAATTCATTTAACAGGCTGACTGCTGAAGCTATAGCATACGCGTTGCTGAAATAATTTCAAATTTAAAGGAGACTTCCTACCCAAAGCCAAGTAAAAATAATCAATTAAAAAAAATACATAAACAAGTATAAAATACTAAATAAAAACTATTTGTTGGTAATGAAAAATTCCTACATACTCGTAAATAAAATAAAATAAATCAATAAAAATAAAAACAAATATTCAGTTAAGTTCTTTTTAATTTAAAAATAAGTAACCTTTCATCTTCTTATTTACAACTATTATAGGGTAATGAAGAGATCAATTAATAGATGGATCAGGTTTATGTGCTTAGCAGTAGCGCCACACCCGCCACGGTCCATTTGGCCGGTTTGGCCTTAGTTTTCAGGTTGAAGGTCCATACAAACGTAGGCCCTCTCTGCCTTGTCTTGTACACCGGACATTCGTATATGTTCTTTGTATCCTGTTTGTCTTGAGTGACCGCTTTGACATGGATCACTGGCATGGAAGGAAACAGGTCCTTGATGATGGCATCGGTGAGCACGCCCAACGTGATGTCCCAACGAGCTCCTTCGCAGTACAAGTTACTGATGTAAGCTCCTTCACGTGGAGCAGCACTAAAACCGATCATTTTAAATTAATTATTTTGTTTCTAAAAAAGTTAATTAATTAATAATCAGCAAATAGGATCCTTTCTTTTATTCCAAAAACAAAAAAGCAAAAAATTCTTTATCAACAATAAAAAACCTTTATTAAATTATATTACATATTTATTTATTATTAATGTTTCAGATTTTTTTTTGTTGCCATTTTAATATAAAATTTTTTATTTTTTAAAAACATTTAGGTTTATTTAGACAAGATCTTCTATTTGGCCACTCTTAGGTGGTATAAAAATAGAAAAAAATTGACTAAATGAAAAAATAATTTTTTTTTAATATATAAAACCAAAAATATTTTTTTTTATAATAAAATAGTAAATGGTTTATAACTGTGATGATGTGTTTGAAAGTGACCAAAAAAAGGCTGAAACGTTACAAATAAATAAATATGTGATATAAAAAATAGTAAATAATTTTATTGTTTTGCAGGTAGATTGAGTAGGGATTTTAGAGTAATAAATTGCTAGATTATTATGCCTGTAAATTGCTTTGTATCTTTTTTGGGGTTGAAAGATAGAACTTATTTCTTGATTATTAATTAACTTTATGAGAAAAATATTTTTATACAATGTTATGCACCTACACACACACAGAGTAACCAAATAAGAGGGAACAACCATTAATATTTCCTATAGATAGATTAGATATTTTTTTTTAATTATAAAAATTTATATGAAGAAAATTACTAACGTCATTTCTTCTTTGATTTTCCTGGTCACATCGCACTGCAAACACATTTTGTCTAAAGGCCATTCGTTCTTCCTGGCGGTGCTCTGCATGATTGCAGTCAAAAATGATTGAGGATTAAAGAACCCGCCGAGCCAAACCGTTGTAGGAAGCTATAACAAAATAATTTTAATATATTGTAATGTAATGAATTTATGGAAAATTATTAATTTGCAATATTTATTTTACTATTAACAATGATTTATTGAATTTAAAGTATTGTAATTACTATGAAATTAAATTTAATAATATAATAGTTATTAGGTAATGTTAGACTGTTGAACACGTTCTTCACCAATGACAGTCTCTGTAGAAATTATTTTATTTTAAACCTTGACACTAGAGAAGCTTTTGGTGTACCTGCCAACATATTTATCTCTATAATTACGAAACAACAATACATAATAAAATTAACAATTTATTTGAAATAATTTTATAATTGTCATACAAACTAATATCATGCTTTTATCTTAACCTTTTCTATTTAAAAAAATAAATTATTTAAATATTATTCATTGCCTGGTCTTATTAAAATTTTGAAATAATTAAATTAAATAAATAAAATTAAGAATATTTTACTGACATCTTATGGAACAGTAACTCCTCTTTCTCGGACACCATCTTACTAATATAAGTGCTGAACATTGACCGTCAGCAGCATCTGTATTACAGGAACTTATAGCAACTTAAAGGTAGAGAATGATATTAGTTTGCATGACAATTATAAAATTATTTAATATAAATATTGGAAATTTATACTAATTAATTATTTTTTAGAATATTTGAAAATGGCAATAACGCCGAAATGTTATGATAAAAAGAAAATAACGACTTCTTGTTAAAAGGTTGAAATAAAATTTTTTGGGGAATAATGTGGTAGTATTTTATAAAATATAATTTTTTTTTATTATATGTAATAATTAAAATTGTATATTATCAGAAACAAAAATTAATAAATTGTTAAATTTATCTTTATTATTTATTAAAATTATCTGAAAAACAGAAGAATGTTTTCATCATACTGGTATATTTTTTTTAAATATTATTTTATTACAATATATCTAGAAAATTTGATTTTTATTCAATGTCAAAAAATGCAAACCTGAAAATCTCCAACCCAGATTTCAAGATCTTTAAGACGATTCGTCAAATCAGAGAACCATGCACTCAGCCCAAGCAGTGAAGGATACGCTCTATTAGCCCATGGAGTCGGGACTTTGTCCATGAACAAGTTAAATTCTAATGTTTCCATCTCACCACTGAATGTCAATTCTCCCTATGTGAAGACACATCAAAACATTGCAAAGTATTACACAGTGGTTTATTATTTCAAAATAGTTATATATCAAATGTAACACTTCTTTCGTTTTTGCTTGGAAGAAAAATAAATAAAAGGCGATTCCTTAATATTGACCAAAATAATTTTGTTTTTTTATCATTAGTAATTTGCTAAAAAATATAGACTATAATATCAATTTCTTCAGTTAATGTAAGACATTCCAAAAATAAAAAATGAAATCAGCTTCGGAGCATTAACTTGACGAACAACAATATCTTTGCACCAAATCGCCTGATTTCAACAATTTTTTTTTTTAATTTTTTAAACTTTTAAATAAACCTAAAATATTTAAAAACCACGATATCTTTACTTGCCAACCTTTGAAATACTAGATTATAAAATAATTGGTCCAGCAGCCACAGAGAAAAGCAGTGTACAGCTTGTGCACGGATTTTTTTTGTTCGCTTTTCAGATTCTACGTATCTTGAAACATAAAACCTCAAGTTTTGAGTGGGCTTTTTTTTCTTGGTCAATTATAAAGGTTTATTATTGAAGATAATAAATTATTAAGTGTTGAAACAGTAACAGTCATAAAGTGAGAACTTGCTATTTAAAAAAAAAAGAATAATTCTAAAGAATATATCATGAGTAATAAAACTTTTTACTTGAAAAAAAGTAAATACCACAATATTCATTTTTGTTGTGTTTTTTTTTACAGTATTTTTATTATGGTTAAAATCACCTTAAGCCCAAGACGCAATTCATCTAATGACCTTTTTATTTCTTTCATAAGAATATTCATTCGCTCGCACTCTTGGAAAGCGACAATGGTGTATGGGCTCCGATCTTCAACTCTGGCCATCATATCTGTAATATTGAATGGTTCTGGCACTCTATCGAGTATATCGGACAATAAAGTGCTCACCTAGAAGTAATTTCAACAAGGATTATTAACATAGATAGGTAATTTGACACAAACACAATTTATTACATTTTATACCTTTTCCTCACGTGTCTGTCCACCAGATGCAGCAGCCCCTGTTTCTCTTGGTTGCAGTTCCAAAATCATTTGGAACAAGTTTTCAGACTGCGTTGTCAAAAAACCAATTTCAGCATTTGGATGAAGACCATAGAGTACAGGGCTTTCTTGAGGTAACATTGCATCGATGTACATGTGATAACCTGCATAGTCTGAGTTAGGAGGCGCTGGGAACTGTGGCGCGTAATAAAGCTCTGCCTCAACCTAATAGGATAATTTTAGAGGAAACTTTGTAATAAATAAAAAAATAGATACAATAAAAAAATGAGATAGTAGACTTTAAAGTTCTTTCAATGGTTTTAGAAATAGAATCATAATGTAATTAATAATACTGTCGGTTTATTGTAAAAATCATTAAAACTTTGATTAATTTTCTCTATATGAAATAAGGAAATCGTCTTCTTGTTACTATATTTGATATATAAAAGGGTTCAAGTCATTTAAGTGCACTTAATGTTTTTTTTGATAAATAAGGTGAGATTCACAAAAACATTTTTACAAGTTCAGCTGTATCAAAAATGTACACTTTAAAATAAACTGACAATATAGTAATAAGCATTGGTATTTTGAAACTAATGAATTGTTTCATCTTCGGAGTCCCCAGAGCTTCCATGTCATCAGTTGGTAGGCTTAATGAAAATGACTATCCTATTTTTCTATGGCAATACTTTCTAGGTGTATTTTCCAATTCTTTAGGACCAAAACGTCTCATCAAATTCGCAAAACATCCATCCTATATTCCTCTGTCCTCTCTTTAAACATAATATCCCAATAAATGAATTTGTGTATTCCTTCTTATTGAACTGCATCCTTAAAAAAAATCTTTTATCATGCGTACTATCTCGCTTTGAAATTCTTAACCTACCTTCATTTGTAAAACCCCAACTTCATTTAAATAATGTCAATTATTGCTCTAACTCCTCAACTATCAATCTTTCATTTATATGTAACAACTTTCTTTTCTTGGTTTTCTTCGGTTCCCACATTTATTTCATATTTGTTATATTTTCTAATGCCATTGAGTTTTAATTTACACGTGGAGTTTCTTCATTTTAATTCTTAAGTCCCTGTACCTCTATTATCCATATTTATAATTCTGATCAAATTTAGGATTAAATTTGTTGTTATATCAATATTGTATAATACAGATCTATTATCAGATAAATATCTTCCCTTTAGTTTTATCCTCTCATATCATTCTTAATCATTAATGAATACAGTATTATTTTAAGGTGATATACTGAATGAATCAGAGAAAATTTCACAACAGCAATGCTGTAAATGAGTTATAGCCTCTTTGTTAATAAAAAAAAATATTTTAATATGCAGGAAATAATTAATAATGTGCAGTGCTGTGATAACTAATTAAGGTGCTACGCCTTGCAACCAATTATAAATTAACCTACCAATTCCGGGCACATGTATTCCTCTAGATATGTCCTACACAACCTCCGATCCCAGTCGTCAGTGATATGACCACCGTACATGATTTCCCCAAACAGATACCTCAGATCTTCCCAAGGTATCTTGGCATTGTTTTCAAGGTAATTATACAAAACTTGGACACTAATTGTCAGGTCACCTATAGATTATAAATTCATCATAAGTTTATAAATTAAGACAAATTAATAAAAATAAGCTGGAAATTATTTCACAATGGTTTATTATTCCCAACAATTATACATCTAAAGTAACATTACCTTTCTAGTGTCAAATTAAAAGAAATAAAAAGACAATTACAATTATTTGCCTAAAAATTTGTTTTCATCATTAGTAATTTACTAAAAAAAAAAAAAAGCATTACTTCAGTAACACATTCAAAAATCAAAATCCAAAACAAAGGATTTGCAGTAGAACATAAAAAACATCTAGATACCATATCTTTGCTCCTAATTGTCCGATTTTAACGATTTTTTTAGGAAATTCTATAAACTTTTAAAAAACCATATACAATATTGACAAAAAAGTGTATACTTTTTTAGTTATTCGGAATCTAATTTTATCATCCCTCATAACTTTTTTTCCAGCTCCTTTTTGTTGAAGTATGTTATACGGATAAATTTAAAGGGCATCAGGAAGAAGACTTTAGCCAAGTTTCATTGAAATCGGTACATTCGTTTAGGCACTACAGTCTATAGCAATGCAGGTTTTTCGGCCGCTATTTTGAAAGTAAAAGGCGAATAGTAATGTCGATGAAGGAAGATCATCCTCGGGTGACCTCTGATTTCAAAACCAAATTTGAAAAAAATCAGTGCAGTAGTTTCGGAGAAATGTGCGGACAGTGTACAGACAAAAATATTTTTATTCATTTTTCAAATTCTACATGCCCTGAAACATAAAACCTCAAATTTTGAGAGAGAGTTAACTTTTTGAATTTTTTGTTCGATTACAATGGTTCATTATTGAAAATAATAAACCAAAATGTTAATATAAAACTATGAAAATTTAATTTCTTTCTTAAGGCACCACATTTTGACTTCATATTTATCTCCAAACATTTTCTCAACACTTCCTTTCCCAGTCTTTCACAGTTTGTGTCGTTCAAATTCCTAGATTCAACTGAATAAGTAACAGCCATCCTAATCTGGATTTTTTATTGAACTTCAAAAGAGAACTTTAGCTTTAAGTGATATCAGGTTACTTACTGTTTATTAAATGTTATATTGTACAATAAATTTTGTTTCTTTTTAACAACATATTTAGATTCATTGGTGTCACTAGTCATCAAAGATCAAAGCCAGAGTTATCCAATAATTTTAATACCTATTTTGACCCTAACTGATTAAAATTTTTGATTAACATCAGAACTGAATACCATAACAGTGTGGCTGACCATAGTTATAATTTCAGAAGAAGTTGGTTGGGAGTATGCTGTCAATATGTAATACTATTTCATATAATAGTAATTGATATTGATTTCATATAATAATATACCACACCTCCCTCTTCCCATAAATTTCTTCTTAGAATTGAATATCCATCATTTCTTTATTTTTTTTTCTTTAAAAAAAAAATATATATTTTTTAATTTATATAAAACTGTATTTTTTAACAAAAAGTTCTTATTAAAAAGATAGTTTCCCTTTAGTGAAAAATATATCGCAACTTTGGCTCACTTGGACTCACCAAAAACATGTTTTAAATTACATTGAGGTCTCCTCTTTTTGTGGCCATGTAGACATAAACTCAAAATCTGAAAAGTGTAGCATCACCAGATGTAATTCCTGAGTACTTTGTTATGTTCCAGCTACTTATTTTTGTTTGGATACAATTACGGTAAGAGATTACGGTACTTTAAAAATGTTTTCAGTGATTTCTCATTTCATTTTGAAGTACATATAATCAATCAGAAATGATAAAAATATAACAGATGACTCACCGACGTTAAATGGATACGATCTATTCCAACCTTGTGGGCCAAACTTTCTTCTCTCGGCAACAACAGCATGAAAGTAGCAAAGCGAGAAAAGAATCGCCTTGAATTCAGCTTCTTTAGAACACATCTCCAATGTTGACTGGTTGAAATTATCCAATGCCTTGTGCAGATTAGCCATCATACCAGTTGGAGGTTCGTTGGTAATTTTAATTGAAGATTCCAATACACCCTATAATAAATAAATAAATTGAAGACAAGTTTGTTGTGGTGTTCAGTCAAAAAGTAACAAAGTAAAGATATAAATGAATTGTATTTATTTTTATTTTTACCACTTTAATTTATTTATTTGTACATTGTTACTTTTTAATTGAACACCTCAACAAACTTCTCTTCAATATATCTGCAACAGTCAATTATTTATTAACAACTATAAATAAATAAATGTTTCATTAACACCGATAAATGTAAGATGCAAGAATAGAAAGAGATGAGGAATGCCAACATTCCAAAATTTAGGATCTTGTATATTTAAATTTTTTTTTTTAATTGTTTTTTGTATATATCAAAGTTCTTTATCCTTCTAGAATAATATGGCTGCTTGTCCTAAAAATAAATAAAATCTAATTAATGATTGGAGTATTAATAGGCCGCTGCAGATCTAAAAGACAACTAATGATTTCTGAAATAGTAGGTGGTTAAATCAGCCATTTGTGTGAACAAGGACCAGAAATTGCCTATATAATATAATGCAGTCCATGGAAACAAACCTCTTTTTATCAAATTATTAAGGTCTGCCAGAAACTTCGTTAATAGCTTCATTCCATCATAACCTACAAATATATTATTTACAAAAATTCTTAGAATTGGGGCGTTTTCAATCTGGAGGTCAGCAAACTTTGTCTATTTAATTAGGTACTAAAAACTCATAAATACCTATTTGCTCTCCACTTGGATCGTTAGATAATTTTATCAAAATATCAAGAAAAAAGGTGGCCTACAAAAATATTGGGCTGTTTGGCCCATATAACCTCGTTATGTTATATTGTTTGTAATATGTCAACAACTATACCTTTTAACTCTTGTTGAAACTAGCTTAGCATTGTGTTTGCTATTGCACTGTGAATATGGAAGAAAATATCATTCGTTATTGACATATTTTGTTGTATTATTATTAAAAAGGTAAGCGTGCTGCAGAAGCTCATAGAAAATTTGCAGTATTTATGGGGATGATGCCTTAACCAAACACACCTGTCGAAATTGGTTTGCCTAATTTAATTCAGGAAATTTTGACATCAATGATGCTCAACAATCTGTCGCATTGAATTGAATATGAAATTCTAATGAGCAATGTTAAGGCCATTGTTGATCAAAATCCCACCGAATCAGTGCGAGAGATTGCTATGGCTCTAAATGTGTCACACACAAGTGTAGAAAACCAATCAAGCTCGGCTATGTTTCCAGGCTTAATGTTTGGGTCTCTCACGTGATTTTTTTTTTTTTTTTAAACACATAAAATGTTATAACTTCAATACGACTTTAGCTATCTACAAGAAATTGAGCAGTAATTTAGAACCATATGAACTACACAAAATGACATCAACAGGACCTTCATAAACATACTAAAAATAGGGATAAAAAATAAAAAGCTTTAAGGAGTTTTTGTTAATTTATCCCTTATATAGGCATTAAATAAAAAATCCATTCCATGGCTTTGAAGGGCAATAAATAATTCAGCTTTCTAACGGATATAGTAACATCCAATTTGGAGAACATCCTGAAGAGTTATGAATGATTAGAAGGATGTTATGTTCCCCACACCTCATTGTCACTAGCAATAAATTATTGAGCCATAGATGGGACTTTTTGCCCCATCCTCCCTATTCGCCAGACCTAGCTCCAAGTCTTGACTACCATTTATTCTGGTCTCTGTAGAACCCAATGAATGGAAAGAAATTCTAAAAGGAAGAGGAAATAAAAAACCACTTGGATCAGTTTTTTAACAATAAACTCCAGACATTCTATGAACATGGCATTATGCAGTTAGTGAAAAGATTTGACAAAGTCGTATAAAATAATGGTCAATATATTGCAGATTAAAATAAATTTTATATCTATACTACTTTGAGTTTTATTTCACCCTGAAAAATCGAAAGGACTCATTTGCCAACCCAATATTTTTAAATTTGCCACTTCAATTTATTAATTTTTATGTTGTTACTTTTTGCTGGTCTCTAGATTGAAAGTGCCCCAATTATGAGAATTTTAGTAAATAAAATAGTTGTAATTTACGATGAGATGAAGCTATTTACAAAGTTTCAAGTGGATGTTAATAATTTGATAAAAAGGAGTTTGTTCCACGGAATAATGAGATCAGTGTGCATCAGCTAGATACAGTCTTCTTGGCTCTAATAGAATACTAAAACAGAAGGCTTCCTCCATTAAATTGAGTTCACTATTGAACTCCATTCCCAATGAATTCAATCCTTTTTCGTATTTATAATAATAAATTATAAAGAATTAGGATGGCTCTTCTCTTCCTTCCGAAGACAATATTTCCTAGGCACATTCCTTTACCAAATAATCAATAGTCATCGTCCGTCCTACGCATACAATCTCCTACAATTCAAATCATCTATCCACACCCTCTCCACAAGATCTCGTCCTTCTGACCTTTACAGTCCTTTCCACAGATCTGCATCATTTAAACATTCCTTCGTTGTCCGTTCCACTGCATTCTGGAATTCCATCCCACTAAAAATCCGCCATGCATCATCCTTATCCACCTTTAAAACCCTCTTATTCCAATTCCTCTTCACAATCCAATCAGACGCTGGTTAAATACATACTATGTAATAAGGATTTAATTTTCTTTAGACATTTTTTTTTCTCTTATTTTTTATTGTTTTATTCTATGTTGAACGTGAATTTTCATCACCACTCACTAAGCATTGTGAGTAGATAAAATTTGTTTTTCTTAAGTTCTAATTTGTTATTCATGAAATGTATTTCAGTGAAAGGTATTTTATTTCTAATTATCTTCAACATACTTCTCGCTATGTGTATATGTATACTTTATTTTATTTTCTCTTCTCCTAATCTTTACGCATAATCACTTAAATATCTTAGGGAACATATGTATATCATTATTTGTTTTTTTATATTTTTTTTTGTTTTAGTTTTTACAATTTCTTTCCCTACATATTAACAGTTATTATTATTTTTTAAATTTTTATATTCCATCACTACAATGCTTTACCTAGATAGATAAAATAGATTTTACTTTCCTTTCTAATTTCATTCAGTGATTATTATGCAATTATTTTAGTTCCAATATTGTAGTACTGAACCCCTATTACCCAACTGTCCTCGTTAATTTATCCTAAGAGCTTAATTGATACTTAATGTATTACATGTATTTTGTTATTATTCATTGTAATAAGTCTTTTGACCAGATTTATAGTTAATATATATGAACAATACTGTTATTCTAAAGGGACCTAGTCCCAGAATAAAGATGATTTTTCTATTTCTATTTCTAAATATGATAATGCCTAATTTTCAGAGGTCATTAGTAACATTATCCTGTCACCTATAAATTTAAGATTTAGCATAGCAAGAATATTTTTGGTAAAATGTGTAGATTACCTGAGGGATTCGATGGAGGGATGGATCTGCAGCTGGCTCACTACTCAGAAACAATTTAAAGTTCCTGTGCGGGTTCATCTGAGCAGCTTCCATTTTCTTGTCTAGGGTTGGCAACCATCTCGTAACCAAATGGATATTCTAAGCATGTTAAAAAATGATAATTAAATATAGTTGCATAAAGTATCAATAATAATTCAACAAATTTAAATATAAACTTCATTCAGACAGTCGGAGTAAAGACTTAATATTACCAACTACTCTTTTCAAACTCATTTCAATGAATGTATGCAAGTTTATCATTAAAGCTGTTTTAATGAATCAACTTAAGATTTCAAGGAAAATATATTTTTGAATAAAGTACAAATAATTATTTGTCTGTCAGGGTTTGTAATTTGTATTTAAACATAAAATTTTACAACTTAGCAAAACAATTACAATGCTTATTTTGACTAAGTGGGCTTTATTAAAAACATTGTATTGTGAGATATTATTCTACATGCAGTGAATATTCACTCACTCAGCCATAGTCACTCACTATCCTCACAGGAGAATATTTCAATAATTTGTAAATAACCTAATAAAGTTAATTTTAAATGATTAGTTTTGGCGTGAATTGGCAAATAGCCTTCCGCTTTTTATTGGGGAACTAGGTTATTTACATTCGAGATAATTAAAACAAAACCCCGGCACTAGATATAGACTTTTTGAGGGTGTTTAACTGTCGTTGGGAATTCGGGAATCTAATACCTTATGTGACACTGAGTGACAAGAAACAATAAGAATATATATGATGCGGGACTTAGTAAATACACTTTAAATGAATTGACTCACCTACCTGGTTTGTTATTCTTCAGTTGTGAGGCATATAGGACAACTACAGAAAATGACTTTTCACTCCTGTATAATAAAACAATTTATTTTACAACTGTAATAAATGAATGTATAAAAGTTTTATAACTGTAGGCTTGATTTCTTAGTCTTCAATGTAGTATCTTTCTCTTCTGACAACCTCCTTTCTTCCTGTCCAGGCCTAGTGTCCTCTCGCCTCCGTGTCCTAGCCTCAAGTGCCTCTCAAGCTGTTGCTAGCTACCTGCTCTCCTTTTTCCAGCGTCCTTCTTCATCGATTATTTATCGATATGAGACTTTTCCATGAATAATTTGTCCACTGCATAATTGAGTACAATTCACAGTGCAACCCCACATTCCTATATATTCCTTCTCATTCCCTCACACAATGCCACATAAAGGAGTAAATACAGGGGGCTGACTACTACAAATTTATAATGTATTTTTTATATAAACGATAATTTTTGGTATAGAAAATTAAAACAACTAAATTTCTTTATTTAAAGTTTTGATTATAGTTTAAATTATATTTTTATAAAATTTAAATTAATAATCTGTTTTCCTTATAGAAAAACTTAATAAAAACATTTATCAGCTTCATATAGTTGGGTACAGAAAAACACTCAAAAACGAAGAAAAAAACAACAAATAAAGTACTGTTAATAATGAGAGTTCAAATCCTGAGTACTTCCCAAAATATCTGTTTTCTACATGAAGTTAGTTCAAAATATCCCTCATTAGACAAGTCCCACAAGTCAAGTACTTGTAAAAAGGCAACATTATACATTTATTTAATCAATAGCATGTATATAACATATGATGATAACATATAATATAATATAATATAATAGTAAAAACGTTTTTGCATGAAAATCCTTGTTATTGATATAATTATTTCTTATACCTGAAGAATAACCCAATGGCCATATCTAGATCCGTTCTCCATAGCGCTTTCAGCTACTGATTCTTGGCCCTGCCCAAGTGATACATTGTGGAAATTTTTTCTATCTGTAGTGAATCCCAATCGTTTTCCAACTCTTTCAACATCCTATTAGAAAAATATAAAAGAAAAATAGTTATAATATTCCCGTGATAATATATTTTACAATATTAAAGCACATTTGAGGATTAATAATGAAAGATATCTTTTTTTTTTTTAACAATAAATTTAATGATATATTACCATAGAACATATTTAAACAATGGAGAATAAATAAATAAAATTGAATGAAATTTAAATTAATGAAGGTGATAAGGAGACCTATACCACTACGACCTATGATGTTTTTGGGTTCAGTACTATGTAGGGAAGATACTGTCACTTGGCTAACGATTTCATCGAGATCATGTTCAACTACCATGTTTTTCTCCTTAATAAATTATTTAATGAAGGGTATCCACTTTATAGAGGCTGGGTGTGCTTCAGAAAGGTCTTCCAGCCTCAGTCGATCAATGACTGATGAAACAAAATAAATAATTTATCTGCCATAAGCCGGATTTGAATCTGGGACCTTGAGCATTGCAAGTTCTACCACTGAGCTAACCCACTTAGTTTCAATTTCAGTTTATTTCTTATTTTCTTTACAACCGGTAATATTTAATACTATTTTAAATGTCCAAAATAACTGCATCATTTTCTTCAAAACTGAAATCTATAATTGTTTTTTACAATACCAAAAATTGACAGTTTTTGAACTAATAGAAAAGTCGTATTTTGCATCTATTGTTTAAAACAAGTTATAATGAAAACAAGCCAATTGAATTGATTGAATTCGACATCCTCACATACAAATATCAAATCGTATGCATAGTAAAGTATGAATGTTCTATTGCTAATATCTAAATTCTTTTCAGTATAAATTAAATTTAAGTATACTAGGAATAAATTTCAAAAAATTTGGATGAACAAATCACAATCTTTTGGCATAAACATACCTTGAAATTCTTGAAATTAAATTCAAATATCACTTTCAAAATTTGAAATTCAATATTTTTTTAATAATTCATATCTATTATTATTTTAATAGTAAGTTATTTTGAAATTATTAAAATAATTTTTTCTATAAACCTAGAGTTAAAAGTTATCTAGAATTTTAATTATTGATAAAAATTTAAAATAATTCTTACTCTTGTAGGATCTACACCAGGAGACAGTATAAAGAAGCAAGGCATCGTTGGAGTCATCTCTTCAAAAGATTTCTCAAACTCGACTGTTCTAGCATGTGTAAACTTGGGACCCAATACTTCTTCAATAAAACATCTAGAGAAAACAAAATCAAATCAATTCATTATTTTCATAATAAATTACAAAATAGTATTATATTAACTAATTAAAGAATCAATAAAATTTAAACATACACTTAAAATATACTTTTTAAATAAACACTTACAATTATTAAATATACACTTATGTCTTATTATAAAAAAAATGTTAGTTAAAATTAATAAACATTGGTTATTGGTCTTTAAGATATTGAGAAAACATTATTCAGAAATAATATAATGGACACTCAAAGTTAGTAATGCAAATCACAATTCTAACAAATGAAATAACTAAAGAAGTAAAGGGAAAGCATAAGAAAAACCAACTCTATCACAATATGAATGCCCTTCGTAACCTGACATGTTCTTATTATTTGACTATATTAACTATTTGATTAAATTATAAAAAGAAAATCACCAACGTAAATGTTTTTTTAGACACAAACTCTGGTTGATTAATGTAAATCAGCTTTGGTCGGCCCAAAGCCAATCAACGCTAATAGTCTGTGATACTGAATCCTTTTTATCAAATTATTAACATCTTCCTAAAACTTTATGAATAAGTTCATCTCTTCGTAATCTATAACTTTTTTATTTACACAAATTCTCGGAGCTAGGGAGTTTTCAATCTGGAGATCAGCAAATTTTGTCTATTTAATTAGATACTAAGAACTCTTGAACACCCATTTGCTTTCCACTTGAATCATAAGATAATATGATCATAAAATAGAGGAAAAAGGAGGCCTACAAAAATGTTGGGCCTTTGGTGTTACTTCCTCTCCAACATGTCAAAATAGCGAGGTTATATAACCAAACGGCTCAATATTTTTGTGAGTCATTTTTTTTTTTTATTTTGTGATCAAATTATATTATGATACGAGTGGAAAGCAAAAAGGGTATTTATGAGTTTTCAGTACCTAATTGAATAAATTAATGTAATATGAAAACGGAAAAGGGAGATATTCGTGCTGTGCCATACCTGGTGGCATAGGTCATCCGGTCTGGTCTTAATGATCTCATTATACACAAGCGCTGAAATACAGTTTTGTTCTTCCAATCTTGAGGCAATTTATCCCTTTCAGGATTTTCACCTTCACAGAATTTTTTCCACCTTTTTTTTGCTGTATCTATATCCCTATCCAGATTCCTGTACATAAAAGAAACATTAAAATAACATACTGTTATATTAATATACAAAAAAATGTGATATTTTAATTGTTGATGAGAACAAATATGTTAACAAAAATTAGATATAAATTTATTTCCTCATCTGTTACTTACTCGAACACTTCCATTTTACTGAGCGCTAATATACCTCCCCACAGCACATCAGTTAGGAAGTCAACTGGTGACTTTTCATTGGGAATATAAGGAAATCTAAGCAAAAAGTCCAATTCTGATCTGGTAATTTCATTTGATCTGAGCATGATCTGTTCATGAAAACAATAAAAATATGAAATATCTATGTTGTAATAAAATAAAGATAAGAAATATGAATGGATGTATAATGGTTAAAAGTACCATAATGAATGGATAAAAAAAAATTGTACATCTGGAACTAATTTTCTACTAATGATCAAATACCTAAATAAGCGTATAAAAGGTATAAATTACCTAACTGAGATAATTACTTTAAACTAGTGCTATAAATGAATTTGCATGTTTTTTTTACTGTTCTATATTCATACATTCACTTTTATATGTACTTTGTAAGTACCATTTGTGTACTTTTTGAGTTGTAGGCAAATAAAAATTGAATACATCTTAACATTTTTCAAAAAAATACTTGAACCCATTTTTTGCTCTCTCAGTGCCTGCTTAGTTTCTTGTTATTGTATTGTCCGAATTTAATTTCTGTCAAGTCATAATCTTTGAACACGTTTTTAATTTTGTTAGTGAGTCCAGGTATGTATGTCATTTTGTAGTGGTAGTTGAAGTCCATTTTGTTTGTTTGTGCTATGTTATCCTGATTGTTTTCGTTTGTTTTTTCAAAAAATTGGGTGATGAATTGTTGTGTAGGTTTCTTTATTGTAGTGTTTTCTTCTGGTGTTTTTTGTATTGTTTGTTTTTTGGCTCTAATTTTGTTATGGTTTAGTGTTGTATGTAATCGACTGTACCAAAGTTTGTTGATTAAGTTTATAGGGTAAAAGTTCTCGATAAGTATTTTGTATATTTCTGTTTTTACTTGTGGGATGTAAGGTTTGTCAGTGAGTTCTATTGATTTGTGAATTAGGTTCTTGGTTGTGTTAATTATTTGATGTTTGGGATGGTTTGAGCTAAAGTTAAGAATTCTGTTGCTGGTATTCTCTTTTTTTGTCCATTTAGTAAGTATCTGTCCTTTGTCCATAATTATGTCCATATCCAAAAATCTGAGTCTATTGTTTGTGGCTTTTTCTATTGTAAATTTGATCCTTTTGTTGTACTGGTAATACCAGCAACAGAATTCTTAACTTTAGTTTACAAATTACAAATTTATTGTAACAAACATAATACAAATATGTAATGTAACAAGCACAATATTGTAACTTAAAAAATTTTTAGCCTTGCTTCCACAAGAGTATTAGAATTGCAGTTCTGAAAATGGGAATAAAAGGTCCGGAAACGTAAACTAGCCTGTTAACATGTAACGTTAAAAATATACTCGAATTGTTAATAACTGGAAGTTATTATTGCCAAGCAACTAAAATAAAAAAATTATATTTATAAAACTATAAAAAAAAGAATAACTAAATTCAATGAAGATAAGATCAAAGGAATACTTGTATAGTTAATTGAGCCATGAAAGTCAATTTGTCACATTCAAATAGCCCCCTGGAAGTGTACATGAACGTCGAAAATGAAATACTGTCAATCAGGTTTTCAACTCGAGTTTGAATAACTGGTGATGGCACTGATTGCTTTATGGCTCTATTGAAAACAATACTGAAAGCCTGAAACATAAATCAAATAAAAGAAGCAATAATTAAACTTATTCCAGAAGTTGAATATATTTCATCTTTACAAAACAAAAGATGTAATGTACATTAGTTTTCTGCTCAAATATATTGGGTTACTGCATAAACTGTAAGTAGTTAATAGATAATAAATATATGTATATACTTTGTAAGAAATAAAAATAATATTGAAATTATTTGCGAATACATTTACCTGGTTTCATTTAAAAACGTTAATTATTTTTTTAAATAAAATTTTTCTTCATTAACTATCTTTTATTAACACATTTTATTCGACCATTATAAGTGATTATTTCAGCAAGATTGCACAGGTAATGAAGAAGTGTATGAGGTGAAATCATTTATAATAGGAAACCATGTCACTTTAATGTACACAATAACAAAAAACAAATCATGTAATGTTTAAGGAAACTGTACTTATAAAATAATTGAAAAAGAAATCATGAAATAAATTTTCCTAAACATACACTGGGTTGATATATCAACACTTCAACACAGATATAATACATAACTAACAATCAAATAAAGCCTTTAAACATCCTTTTTATACTCTAAATAGCATTTACTGATATAAAAAAATAAAATAAGAAGAAATTATGGCAATTATATAAGCTCTATAAAGGGTTAAGTTTTAACTGGGCAAAGATTCCCTTTTTTTTCTCTGCAATAAAGCAAGAAAAACACCATAATGCAAGTTTATTAAATTTCTCACAGCCTTATAATGGAAATGGATAGCAAATATTCTTGGAAAATATAATATTTAAACAAAGGAGAAATTATATATAATTTTTCCAGTGATTTCTTCAATTATTAAGTTTATGATTAAAAAAAAAAATACCTTAAGCTAATTCCTAGATTAATAAGGCCATAAAATAGATGAAAAATAAAAATAAAGAATTTTACCTTCAATGAAAATTGGTAGAGTGGATTTATCTTATTAAGATCATTCATAATGAAGTAAATGATAGACGCACGGGTAGCAACAGGCCTGTAAATCTCTCTAGCATTGTCGATGTTCTTTGAAGTAATCTTCGCTTCTTCAACCTTTTCTTGAATTTCTTCAGCAGTTTTCTTCGTAGATTCCAAATTAAGAACCAGCGCCCTATCTTCCAAAATATCAGGGCCTGCAGAAGACAATCGTTGCAAAAGATCATCTTCAAGTTGCTTTAATGTTATCTTAAACATATTTTGTTGCATCGTCAGTTCACTCTGAAAAAAAAAAAATCATATAAATCAGAAATGATCCTGATAGCATAAAATATATTTTCTATATTAAGATAATATTGACAGCTACACTGGTAAAGGCTGCAAGTACAATTTTATTAGAAAGTGTGGTTTTAAGATTTTCTGGTCAATTTTAGCCTCACTTCTATTCAGAAATACAAACCAAAAATGTTATTTGAAAAGTTACATCTTTGTCTCAACCATGCAGTAAAAATTAAATGGCAAATTAAGTTCATGAAATAAGATACGTGGCTTATTAAATTTTAAGAATAAATTTAGTTTTTCTATTTACAGATTTTTACAGTGTGGTAGTCCTTAAGATCGAAATGATATTTTTTATTAATATTATTATTCGACAACAAAATAGCTACAAGGAAGGTTATGTGCTTAGATTGATCTTTTACAGGTATGTAACAATTATTCGAGCAAATATCCAGACCGATTATTAAGATTGATGGCTCAAATTACTCAGTGAGATCCTGTGACGGTTTTGTAACAATCTGAGCTCAAAAATAATGATAAAGTATTTTATTATATTTCAAGTATTTTCATTTTTTTTTTTTTATGTATATAACTCACCAATACTTAATAAACTAAAAATGCAAAGATAAAAAACATGAAAAGTAAACTTTATATTGAAACTTGAAATAACAGTAAGGTGCCTTTCACTAAGTTATGTATTTCAACTCACAAGTATAGCAGTCTCATGCATCTGTACATACCAATGTACAGAAATCTCTTGGAAGATTATTTCATTTTGTTCAAGTGTGTAAGGTACAGGGCAACTACATCTTCACTAACAATCGATCAAAGTGATTAAGTAGATAAGCAAGTATACTCCGTCCCTTAGGATGAATAATAATAATACTACTTGGACTAAGCTGGAAACTTCAGGAAATCCAGAAAGTGCTAATGCTGGGATCCGCCAGCATTGTTTGAAAAAATTTTAATATTTCAAATGAAATATTCAATAAACTGTACCCTTGACCTCTGTCCGGCTCAGTGAATTTATCCGGCACAAAGCTGAGCATTTAAAAAATAAAAAATAATAATAATACTTTATTTATTCTGTGACAAGTCCCTTTAGAATAATGTACAGAGATAGAAATGTGGGCTTTAGAGCCTCAGAAAATAATTATAAAATAAACAGATTTATATACTGAATAAGTAAAAGAAAAGAATATTATTTACCATCAATCTTCAATTAAGAGAAAAGAAAATTAAATAAAAGTATTTAAAACAAACTAATTATTTATATACATATTTACAACATCTATTAACAATTTTATGAGAACTGAATAGATAAGAGATGATTGAACAGTCGGGGTTTAAAGGTGGGGAAGGTATTGGAGTGACGGATGTAGGATGGGATAGAATTCCATAGGGATGTGGATCAAATAATGAAATCTGTAGAAAGCAGCGGTTCTGTGGGATCTTGTATACAAATCTGAAGACCGGGAATGGGTTTGGCGGGAGTGGACAGAGGATTTGAATTGAAGGAGCAAGGAGATGTATGCAGGACGGTGGGATTGGATGACTTGGAAGAGGAAGGATACTAGGAATTACTTAGGCCGGTAGGAAGGACATCTTATATTCGATGTAATACAGCAATAATTTTTAAAAATTATGGAAATAATTATTCTTATATAAAATAATTATTCTTATATAAAATAAAAGTATTTTACGGTACTTTTTGTCTAGCGGGTGGGCACGAAACCTCACTTCTTATCTATCTTATCTAACGTCACGTCATATAACCTCCTTCTTCTTATCCTGCCAAACCTTTGAGTTATTACATTGTTTAGTTTTCAGTTATTCCCTTATTATGTTCACTTATTAAATTCTTTACTTTTGGCCCATTTGTGTTTATTTTTCATTTTTTTTTTAGTTTGTGGCCCCTTCGTGTTTTTTTTTTCTATTTATTTTCATATCTTCTTATCTTAGGATCTTCTTAGAACATGGGATTTGCCGTCTTCAGATGAACAGGCAATTCAATATTTTCAAAATGTTGGGATACTTGCAGACGTGAATTTTTGTGGCGGCAGGTTCACAGAGAAGAGGACCTGTTCCTCGCTATTTTAAATAGCTAAAACAATTTTGCCTTCCAAAATAAATAAGACAAAGTGAAAATAAATTGTACATATGTTATTTATAGTGTTGATATTTTTTCTTTTCTATGTTAATATGTTCTTTAAATGTTTTTTTATTATTTCATTTTCATCTTTTACATCTACATATGTTCTTCAAGTGTTTTTTTATTATTTCATTTTGATGTTTTTTATGTACATATCTTCTTAAAGTGTTTTTTTATTGTTTCATTAATATATGTGTCGTAAAATAAAAGTATTTTTTTGTTATTACATTTGTTTTTGTATCTGTTTACACTTTCAATAATACAAATTTAATACAATATCAGGAAGATATGAAGTAGGAGAAGGCTTATCAATGCATTATGGGAATTATCAGTGTTCAGGATATAAACATTGGCAGATAGTAGTCAGTGCCAGCCCGCTAGACAAAAAGTACCTATTTTACAATTCTTATATATATCATTAAATATTCAAAAACCTTTTGTGATTCTAAATCTGGCCTCTCAGCATTTACAACTTCAGCTAACAGCTGGTCTTCTAAACCATCCTGGGTAACGGTGAAGTTGATAAGAGTTGTCTGAGCCTGGATTTCCGGCCGGTAGTGAGGGTTAGCAAGCTTAGTATGTAGTATCAATCTGAAGGATGGGTGGAAATCGATTTCTCTATCTCCGATTTTCACAACTCTTAATAACAAAAAAAAAGTTAGAAATAATTAGTTTCTTAGGAATGCTAAGAATGGCGAGTCAACATTAATTAGTATATTGATTTACCAACCTGCCCTTTCTGATGAGCGCTCTTCCAAGGAGGTTATCGAGGACCGGGTCGATGTTTTCCGAAATGTATTCAATTAACAAAGTGGCTCCTTCCCAAACAGCTCTCTCTACCTTATCCAGGTACCTGTCTTGGCCCAGTCTTATCACCCTCAATGCTTCCTTGTATCTCGCCTTGATCCACTTTATACCTTGTAACTGTGAAATGAATAATTAACATTTTTGATAAAATCATTACAATATAATTGAATTCATATTATATTTTTATATTCAGGAAAGTGTGAGTTAAAATAAAAAAATATAAAGTTAAAAAAATTAAGTTATCGCAGGATTATTATAATTTTTATATTTTGATAATCTTTTTAAATTTTAATCTTGAATGATGAAATGATATTACGGATCAGCAGTTCTTAAACTTATGTAGTCCAGTGACACCCTTAGGCATTTTATAACGTTTGACTAAATACTCTCATAATCATGACATTATAATAGGTATTGGATAAAATGTATCACTGTTTTTTTAAATAAATGGTTTTGAGCATTTATTGAGATGAGTATTTTTATCACATTATAGAATGATATAAAATAATTGACTTTTTACTAATTATTGTTTAATGAAAAATTGAGAATTGTTGTACTTTAGTAAAAACAAATACAAAAGGACGTGACCATAGAGGATTTTATTAAATGAGTTATTCGAAAAAAAAAAAGAAAAGCCGAAATGTAAAAATGGTAAAATCATTTTTTGTTATTCCGCAATGATTACTTCCAATTAACAATAATTGAATTTATTTATTTTATTATCAAAATTGCATGTTTACAAATTTACGTTTCGGGATATTTACTCCCATCTTCAGAACCACAATCCCAATGATCTTGTGGATACATGGCTTAGATCTAATATGTTCCATCATCAGTTTCCATTTCATGTTATAATAAATCTAGGTATATAACATCTAGAGCAACAGCTTGCTTTTAGACTAATTATTGGATGTCTGCCATAGTGAATGGTAAAATCATTTCATGGAATCTTAGTAATGACCATGCTGACCCTTAGGGATCTGTATACTACAGTCCAAGAATATATGCTAGACCTATTGACTCAGTTTGATTATTATTTAAACTATTGCTAGCAATGACATAATAATATAAATGTTTGTTTTGCCAAATACTTAACTAATGCAAAATTGCCTACTAATTTACTTTGCTAGGGTTGCAGAAATAACAATATCGTGGGTTTATTTCAAAAAGTCATTAAATAACATTTCATAATCTTAAAACACAAAGAACTTTGATGAATTTTTTTCTGTGAAATCAGAACATTTTGTAATTTTTGTAAGTACAAGGATTTATGCCATTTTGTTGCATCAACTTTAAATTAAAAATTCATAAAAATTTACAACGAAGTTTACCTTCATCAAAAATGTACGAAGTGACTTTTTGCAATGAACTGACAATATTTATAACTGCTAACTTTTTTATAAAGTGATAAAAAGATTTTTATATTTTTGAAACCATTCTTCATGATAACTTTGATAGAATGTACCATCCATTTTGATTTTTACCTGAGGATCAATCATTAGAGGCCATCTTTCTGAGTTAATGAGGATTGTTGCATTTTCAGAAGACATTCTGTCGTTAGGTAGACCTTGATTGTTCCATTCAGCTATTTGTGCATCATCTGTCAGCATACGCATTGGGTCCAAGTCTTTCGTCATTGGAATTGCAGGCTAAGATATATCTTGAATTAAAACTTATTTCAATTAGATCTACTTCTTAAGTTACTGACCTAATTGGCACACAGATTTTTTCTTACTTTCATTTTTTTAAGGGATATAAATCCACTACTAAGTTCCAGTTTTCAGAATTTTAGGTTGTAAAAAAAATATTTTTGGAATGTTTGTGAGAAGAATAAGGTTTTGAATCGTTTACATCAAGTTTCTTTTTATAGAAATTATTAACAATTCTAAATGTAAATCACTCCAATTATATTAAAAAAATCACTCACGCTATACTTTGGCAACTGTGGAATCCAAAAATTGTTAACCATGTCCTCTCTGTATGAACGAGTGAAGCTGCCGACATATGATATAAAAGCTGTCACAAGAATAATGTCTCCAGGGAGGGTTCCCAGCTGAACTCTAAGGCTGAAATTTAATTTTTAAATAGTTTTAATTCATTCTATTTGATGAGATATAATTTCAACCATCAATTGAAACCCACAATTAGATCAAGAGATGATGAACAATATACTTGAAGGACCAAGATAGATTACCTCGAAACGGAATGGCGCCATCTGGTGTTTTCTGAAGCCAAACCATTCACCAGCCTATTGGCTAAATCAATACCTTCAGCAGTTTTTTGCACTTCCATTTCACATTTCCTCTTTTCACTCATAGCAGTATTATACTTTTTCATCAGTTTGCCAAATTGCTCTTCCAGCATCTAAGAACGAAATATAATTTTTCATAAAACTAATTTATAAAATACACTAAAGGAAAGCCTAAAAAAAAAGTCTGGAAAACTGAGAACATAAAAAACTTAGAACAAAAAATTTAATGCCGCAGCATAAAAGAATAAATGTCGAGCTAGAAGGCCTACCGATACTGTCATGTTTGCCCAATACCTCCTTGAATCGACCTAGAATGGAAGTGCCAAATTTTATATTGATTGTGTAAACAGAAAATAAATATCAACTGATATAGGTGGGGATAGAAATGAACAATTCAGCTTGTTCATAGACCAATAAAATGAAACCTAAGATAAAAAAACGAAGTTAGTTAAAAGAATAATGTCTTCAGGGAGTATTTATACCCAGCTAGAGTATTTTGTTTTTCATTTTGATGCCCAAAAAAAATTTCATCAAATAATACTCACATATACAACTGTGTGAGTACTGAGAAAATTAAACTGTCCTGATATTTTAGAGTTTTCCCGAATTCATTTCTGGAGGGATTATACGTCATTGTGACCATACATCAGAACCTAAAACTCTAAAATATGGAACTTGGACAGTAAAAAATCGAAATTTAATGGAGTACTCAATAAGACTTGAAAATGGCCCTAGTGATGGTCGAAACATTGCCATAATAAAATAATTAATAAATAAAATGTTGGTGAATAATGGCCTAATTTATATAAAAAATAAAATATTTTTTTTCCAATAATTTCATCTGACATTTTTAGAATCTGAATTTCTAGGGTTCACAAATAATTTATGATACATGGTTGACTAACTAGTCATAAAAAATACAAATGGCTACTTACTACAATCCTTTCTTTAACTGCTTGCAACCTCTGACGAGCACTGGCAAGCTCAGCATTAGCAGCAGCAAGAGCCTTCCTCTTCGGCAATACCACACACCATACGGAATGAAACTTCATTATGTTTATAACCCACGAACAAAGGCCTGGAAAGTAAAAACAAAAAAATTAACAATATTATTCAGAACGTTTTTATCATATTTTGAAAGTATTTATCATATACTACTGTAATATAATATAAATATGAATACAATCTAATACAATATGAATACAATCTAATCTAATATGAATATAATACTGTATAAATATATAATAATCAAAGAAGTTTTGATAGATTGTAAAACAATTACTTTAAATGTTGAATATCAATTTTTTAATTAAAATTGTTCAAATCAGTTTTAAGGGCCCTAAATAATAATATCACAAATTTGAAACACCAAAACCTATTAATAATATAACCTGAAGAAAAAAAAAATTAACCGACTTTATTGCCAGTGCATGATATAAAGAAACAAACTTTTCCTATCATAATATAAAGAACAAAAAATGCTGATCCATCTTTTAGTTTTTTAAGATATCTAATAATAAATCCTTAAAAGTATTGCTGAATATTTATCACAAAACTTTGTTCATAACATTCATATCATAGCTGGTGGGAAATCGCATCACTGTGCTGCCTCCAAAAGCCGTCACCAGTTGGCGCTGTGCTCTGATACAGCTGTCCAGTTTCGGATTTACAGGAGAAATCTTGAGGCCACAGGCACCATCCACTTTTCCATATGTCTTCCTACTCTTCTTGTCTAATACAGTTCCTCTGACATCAATAGTTTGAGAAACCTGGAATTACCCATTCATGAGACATGACAGCCCAGTGTAAACTTTCAATCTAAATGAACTTCACCACAACAACATTGGTGTAGAGCTCGTGAAGTCCCCAATTTTTTTTTCTGTACCGGAAATTCCTATACATAACAGGCGCAAAGATTTCTCTGAGAATACTTGACTCAAATTTCAGAACTTTTCCTTTATCTGGCTTGGGGGTAGCCCAATTTTCTGAACCTTTATCTGGCTTGGTGGTAGCCCAATTTTCTGAGCCATATGTCAACATCGAGCATATCAGCGCCTTTTAAAGATGATTTTTTTTTTTTTTTTCCTAGAAACTTACATTGAAGGAGTTTTGATAGGCTGAAAAAGTATAACTTTACAACAGCAATTCTTCCGATTTCCAGGTTAAGGTCATTGCTCAATCACACGAAGTTCTGTGCCTAGATAGCTGAATGATTCTGTTTTTGATTTTGTTATTTGCTGTTTAAAATGGATATGATAACGCTTTGGGAATTGCCATTTTCGGGAGGAGAAGCTGTCAAATACTTTCAGAAGTTCAGGATAATTTCAAAGGTGAAATTGTGTGAAGAAGGTCATGAAAGGAAGCTTGACAGGAAGACCATATGGAGATGTTTTCATAGGAGTTACAGGAAAAACATTTTTACAAGAAAAGGAACATGGTTAGAGGGGTCAAGGGTGAACCTTTTTAATGGCTGGTCTCATAATTTAACAATAATTTAGTGGGGCAAAGAGCAGCTGAAACTATCAAATAAAAGTGTGGTCGAATGGAACAGATTTTTGAGAGAAGTTTGTGTCCATAACATGTTATACAGGTCAACTAAAAAAAATTGGAAGGCCTGGAAAAGTGGTTGAAATAGAAGAAAGTCTTTTTTCTAAAAGAAAAAAAATCATGTAGAAACAGTGCTTCCTGAACAATGGATGTATGGTGGAGTTTGTCGAGAAACAGACGAGTATTTCATGGTCAAAATAAAATATAGAAAAGCAATAACTCTATTAGAATGTAAAATAAAAGTGTTCTGTTATTATAAGAGAACGGGGTAGCTAAGTGGTAGGGCACTAAGCTTCCAATCTCAAGGTCCCAGGTTCGAATCCCGGCTCATGGCAGAAAATTTTTTTTTTTATTTGTTTATTTAGAAATATTACATTCTGTCACATCAAGGACATTTATAATAGTGATCAGAGAAAGCACACTCACACTCTATTTACAATAAAAAAAAAAAAAAATAATACAGAAAGTTAATAATAATAAATACAATAAATAAAATAAAAATAAATACATTAAAATAAAATAAATGTATATAAACAAAAGAACTAACCTAATCATACACACTCGGGCTTGAGTGGAGGATCTGGCCATTGCCAAAACTCCAATAGATGCTTATTTACAAAAGGTCTCTGGGCCACTGCCGCTTCAACCTTCGAGGAGGATTGTAAGGATGTGTGGTGCTGGATAGAGATTGTGCAAGGGGATTTGGATGATAGGTAAGGTTTTGGTGAAATTTGGAGAATTTTTCTGGAATAAGGTCTAGGACAAATGGGATATTAAGGTCATGGTGTAGGATTTTGTTATTTACATAGAACGGAGCATCAACTATTGTTCGAAGGACTTTAGATTGAAAGGATTGAATACGTTTGATATTAGAAGCTTTTGCTGTCCCCCACAGTTCAAGTCCGTATGTCCATATAGGTTTCAGTATTGTCTTGTAGATAAGTAATTTGTTTTCAATAGAAAGTTTGGATTTTCTGTTTAGTAGTCTGTATAGCTGGCCGTATCGTCGGTTGAGTTCTTGTCTTTTGAGTCTAGTATGTAAGTTCCACGTTAGTCTTTGGTCTAAATGAAAGCCAAGATACCGGACTGTGTCTGAGTAAGGAAGCTGAATGGAATTAAAGTGTACTGGTGGACAGGAACTGCGTCGGAGCGTGAAGGTGATGTGTTGGCATTTAGATTCATTAACTTTAATGCGCCAGTTATTACACCAGTGCTCAATCAAGGTGAGGTGGTTTTGGAGATTTAAGGATGCTATGTTGGGATCAGAGTTGGATGATAAGATTGCGGTGTCGTCAGCGAATGTTGCAAGAAAAGTATCGGGATGAACAGGAATGTCAGCAGTAAAGAGGATGTAAAGCACGGGACCCAAGACGCTGCCTTGGGGAACACCGGCTTTAACGGAGTAGATATTGGGAAATTCTGTTCCACAGCGAACTCGGAAGGAGCGGTCAGAGAGGTAGGATCGGAGGACTAGGTACAAGGACTGAGGTAATTGGATTTTAAGCTTGAAGAGCAGTCCGGAGTGCCATACCCGGTCAAATGCCTGTGCAATGTCCAGAAATGCACCCGAACAGTATTCCTTGTTTTCTAGGGCTGAGGAAATATGATCAACAACTCGGAGTCCTTGTTGAACAGTAGAATGTTGGGAGCGAAAACCAAACTGATGGGAAGGAATATTTTGGGATTCTATAATGGGTAGGATTCGTTTCAAAAGGATCTTTTCAAAAATTTTTGAAAGGATTGGGAGTAGGCTAATTGGTCTATAGGATGTTGAGATATTGGGAGGTTTGCCTGGTTTTTGGAAAAGGATAATAGTGGAGTGTTTCCATAGCAGAGGAAAGTGGGTGGTGCGTAGGATACAGTTGTAGATATATGTAAGGAATATGACTGCTTTGGATGGAAGTTGTCGAAGGATTTGAGGGGTAAGGAGATCATGTCCAGGAGCTTTACGGGGGATTAATTTTTTTAATTGAAATTTCACTTCGGAAGGATGAATAGCTTTTGGGGGCAAGGAAAGTGGGATTGGTGATGTAAGGAGTTCTTCTACTGTTACGGTGTGGGCAGGATGGGATTCCGGATGTGAAATAAATGTATTGGATAGGTGAATGGCGAACTCCTCAGCCTTATCTTCGTCAGATGCTGCCCAGGAGCCATCATCTCGTCGGAGGGGATGGGAAATGCGGTGAGGATTTAAGATTTTGGTAGTGGTTTTCCAAAGGGAATTGTCGCGAGAAGAAAGGGAGGATAGGTAGGAGTTGAAGGAATGTGATCTGAAGGTGGCTAATTCCAGTTTTAATTTTTTGCAGTAATAATTATAGGAGCAGCGGTCGGTAGGATGTCGGGTACGTTGCCACAATAATCTGGCACGGCGTTTGGTTTGGATTAGGTCAAGGAGGTGTTGGGGTAGAATGGTCTTTTTAGGAATTCTGGAGGAGTCTTTTGGGAAGGAAGCAGTCCAGGCGGCTTGTTGGATTGTGGTAGTAAAGGAATTTACGGCACTATCAAGGTCATCGGGAGTTTTGAGGGATATGTTAAGATCAATTTTATCGGAGATGATTTGGCGGAAAAGGTCCCAGTTAACTGGGCCCCTAATAAATGACGGTGGAGAAGGTTTGGGAACGGGTTCAAGTGAAACATTAAGGATTAGAGGACTATGGTCAGAGGAAAGTTCATTTAGACGTGTAATGGAACAATTGAGGGGACTTAAGCCGCTGTGGATAAAGAAATCAAGAAGATCAGGATTACGGTTGGGATCTGTAGGCCAGTAGGTAGGAGAGTTGGGGGAAAGGAGGTGAAAATGTTGGGAATTGAGTGCAGACAGCAGGGTTCGGCCACGAGTATTCGTGGTTCTGGAACCCCATTGTTGATGTTTGGCATTTAGGTCTGCACCCAAGATGAAGTGATGTCCTAAGGAGTCGAGGAGACCTTTATCCATTCTCCTTTGGAATGCGAATGGTGTTAGAAATCACACAAACGAACTAACTACATTATTACTTGACAAAAATATTGACGTGGCACTAATTACTGAAACTCGACTAACCACTAAACAGCACTTCAAAATACCATAATACCTGACATATCGTACTGACCACCCTGACGGAAAAGCACATGCCGGTACTGCTGTCATTGTACACCAATCCCTCTCCCATCACCTACTCCCGTTACCTACACATGATTTCCTACAGTCCACCGCTATCGTGATAAAAACCTTTTCCTTTCCGGTTACCCTTGCATCAGCGTATTGCCCTCCTAACCGATCCATATCCAATGCCGAATTCCGTTCTCTCCTCGGCAGAAAAATTATTTATTCTGTTTCATGGGGGTGACCCTGGGGTAGGGAGATCCTCCTGGGGCACACCCAGCCTGTACAAAGTGGCTATCCTTCATTAAATAATTGATTAAGAGAGAAACTTGGCGGTTGAGTGTGATCCTGGCCCGATCTCCCTGCACAACCGTTGGCCTCATAACAATACTTTCCCTAAATATTACTGAACCCAAGATTCTTCATGTATTGTAGTGGTACAGGTTTTATTTTATTTTATTTTTTTTGTTAGCATAATATTTATTTTTGTCTATTTCAGTGGTATTTTGTCTCCCAAAATAAATAAAATGTAAAATCAAAGTGTTTTATACATATATATTCTGTAAATTAAAAGTGTTTTTATTATTATTACATTTCTTTTTGTCTATTTTAATTTCCATAAATATGAATATGAAGATAGGTATTATTAGTATCAGCATTATCAATGGTCAGGATATAAACATTGGCAGATAGCAGTCCGTGGCGACTGGCTAAGTTACAAGTACACTGATTTTAAACTAATTATATAAATATTAACAATCTATATTCAATATAAAACATTCATAAAATTACCAGCAGCAGCACTGGACTTAGTGATAACATTTTCCGGAGTAAACTGGGGGTCAATGATGTAAGGCTGGATAGCCTTCACTATTTCAGGATGGATATTTTCCTTATTGTAGTTTATCAAAGTGTTTAGGAAAGAATCCGCTGATCCCATTATAGCCTTAAATAAAAATTATTGATAGAAAAATGATGTCCGAATATTAATTTTAATTTGATGAAAATTATAAATACTACCTTCGCAGCCTTCCAGCTCCTGTCCTTCGGAATTTTTCCCTTTTTAGCCAGAAGTACCATGACAGCAGAAGCAACTCTAGCTACTGCTTCAGGAGGTGTACCAAAGGATTTCATTTCAGTCAAGTTAGTCTTAGAAGAAAACATAAAAATTTATTAATCGTGAATATGACATCTTTATTGAAAAGATTTATTATGTCAAACATTATCTATCAAAATTCCTATTTATATTTTTACCTAAATATAAGATTATATTAATTTCTATATGTTTACTTTTCAAAGAAAAAAGTTGAAGAACAAAGTAAAAAAAAATTTACCTTGTTAAGGGTATTCAGGGCTTCCTTAGCAGCAGCCAGTGCTGGCTCTGCTTTGGCCAAGTCTTCTTCGCAAACTTTCTGCTTTATTGTTACATCTTCTTCAATTATACGAACTCTTCTAGCTTCCTCAGTTGCTAAAGTAGAATAAACATAATGTCAATCATTAACATGTAAGAAAAAAAAATTAAGTTGTGTGGTTTAGACCATACGATAGAAGTGAAACTATCAAGGCAAGATTAATAATATTAAATAATAATAATAAATAATAATAAGGCTTAGCGAACCCGAAGGTTCGATGCCAGACACCACCAATCGCTTGTTACACACCTCCCTCCACCGTTCGCCGTCCAAACCCAATCCCTTCAGATCGGCTTTAATGCAATCTTCCCACCTTCGCTTCGGTCTACCCCTCGGACGCTTACCATTCGGCACAGCAAATATTAACCTTTTAGGAATTCTCTCGTTACTAAGCCCAACAACTTTACAAGCCCATTTGATTCACCACGATGAAATTACCTCAATTATATTACCCGGATACAGCTCACGCAATTTGGCGTTGTGTAACCGTCTGAACTCTCCGGTTAACTCATCCTTCTTCGGTCCGAATATTCTACGCAATACTTTATTTTCAAAAACCTTAAGACGCTGCTCATCCCTTAATGTAAGCGGCCAAGTTTCGCATCCATAAAGAACTGAATGCAAGATAATTGTTTTATAGATTCTAATTTTTAAGTTCCGGGTAATAATATTAAATATAAATTATAAATAATAGCTCATTATAAAAAGGATGAAATGCTAAACAATTCCCTCCATATAAGGTTGAAGAGCTATAGCTTTTTTAAAATTAGCTCTTTAAATTCTAAATAAAGATTTATCAGTTTATATATCTGCATTGAAGAAGCATGCTAAATAAAAATTACAAAAAAAAACATGCTACATAAATATACTTGAATTTCATGTAATAACTTTAATGTTTCTTTTAATGGTATTGGAAGAAAAAATTGATTAAAAAATATTGATATACCAATAGCTTGTTCTTTCTGAACTTTGTCTTTTTCTACAGCAACTTCATCAATCAAGAGAGTGGCTGCAGCATTTTTTTGCTGCACAACCTTATCCTGAACAGCTAGCTGTTTCTTTAGTACGGCTACCTAAAATGTAAAAATAAATCGAATATAACATGTGATATCAATATAAAATATCTCTGAAATCGCAAGAAATTATTATTAGAATAAATACATATGAAAACATTAATTTTAACTTATTAAACATTTTGTCATAAATTAAATCACAAATCTTACCTGCTCAGAACAGCTGACTAATTTCTGCAAACCGTTCTGAAGCCTGCCAATTTTATCATTAATTTCTCTATTTTTCCCAGTAAGAAGCTTCGAGTAAAGGTTTATTAGCTCAAGGAAGGATTTAGGGGTTGTATAATTGTATCGTCGTTCATTGAGCAGATACTGTTGCGACTTATCATTGACAGTTGTATGCATAAATGCCATCAAGTATGACAGTGGTTTAACTAGCTTTTTCTGCAATATTAGGAAGTTAGCAAATAAGTGATAAATAAACATTAAATATTCATTTATCCATAAGTATTAGAAACCAGATATTCAAACCATTGAACTTTAAAAAACTATACTAACTGATAAATGCTAGATACGCTTATTAATCAATGAATGATTCTCAATTCATGTCTCATATCTAAGTGATATTTTCATATTTTTTTTTACTGTATATACCGTATGGTATGTTACATGTGCATATGTTGTACCTTCATGAATGAAATAAATAAAAAATAATCTTTTAAAAATTCAAGTTATAAACATTTCCCTCTTTTTAATTTCTTATTTAATATGTTTTATTCACATTTTAAAAGTTGAAAAGCTTTCGGTATCCTTAGCAACATATTTATCTCTATAAAATTTTCTTCTTTTTTGTCTTTCTCTTCGTGCCATTACTAGTGTCTAGGAGCCTCTATCCAATGCAGCCATGCTTCTCGGTCCCTACGAAGTCGCCTCATTTCCTAGAGGGTTTTGCCTCTCTTCTCTCCAATTCGCTGCATATACTCCTGATAGGAAATTTTGGGGCAGTCCCTCAGCCTCCTCCCAGTGGGTCGAGCTTACAGAACCTTTTGAGGATCTCTCTTCTCCATTCAACAAACGTGGCCAAACCACTTCAACTATCTGTTTTCCAGTACTGTCCTTAGCTTCGCCACATCCAGGTCCTCTCTTACGCATTCATTTCTGACGCGGTCTCTCCTGGTCTATCCAGCAGCTCTCCGCAGAAACTTCATCTCGACTGCTGTCACATGGCTAACTTGCTTGTCCAGCATAATCCAGGTTTCGCTTCCATACGTGAGGGTTAGGAGGTATACCGACTTGTATATGTGCCTTTTTTGTTTCCTTGCCAACTTCCTTGTGCCCTACTATACTGTTGCCGATAGGGTAATAGATCTGGTTGGCTTTGGATATCCTATTCGCTATTTCTGGGCCAATCTTCCCCGTGTTGCTGATAATTGTCCCCAAATAGGTGAGTTCTTGCATAACTTCAAGTACCACTCCCTTACAGATCAGCTGGATGTCCTCTTATTGATCTCTTGATATGACTAGGACTTTGCTTTTGGATCGGCATATAGTAGGCTTTGGACCATACTATTCCGCATGTTCCATTTTCCGATGACCGTTCAAGCAGTACAACGCTTACAAATTTTATGGAATTCATCCATAAATATGATGGACAAGAGGGGACTTAGGCTGTCTCCCTGCCTGACTCCTCTCTCCATGGGAAAAGGTTTGGACTCTCTACCATTAATCCTTACAATTCCTTATGCTGCCTTATAAGCCTATCTAATTGCTATGATAAGATCAGCTGGAACATTTTTTGTCGCCAAAGCATCCCATATTTCTTGTCTTGGAACAGAGTCAAATGCTGCTTTGAGGTCCAGAAATGCCATATATATGTTTTTGTCTCTGTCCTAGCTTTCTCTGTGATGTCTCTTAGCATGAAAATGTGATCTTGAGTCTGCCTCCACGGACAAAAGCCTGCTTGTTCGTTTTCTATTTGGTTCTCAACTACGAGCCTTAATTTTCTTTCTAAGATTGAGGAGTATAATTTGTAAGCCACTGAAAGTAAGCTTATTGGCGCTAAAGGATACTGAAAGCTCTTCAAATTTTAAAATGTAAATAAAATATATTAAAAGAGACTGTCGAATGGTATACAACTTGAATTTTGAAAACAATATAAAACAGTCTAATATTACCTCTAATAAAAAATAAATCTTTATTCTAGGACAAAAAGTCCCCTTTGAACTAAAAACAATGTACTTAAATATGTGCTTCTAATAGAACCTTAAAAATAATTTATAGTTAAATAATAAATAGCATTTAATAGTTTTATATATACATAGATAAAACTTTGTTATAATTAAATAATTATACATAGCTAAAATTATTTAACTATATATGTCAACTTAAAAAAAACAAACAATATTCTATTTAAAAATATATATAATTATATTATTTAAAATGTAAAATATTACATACCGACAATACTTCCACCTCTGCTAAGAAACGTGAAGAAACACTTTCAAGTGCCTCTTTTGGCCATTCCATGAACCAATCAATAGTCGTACAGTTGACCAAAGCTGGAAACTTTCTAGCCCTCACCCGCAATGTTGAACCGACGGGTGAGAAACACAGTATTACTTTTAAATTTCTCCTTACTCTATCAATAAAAAATTTCCAGCAATTTTCCCTAGTATCGACCAAACCAGCTCCTTTGGTCTGAAAAAAATGTTATGATTATCGTAATGGGCGCAAGGATGTGCTAGGGGAATCAGTGTCTCCTCAAGATTAAAATAAATAAAGAATATAAAACCTATATACACTGTATAGTAAATAGTTGATTATTACTTTAATAGCAACAAGCTTAATTATTATCAAATGCAACAAACAAAAACAACTACATTGTGTGCTTTAGACCACATGATAGAAGTGAAAACATCAACAAGGCGAGATTAATAATATAAAAATTTTTTTTTTTTTCTCTCTATATTAACAAATTAATAAAATTTAAAATACATACAATTATAGTTGTGTATAAAGTATTTTTCATTCCATATTCACAAAGTAATAACATTTACAATATATATAATTATAATTGCATATAAACTACTCTAGTAAACTTTGCCCTCGCTGATTGTCAGTTGTATCATACTCTAAAAATGATACAATAGGTTTATGATAACTAAAACATATAATGAATACCTTTGATTGAAATTTATTTGCTAAATATCTTTATTTGCGAAAATTCAGTCATTTTTTCAATATAACTTCTGTAACAGGGGTCAGTAATAAGTCAAAACTCTATCGAATGCAACAGAAAATCAAATAGAAACACTATATTGACTTCTGCAAATTGGTATCTGAATTCTCCATTCTCCATGATAAATTTTAGTCCAAATGTTCAAAATAGTCATTATTATTTGTTTTTTTTGGAGCTATCTTTGTTCCTTTCCGACTCTTTAACTTGGCGTCACGTCAAAATACAATTTTGAATAATAGCTCATTACAAAGAGGATGAAATGCTGAAAATTTCCCTTACTTATATTATGCAGGGCCAAATTTTAGTTTTTGAGATATTTTAATCCCTATATTCAACAAAACTCGTCATCATTTGGTTTCCGAGACTACGTTTTTCCCTTTTTGCCTCTCTAACACGATCTTCAAATATGAATTTTCATAGCAATCGAAATATATAAAAAAATGTATACAAATTTGAATCAAGACATTTGGATTTCTTTTCAAAAATCACAAAAAGTATGATAACTTTAATATGCTTCCACCTATCCACACTGGAATATAGGACCTTGTAAACTACAAGAATAAAATTAAGAGGAGTTATGGATGTTTTAGTTAATGCCAGGCAAAAACATCATAATGGAAAGTTAAGTCGTTGCCATGACGACTATATCAGCACACCTTTTCTATCTTATATATTTTTTCTAAAAGTTTTTTTTTTTGTCACAATGCCATAACTTCGTTAATGCTTCATCATCAAATCCAATGATTGGGCCCTCATTTTAAAGATACTCTTCACCTTTAGATGGAAAAAATAACCACATGCCACAGGAACTTAAGAAAAAAATTTATGAAGGAAAAAAAACTTTATATGCGAATAACTAAAAAAATATACATTTTTTTCTTAATTGTAGCCATGATAATTAGAAAGATTACTAAATTACCTACAAAACAAAAACAAAAAATGTAAAAGTTGGCAAATTATTAACATACAGAGATACAGAAAAGATACAATCCTTTAGTTTTGGCATACTTAATAATTTCTTCCTCTTTAATGAAACTGCACTTTACTATTCTACCACCTTTTTTTCCTAGCTGATAAATACCTTATTATTCCTTAAAGCCTTTTTTTTGTTTGTACATTTTATATTTTTTAATAATTTAGAAAAGCCCATGATCGAGAATTTATTTTGAATGTTACCTTTCCAGTCAGCGTTTAGAAATAGGTCCTAGAAAAGCAATTTGTACAAATATTTTGGTCTATTATGTTAAATGGAACAATGCAACCAACACAGGAAAAACAATTAATTCCTCTCTTACATAATACATAGGATCTACTTATTACCATAGTGTTTTGCTATTGTTTCACTAAACAAAATTTTCTGTGAATTATTTGCATGCGCCAACTAGTATTTTCATATTTTATTTTCCTCTTCTATTTTCCTATTTAGCAAACTACTTATAGCAGTTGCAGACTACAATAAATAAATAAACATGTACAATTGATACATATGACCTTTTTGCTCTTACAGAACCAATATAATTGGAAAAAATTCAAGTATATATCAAGTTATGGATATCATAACAGCAATTTGCACTTATATACTCTAGCTTATAAAATTTCCTGACTATCAATGAAATTTTCATAAACTTCTATGACTTTTCTAGGTATTCAGGTTTTACAGATTCCAGACACTCAGCAAAATTTATATTTTATTATATATATATATATATATATATATATATATATATATATATATATATATATATATATATATATATATAGAGAGAGAGAGAGAGAGAGAAACCTATAATACCTCAGGTGCTATGGCTTGAATAATGTTTTCAATTTCATCATCAGCAAATAATTCAGGTATTTCACCAGAAGCCAACATGTCATTAATTTGAACCAGAAAACGTTCTTCAGCTACTTGACTGTCAGTCATCAAAAACATAATCCCCATATTTTTTAATCCAGATTTTAAATATAATCCAGCTATATCACCCTAAAAAATAAAAATATTTTTTAAAGATTTATGTTAATATAATAAAAACAGATGCACAATTAATATCGATTACTATAAATTACAAGCCCAACATTGCGATTATGAAGTTTTATTTAGATACATTATATTGTTCCATGTATACTATAAATTATGTGGAAGAGAACACATTAATCAAACATAATAACTACAAAAAAAATATATGTATAATTTGTAATTATGTGGTATGCTATACATTAGGCCTTGACTATTCATGAGTTTTGGTGTCATGAATAGGTATAGTATGATATAAATACAAAATTAATCCATTAAAGCAATTGGTAACTCCATGAATTAACCATCTATAACCTTCTTTCCGATATATTTTGTATAATTAATGCAGCTGTACCCATAATCGATTTTAGTCATTTCGATTGAATATTCTTTTCTATACCACGATTTTTACCTTCGTGAAGACCAAATAATTGGTTGGGTGAACTGATTTTTACCTTCGTGAAGACCAAATAATTGGTTTGGTGAACTGACTGGTAGGAAAAACCTTCCCCTCAAAATGTACAGTTCATGTTTTCGATTTCTCACAGCGTTCTTAGTTCTCAAATGCTCTTAGTAATCAGAGCAGTAGCAATTGGTTGCTACTATGATGCTAATAGGTATGCAAAGGATTGAGTTCAACAGCCATACCAAATTTATCACAAACTGATTTTGTGTTTTAAAAACCACAGGACAAAGCACTCTCAATTAAACTAACTATTATTAAATACAGATATTATATTAGGCCTGATGAAAAAAAAAAAAATTAAAACATTTTTCAAACTCAAGCCTGGTTGTGGCAGATAGTTATTTATTCTTTTGCATTAGCTGGAGATCGACATTGCAATGACGAGACCCTCCTGGGGCATACCCAGCCTCTACAAAGTAGATATCCTAAAGTGGAGTAAAACACTGGAAGTGGGGTTGTGTTTCTTGTCAAATTATATCCTTGCATAACTTTTGGTTTATAAATAGTATTTCCTTAAAAATTATGGACACTTCCTTATAAAGAACTGAATCTAACATCCTTCAAGGGTTGTAGTGGTACATGAACATTTTTTCCCCTCTTATAATCCAGTATTAACTTAATAATTAAGTTTTCCAAAAACTACGGATAATTCAATTTTAACAAAAAAAAAAATTAAATTAAATTTAAAATCACCTTTAAATCCGCAATCGTATAGCCCTTCTTCAACTGTACCTGGAACGCTTCAAGGCCAGATATAAAAGCTGATAACCTTGACAAAGATTGTTTTCCACTGCCTCCGATTCCCACAAGTAATGCATTACCTCTTGGCATTTCCATGACACGATTAATCCTAATAACATGAACGAAAAATAATTGTATAAATTTAGAGTAATAATATATAAAATATACTACAATGCTAATAAGAATATAAACTTCTGATGATAATTAAATAATTAATTTCTGATAATAATTAAATTAATAATTTAAAATCTCTCCTATTTTTTCTAACAATGTTATATTAAAAAAATGTTACATTTACCTGCAAACATGTGCCATGGCATCTTCGAACAGAACCAAGTTCATAGTGGCCACTAATTCATTATATTGACCCATCGCATCAACCAGTGTCTTATTGAGCTTTGACCAGGAAGGCATCTGCAAGTACTTGGGATCACCGAGGCCGTCAACAAAATGTGTGAATATCAAGGGCTCGACAATGTATTCGTGTTCTCCAACATCCTAAATTAAATATTTTATTTTTACAAAAGGCTAATATCTTAAATTAAATATTATATCTTTACAAAAGGCTAACTAATTTGCAAAACTTTTTCGGTCATAATCTGCAAAGAATTCAAAATCACATCAATATACAATTCTATCAACAGCCACCAAGGGACATGCAACGGAATTTAACACAAATAAAACAGGCATTTATTAAAAGTTAATAACAATTTTGAAAAAAATTAATAGATCCAACCAAATACCTCACTAAGTTTTGAAAATAGAAGTATCATTTACTAATTATAAAGGAGAATATACTTTATAATTTAAAAAAATGCTATAAGATAATGTGCATTATCTTACAATAATATTATGTGAAGTTGTGATGAATGTTTCATATTATACAATTTTGATAATTGTTTATTATTTCAACATTCTTCCAATTTATTATTAGCTTTTATAATAATAATGGGAAAAAAGATTTCTATTCATGCATTAACAACAATTTATATCCTTTCCTTACCTCAGAATCATAATTATTATCCTGAATGAGCAATACCAAAAAATAAAAGAAGTGTTAATAAATAACAGAAAGAACATAATAAAAAAAAATTCTAACAATAATTTCTTTTACACAGCATTAATATTATTTAATATCTTTTTAAAACAAAATAATGAGTACTAATTAAAAAAATATATATATTTATACTTATACATGTATATATTCAAGGAGCCTAAGTTTTGCATCGCATAGTTTTTTAAACAAAATTGGAAGAAATCTAAGCTTTCTTAAACAAGGGAGTTTTTCTACATATATATATAAGTGGGGAATCCTGCAGTCCGGTGGGGGGAAGGAAAAATAATAATAATAATAATAAAAAAAAGACAAACAGCATAATATAGCTGCATGAAAGTACCCTTCAAATTGTTATTGTAAGGTAAATTATGCTTGTTTTTAAAGACAATTGTGTCTAGTCTATTTCTGTTCCCCCAATCTTTTTCACCTTAATAACAAGTTAAAATACTGACAGTAAAAAGGACAATCTTCCACATACTGTTGTACCTATAATCAATGGATGTGTAAATAATAAAATTAAGCACAAAATGTGTCAGTAATTGATTTATATTTTTTATAAAATTTAGTTTTAATTGCTTTAACTTACTGATAGCAATATGTTTTTCCTTTTCTTTTAATAACTATGCATAATGAAGATACAACACAATCACTCTATTATATAAAAAAGTTTTTAGTGACCATGTTATGTTTTATTTTATAAATACAAAGTGGGATAGACCATAGCGAAGACACCACACTTCTTATTCCCAGAATTATTATTCAGATATTTATCCTAAAACGATGGAAAGTGGATCAGGACATGCACGCCTTATTTGTCGACTTTAAATTAGCCCATGACTCCGTGGACAGAAATTGTCTTCGGAAGCTTATGAGTGAGCTGAGTGTTCCCAGAAAGTTAGTGAGGTTGATGAAGGCAAGTACAAATGATCCTAAATGCAGAGAACTAATACAAGAAGGAGTATCTGAAACCTTTGAAGTTCGAACAGGTTTGAGGCAGGAAGATGGACTCTCATCAATACTGTTAAACTTAGCTCTTGAGAAAGTAATAAGAACAACAAAGATCATGGAAAGATGGAGGGGTACATGTCAGAATAAAACATAAAATCCTAACATATGTGGATGATATAGCTGTCCTCAGAAGCAATCAAGAGGATATTATTGCAATAACAAGACTCTGTTAAGAGAAAAACAGACCAAATCGTGTTACAAGTCAATGAAGAAAAAAAAAAAATATATGATAGCCGAAATATCCACCCTGATAGCATGATCAGCGTGGACTCTGAGTCATTCAAAGTAGATAAATTCAAATACTTTGGCTCCACAATAATTTCAATAAATGATCAATTAACGGAGATAGACCAGGGAAAAACAAGTGCGAACAGAGCTTCCTTCTTTCTTTCAAGGATACTGAAATCCAGAAAAATCTTAAACTAAGGGTGTACAACACCGTGATAAAGCCAGTTATGCTGTACGGTTGTGAAACCTGGGCTTTAACCGGCACCCTAGAAAGCAGAATTGAGAAGCAAAAAGAAAGAAAAAAAAAAGAAGCCGAAAGAAAAGTCCTCTGTACAATAACAGAACCTATATGGGATCAGAACCTTAACACATGGAGGAGGAGGAACAATAGAGAACTGATAAAAGAAACTGGTCAATCAACATCTCATGATATGAAGGAAAGGAGGTTAAGATCGGTGGGGCATGTAGCTCGAAGCAATTTATCAGGACGCCTTTACACAAAAATGAATGCCATAGTTGTAGGCAAGAGACCACTTGGTAGGCCAAAAACTAGATGGATAAATAGGATAACCAAAGATACGGCTGAGTTTCATGCCGCAAACTGGAAAGCAGTAGCCCAAGATAGGCAAAGGTGGAGAAGGCTGGTTCAGGCAGTCAAAGATCTACAACGTCTGTAGAGCCAACTGAAAAAAAAAAGAAGTAAATACAGGGTGTCTCATTTCTTATTGACCAAACTTTGGGAGGAGATTCTAGATAAAGTTTTCAACAAAAAATTTTAATTGATGCATTATAATTATGAGTGATTAAAAAAGATTGTTTCCTTAGGAAATACTTCTATAATTAAGCCATTACATACATTGAAAAGCTAATTTATTACATACTTGAACATTTTTTTTAACTATCTCCAATAACACTTTGCAAAATGTATCTTGATCATGATGGTCCACCAATTTGTCGTGGTAAACTCTTAATGTCTCATGCATCCAAAGCCTTACAAAAGCCCCAGGATTGCTTATACATTCTGCATTGGTCAGGATTACAGACTATATTAAATCAATGAAACAAAAAAACAAATAGATTACAATCATATATTTACATTCATTTTTTTTAAATATGTCTCTTTTGTTTCTTCATTTCTTAAAGTGTATATTTATGTTGTTTTACCATTATATATAGTTTTAAATGTTTTGTTCATAGTTTTAAGTGTTTTTTTCATAGTTTTAAGTGTTTTGTACATAGTTTTATCTTTTTACTTTCACTTACGTATATATGTGATATATAGAAAGGGTAAGTATTGCGATCGAGAAAATTTTTTAATCTGAGTTTTCAATGGAAATACACATTTTGAGGTACCCTGAGTCGAAATGACCAAGTCCCGAAAAATGATCTGTGTGTCTGTGTGTTTGTATGTTAGTAGTCTAGCTCAAAAACCAAAAGTCGTACGAAACTGATATTACGTATTTAAGATAGGTATAGGCCTTAGATGCGACAGCAACTTTTTCCTCAAAATCGGCTAACCAGAAGTGCCACTTTATATCAACGCTGAAACACATTTTTATAATTTTCTCAAAAAACGGCTCTAATGATTTTGATTAAACTCAGTGTCTCAATGTAAAATGAAGTAATCTTTAATACCAATTAGGTCTTGTCCTCATTGATGTCACTTTACAGGGCTTAAATGCCCAATGTTCATATACGTCTTCCTCTAAAGTACCTTTAATATGGTTTATATTAAAAAGTTAATCATTTCACATTATTCAGAGTTATAAAAAAATGCTAAATATAACTTTTGAAAGAATTTGATAAGTTAATAAAGGAGAAAAAAATAAAAATGCAGAATAACCTACGTTGCTATACACTGCAGCACCTAAACGAATGTACCGATTTCAATGAAAGATCGCTAAAGTCATTTTCTTGGCACCCTTTAAATTTATTTATATAACATACTTCAACGAAAAGAAGCTGGAAAAAAAGTTATGAGGGATGGTAAAATTAAATTCTGAATAACCCAAAAAGTATACACTTTTTTTGTCGATATTGTGATAAGATGTTTCAAAGGTATTTAAATTTCTTACAATATGAAAGAAATTTCATCAAAATCGAAGCACTATTAGTAGAGATATCACGATTTTAAAATATTTTTAATTTCACTTACGTTTGTATTGCGATTGAGAAAATTTTTTGTATATAGCTTGTTTACTTAAGGTTTTCTTTAGTTTTTTTGTTTGTTTTTTCAATTTTATTTATTGTTTAAAATTTTTAGGCCAGAAGTAGTATTTTCTTTTTATACAATTTTGTTATTCTAAAGGGACTTTGTCCCAGAATAAAGTTGTTTTTCTATCTATCTATCTATCTATCTATCTATGTAATATGAAAGAAAAGCCTTACTTGAAAAACATTACTCAGATCTCTTAAATTGAAGATGTAATGAAATTTAATAGCAGTTGGAAGGAATGTGGCTGCAATCTTCGTATGAAAGAGAAGTGCGAGCTTCACTATCATGTCGACAGCTTTGAGGACTGTCAGAGAAAACTTGTTCAGAGTACTTCCGATATGCTGAGTTAATATTGAAGTATATATATGAGTCAATGCTGCTTCTTCGGGGAAACTAAATTAAAAGGATAAATTAATTTTTATAACTTTTCAGTAAATTATACTTAAAAAAATTAAGGCTTGAAATGAGATGATAACTTTTATTTTTAATCAGTTCCAATATGACTGGATTCTTTATTTTCAATTTTTTTCCTGTCATTTCAGAATAAGAACTATTCTCCATTTAAGGTTTTATGTAAAAGTTCTGTTAAAGTAATTAATTTAAGCAAATAATAAATATAAACAATGGTAATTGTGCATTTGTAATGGTAAAAAAATAGATTTTACACCCAACAATTCTAAGACTAAGCATTGACTACAATTTTCAAAGTTCCAATGATTATAAAGAAACTCAGATTCAAATACAACTTTAAGAAGCATAACTACAGCCTGAATTGAGGAGGGCTTTTACTGAAATGCTGCAAAAACTGATACAAACTGAAAGGAGTTAAATTTTCATTGATAAGTAAAGAATTTTCAAATAAATTGCTATTGCTGGAACTTTTGAATAGCACTTATATTTATTGGATCAAAGTAAATATAGTCATAGTAAATATTTTATTTATCTTATAAGGGCAATATAATAATGAAATAAATTAATACCTAAGCGCAAATGTCATAAAGTGCCTTTGGAGTCGACTATTTATTGTAAAACTGCCTGCTGTCGGGTTCATACAGCTCATGAACATCACATTGTGAATATCTTTCAATGAAAGCTTCTGTCTGTCATACCAATGATGGTAATCCATGAACTGACGAATTAGGGTATGCGGCTGGACAGTTCCATAAAGATCCACCTACAGTTATAGAAATCATAAAGATAAAATATAATTAGTCATATTTTCTCAGAAACACTTTAATATTTTATTCATTTTATTAGCAAAATGGTAAGGCTTCTAGTTTGGATTATCTTACTAGTATAGTAACATAATTTAAAAATAATTTTATACTAATAAAAACTAATAATAATTAGTAAGTTATTGGGGCAGAAATGTCGAGATCAGGTAAAAAGTTTTGTGGCCCAGCATTCAATGGGAGAAATAAGTCCACCTCATATCAGCTAACATAATTTTTTTCATAAGCAAATGATAGTGTTTTTCATACTCAATATAAGACCCTGAAACTGTTTCATTAATTATTTTAATCTTGTTTAATTTGAACACAAATTATGTTTTACAAAGGGTTGAACATATTTTGTCTCTGGCATTGATGCCTTAAAAGCCCAATAAACATTTTGCCCCTTCATTTGTACAAAATACAAATTCGTTATACTTATCACTAATGCTGTATAACATCTACATCCATTGAAATTGAAGGGGCCGATTTCTTATCAAGGAATCATTACATTTTAAGCACTATTTCCATGAAGTAGGACAACAAAGGAAAAAATTTTAATATATACTAAACAATTAATATTCACCACTGTGGGCTTTGTCTGTGAATGCAAACCCAGTTGTTGGTTTTATCAATGATCAACTACATTACCATTATAACATTTTATAGTATTAAATAACATACTATATTAACAGTCGTAGAAAATACAGTCCTCATGCGGCTGAGGATCGGACATACCAGACTGACACACCTCTACCTCAAAAGTGTGACACCTCATGTCAAAAGTATGACCAGACATTAACTATAAAGCATGTTTTGGAAGAGTGCCCTTATTACACTACAAGGTTAAAAGATCTTGATGTACCTCAGAATATATTAGAATCCCTGGGAAACTAGGAAGAAATCATTACTAAAGTTATGAAATTCCTACACAATAAAAGTCTTATAAAACATATATGACAAGTTTATAAATAATGATGTCTAGCTTGGAGGCTGCATACAGTCCACAAACGTTTTTACATGATATTCATTAATCTATCACTAGAATTAATTAATATTTAATTATTTAGGTTATGAAAATTGGAAAATTAATAGAATTAAATTGAATATACGTATATGGGTGAGTGAATTTTGTGACAAATAAAAATAGCAACAGTAAAATATAAACAATTCTTGTGGCCCTTATTTCACTGCCTAACCTTAGCATAGCCTATAATCATAAAAAGGTTTACCACCTTGATATAGATATAGTATATTATAACTGATAGGTCTTCAAGGACGTACCTCTGGCATGTTAAGATCATCAATAAAGTATATCATTACTTTGTTACCCTGTGGTCCATAATTCCTGCCAGCTTTCTTTTCTAGTGGCTTTTCTAAAATTTTCTGCAGTATTTCTGAAAAAATTTATTTTTTTGACAATGTTGAGAATATTTGTTTGAAATTGATAAAATTAAAAAAAAGTTTAATTAAAAAACTGACCAGATGTAGTATAGAAATTGAAAGGAATATTGGTGACAGCATAATCTTCAGTTAATGAATTTAATTTCTCATATATCACCACAGATTTTCCAGCTCCTGCCGGCGCAATTAACATAATAGCTTTCCTCTTCTCAATCAGCATATCCAAAAAATAACGGATTCGGGTTGTTTCAGAAGTATTGACCAGTGTAGACTATAATATATTATTTAAAATAAATACTTTTACTTTAAAAATTTAACATCAATATAGTAATCAGAAAGGGTTCTGTAATTCATACAAGATAAAATAAAATGAAAAAAAAAAAAAAAAAAGAGTACAAATACTATGAAGAAATGTTGTGGATATATGCAATAAATGTTCATAAAACTCACGATGAAGTGTAGTGTTCTGAAATTATTAAAACGTTGAAACTTTTTTTTTTATTGCATCTTCCATAGTTGAAAGATTTTTTTTTTCTTCAATATTATTATAAGTGAAAATTGGTCCATTTTTACAGCCTCAACAACTGGTAAATTCAGGTGGGTTCATTATAGTCTGTATATATTCTGTATATATATTTAAAGTTTTAAACGCACCAATCAATTATACCAAAAATATTCAATATGTATAGTTTCACATCAGGCATTTTTAATTTAGTTTTTTATTTTACTTGGTTGAACATGTTAGCAAGATAATGCCGAAAGATTACCTAAAAAGCTGCTAGAGGAAAAGTATTACATAAGAGGAAGAACCGGAAGACCAAGGCTAAGGTGGCTAGATAGTGGGGATGGGTAAACATGGCAGAAACATCTCAAGTCTTACAGACTGAAGAGAAGTCACAAAGAACTGAGATGATTGAAGTTGGAGGAAGACCTGTCTTATTCTCAGTTGTATTACTGAATAAGTAAGGTAGCAATATTTGTGATAGTTCCATTTAATTGAATTTATTACTTGAACTTGATGATTTGAAACTATTTTTGGGATAAACCCTTGAAATTTGTGATGAAACAAAGTTTCAATAATTTTTTTTTAAAATATCATAAACATGGTCGATACAATTATTTGAACTTTTAATTAAGGAAAAGAAATTATGATATGATTCCTTCAACAAACAGAAAAAAAAACACATGAAATTATTCAAGCACTTTAAATAAATTTCATTAAAAATTGTTATATAAAATAAAATTTTGTTTGTTTTTTAAAAAAGATAACAATCATCTATAAAAATTTAATTTAATTTATAATTAAATATAAGATTTAAATAAATATAATTTTATATGATAAAATATTAAATTTAAATATAATTTAATTAAATTAAAAAAAAAATGTTTATCCTATGCCTCTACATCATAGGTTCTTAAACTGGAGATCATAGCAGCCATTTCAATTTTGACATTAATTTTAGATCTTCAACTATATAAAATGCTTAGGATTAGGATTGGATTTGTGAAAAAATGTTCAAGTAGGGCTACGCTTAATACATAAGTTTAAGAATCCCAACTCTATACAGCATTTGAGAGTTTCATGAACCCTTAACAAAGTGGAATTCAACATTAAGACTTCAAGGAAAAAATAAATATAGTGTCCAATAAATCACCTGAAGAGGTATGTCATAATCTAATTCAAACTTTTGAACAAGATCTGACCATGGACGGAATTTTTTTGTTTCCTGGTCTACAAAGTAACTAAAAACTTGAGCTGTTCCTTTATAAACATCGGGAGGAAACTTGATCGTTTTGAATTCATTCACCCACCATTTAGTAAACTCATTTCTCCAATCAAGTAACTGGAAAAAAAAAAAAAAAGAGTGAGAGAAATTAAATAATAAGTAAATAAAGTAGTCCCGCTTAGACCTTCAGGAAGGATTAACAATATCTCACTTGATCCTGGAACATCGCTGAACCAAATGCCCAAACAGTAGCAAATACAAAGTATGTTTCGTACCTGAAATGATTCATGAGGGTAAAATACAAACGTATATCATATTAGATAAATTTTAACATACTTTTTTTTCTCACAAATTACTACAAAGTTATTCATATAAAATGCTCTAAGTAAATGTATAAATATGTAATAATTCATGAATATGCTTAAATCAATAAATTAATAAATGTAGGACAGCTAGCACATTAGAATTAAATATTGTTTGGATTCTGTTAAAACATGTGCTAATTAAGTAAATGCATGAGAAGGTTATTAAGGAGGCTTTTATCTAGTGTTTGCTACTTTTGCTTTAACCGAAATGAAATCTGAAGGAATTTAGAATGAGAGGACGAAAATCTTTTATCCATAATCAGGAGAAATGTGATGAAGTTTAAGTGGAATAATTATCTTTTTTGTTTTTCAATTCCTTAAAAGTATAGGATTGGCACATTTCGGAAAATAAACAGTGTTCAAATAAAACACAAGTTAATGTGAGTTGAGCTTTCAACTTAATAAGATAATATAGTCAGGCTAATAAATTTTTATAGCACACTTATCCTCGAAGTAATATTGAAACAGAATCTTTATGCATTTTTTTTTTTGAGCAATATATTGTATATAAAGTAAATACAATTATGCCAGATATTATCTTAAATTTGAATGATTTTAATTTTGTTATTAATCAATACAAAATTAGGAATTTTTAAAATGTCTACTTTTTGTTTCTTTTATGTCCTCTCCTTCCTCACCCCGCAATACGGGATTTTCCTGGGCCAAGGGAAGAGGGAGGTGGATTAATGCCAGGGTTAAAAGTTCCCCCTGGCACCTAGATTTAAACTTGTAATTATTTTATCAAGTTATCTTTCATCAGGTTGCCGGGCAATGTACACACGTTAACTCGCTCAGCTATCCCGCCCTGCAGAATGTCTGTTCATTGAATTGATAATTTTGACTTTAAAAATTAACTAACTTGTTAACATGTAACGTTGATAATAGAAATATACTCAATTGTTACCAATTGGAATTTATTATTGCCAAATAACTAAAATAAATAAACAACTTTCCAGAAAAAAGAAAATTTAAAAATTAAATATTGAAACTAAATAATATTGCCATGGCACCCCTGGCATTCATTTGCGGCCTCCCAGAGTTTGAGAATCTCTGTCTTAGCAAGTTAGCACAGAGGTTTTATATTTTGTCACTAAAGATCCATATTACCTATTCAGAATGATGAAAAATTAACCAATTATCACTTATTGTTTGAATACCCCTAATTTTCAAAACAAGATTTATTGATTTCTATCATGTTAATAAATTTTAAAAGTAGATTTTTTTAAACTTTTTAAATTAACAAATGTATATTGATGGAATTATATTGTAATTATATTGATGGAAAATTGAGGTGTAATGGCTAAACAGAGAGACTAAGAGGCAAAAGCGACTGTTCCATAACAGAAATTAAGACTAGTTTTGTGGAATAAATGTAAAAAAAAAAAGAGGAGTATTTTAATTTACAGGTGTTTTCTCTTTTATATATGTTGTTTTCTATGGAAGAAAATAACTCAAGAATTTAAATTGTATATAAATACATATTTTAAATGCCAAAACATTGTTGAAACAAAATGAGTTTATATTAAATATTTCTTACCATTCTCGAGGACTGTCTGAAGAAACATTGGCTGGAATAAGTAAACATTCCAGAAGTGAACATAACATGTGAATATGGGCTATAGAAGGGATTGGAGTTATCTTCTTGAATCTTGTTTTAGTTGCATCATAAGTTGACGGGATATATTTATCTATTAGATATTGTAGCATAGTTCTTTCAGATTCATCTGAGCGAGTATCTACCCAACTGGCTGCACATCTAAAATGAAATGGTGTTATATGTCCTTTTTTTTTAAATTTAATTATTAGGAAGTTTGTGCTAATTTAAGAGTTTAACAAATATAATGCTATGTTCTTCATAAAACTAAAACCATATAATGAGACAACAGCAGATAAATGATAGCTCATAATAGGTGGGATTTTAACATACAAATATTTGAAGATTCAAAATCATTTGATAGAAAAAAAATGGAGAAAATTGGTTCAATTGATAAATATAACTTTTTTCTTGTCATATTAAACCAAAAAGTGAAATAGAGTGTCAATAGTAGAAATTATCATAAAATAGGAAAAACAATAATGTTCTTTTATATTATTACAAATATTTTATACAAATAAATGTTGCACAAATTTAATGTTCAAACTTGTAATAAACCTGGATATATCAGTGCTAAAAACATTACAATAAAAGTACGTATATTCATATATTTTGCCTGAAATATAAATAAATATTATTAAATATTCAAGTTAATTTAAGAAGATATTAGGAAAATCATTATCAAAATAAGTATTTTTTTTCCAACCTGTAAATTATTTTAAGTACTACAGGGCTGTTAGAATGTGATAAAATGTTCTAAAAGAACAAGAAAAATAAAAGAATATTGACACTTAAGAATATTAACTTACGGAGTCCATCCTACTTCTATAGGATTGATAAACAGAATACCAGCTCTGGAAACAGTAGCTGGAGTAGCCGTCTTCAGGTTGGAGATTTCAAACAACAATCTCATATATTTTGTAAGAGCTATACGTTCATTACTTGCCAAGGTGAGTACCTATAGAATTAAAATAGAAACATAAATTGAACTAATAAATATTTAGAAAACTTTAAAAATTACATGAGAAGGAGTTGGTTAGAGGGTGCAGTCAAACGAATAATTTATAATAAAATAGTATTTTATTGTTTACGCCAACGTTTCGATCCACTTTGTAGGTCTTTATCATGCACGGCGTGGTATTGGGCACTGCTGGAAGCAGTTGGTAGACTGGCAGTGCCCAATACCATGCCCTGATGAAGACCTACAAAGTGGGTCGAAATGTTGGCATAAACAATAAAATACTATTTTGTTACATAGCATTCATATAACGGCACCCCCCGACCAACCCCTTCTCATATTATCATCACGGTCAACCATCTCTATACTATTTTAAAAATTACAGATAAACTTAACATAATCTAAATGGCTTATTATTTATTTATAAAAAAAGGCAAATGGACTTAAAGACAATAAATACCTTATTATCATCCATGACAGTATTGAGGGATTCGATCCACATTGGATCAATATCACCATCCATAACCATCCACTTTGGGCCGTTGCCTGCCATATTGGCCTGATCTCGAATCAGTACAGAAAAAAGGCCTACAATGCAAATTATATTAGAAGCCATAAAATTTAATTGAATCCATCATTATAACACACCAATTCATAAACAATTATTATGTATTTAGAGTAAACAAATTAAACCTATATAATTTATTTTTTCTATTATAGATCTTTTGCCACCTTAAGAAGTCTGCTCCATCTCTGCCTGTCTTGGGCTATTTATTTCATTTAAGCATAAATATAACATTAAATTGGAAGATTAGATGGAGATATCCATATAGTACTAATAGCATGAGATCCTAAGTGGTAGAATAGAATAGAATAGAAAATAATTTTATTCTGGGATGAAGTCCCTTTAGAATAACAGAAAATTACAAAATTAAAATGTTATATCTGACCAAATAAAACAAACATAAAAAGTAAAGATAAAGATAAATAAGTAAAAAAAATAATAAAAAAAATCTATATACAAAACTCTTGAAACCTTGCCAAGACACTTAAAATTATGTACAATGGTAAAATATAAATATACACTTTTAGAAAAAATAAAAAATATATATTACATTCTTCTTAGCAATAAACTCTGTGTTTCTGTTGAAAAAAAAGAAAGTCGAATCTGATAATAAGTATTTAAGTGATGAGCTAAATGTAAATACATTATTATGAATAATATGTAATTTTACATAAGGTTAGATTAGGGAGTATCTGACTGTTTTTTGGGACAGGAATTGGAATAGGAGGGTTTTGAATGTAGATAGGGATGAAGAATGCCGAATTTTGATAGGAAGGGAATTCCAAAAATTAACAGAGCCAGCAATAAAGGAGTTTTGGAACGAGGCAGATCTGTGAGAAGGAATGTAAAGGTTGGAAGGTTGAGATCTTGTGGAAAGGGAGTGGACTGAGGACTTGAATTGGAGAAGGTTGTAGGCACAAGAAAGACAATGATTGTTGATGATATGATAGAGGAACGTACCTAGGAAATATTGTCTTCGAATGTAGAGGAAGAGCCACTCTAACTCAGTGTAGTGGTGAGAGACATGGGAGTATCTCGGGGCACCAATTGAAAATCTCACGCAACTGTTCATTAGTCTTTTCAGTCTGTCACGGAGCTCCACCGAGAGTCCATTATAAACCACACAGCTGTAGTCAAAGTGGGGGAAGATGAGAGAGGATACCAGGAGTCTACGTGTATGTTGAGGTAGGAGATGGTGGAAGCGATGGAATAGTTTGAGGGTAGAAATGGTACACCAAGTTATCTCAAAAGTGAAAGTGAAAAGCAGTATTTTTTTTTTTTTTGTCAATTATATAATATGTACACTCTTCCATAATTTGCGAGATGGAAGAAAAAAAAAGTTAAACAGTCTCAAAGACAGTAAAAAAATCAGGGGCATCAACTGTAATACTGACTTCTAAACTTATTTAACAAAACAAAAAAATATTTTTTTTTGTGAGATAAGAGTATGAAAACAATTATTTGTCTCTATTGGTTTTGAAATAATTTCTTGATAAATAATTTAAAGAATATAATCATAGAAAAAAATACTAACAATAAAAAAAAGCACTGATTATTAAATTTGTAAAATCTACAAGGTTCTCTAATGTCTGCAATTTGTAAAACCATAGTGGGAGGAAGATTAGTGAGATCTTATAACAATTATTATTATTTATCACAAAAAATGTATTAATACTATTTGTGTAAATAACATTATTCTATAAATTAATTCTGATCAATAATGATCCTGAGTCATTAAAGGAAATTAATGTGCCACTAACTTGTGATATTCTCTCACAGTTTAATATTTGTTAGTAAAATTCTCTTATTTTTGCAAGTTCGAAACACATCTGGAAAACATCAGGTACTGCAATATAAAGCAACATATTTGGTAGTACATATTAATCCTTCTTTATATGCCATGGTACTCTTTAATGTCTTTTTTTTTTATTAAAGAAATTTACAACTGTATTAAATAATAAATACAACAAGTAAATATGAACAAGTAACATGACATGTACAACATGAAGAGAAACTACCCATTGGTAGCACTCCAATACACTTTGATGTCAAAAGATAAATAAATAAAATATTAACAATCCCTATATAAACTAGACGGAAATAACAAACCATCTTTCCATTCCCTGGTTTGCGGATTAATGACTCCAAAAAGTTCATCATTAGTAACGGCTTTAGGTTCCAGGTCATTATAGTGAGGCTTCATTTTCATATTGGCATAAGTTCGATGGAGAGTTTTCCACACCATTGATTTACCAGTTCCAGAGTCACCTATTATAAAAACTGAGTGCCTTACATCAAACAGTTCTTGTAATTGAACCATCTGAAATTAACAATGGTTTCAAAATTAAAACAAAAGGAAAGTTTATTGTTGATCATCTTTAAACTAACCCATCTATTTTATTTAATTATCGCATTATAAATTTATGAGGCAACTGCTATTCAATCAGTTAATTCATTGTCTTAACTAGGGTTTGAAATGGATTATTACAAAAATCAAATCTGATCAAAATTTTTAAAAATTAATTGATGATTTTTTTTAAGAGCGATTTTTATGGTTGATTTACTATTAACAATAATAATAAATATTGAGTAATACTTTTTTAAATCAGAAATATAAATTTCTTGTAATCTCCATGATATATTGTGAATCTGAAGTAGTAGGTGGAGAACTTTGTTGTAAGCAACAGAATATCTTTATTTCTGAAATTCATTAGAAATTTTGGCCTCCAAAAAAAAAGAAGAAATACATACATATATTTTGTGGAGATATTGCATATACAATTAAAGCCATTTCAGAAATATAATATTAAAAAATGTGTACAATTATAATGTATACATACATATTAATACTTAATTTAATCTGTGCATAAAAGGTGATTTTTATTTTTTATCACAATTTAATCATTATTTATGTAAAACCGTATGACTTATTGAGTGAACATTATTTTTAATCAAATCAATAAACATCAAAGATCGATTTAAATTTTTATTTATAAATCAGGCATGAATTTTAAATAAAAAATAAAAAATTATAATTATTACATGATTTTATGGAAAAAATAAATATCGATTTCAAATCCTAGTCTTAACTAACCAATCTGGTCATATTTGTGATGGTCACTTATATAATTGGTAGTTCCAAGTCCTTAACTAAATAATTACTTATCTTCAAATTGAATAAGTCATAATTATAAAAAACAAGCAAGTACACTCCGATTTCCTATAAACTAATATCTGAGTATATGAATGTAAAGGTAATTTTAATATACTCTATGGTACAAACAAGGTGATGGTTGGATGGGCTTCTGAACATTCAAGCGTTCTAGGTAATGAGAAAGCTGACTGTATTGCAAGGAAGGGCTCTACACAAATACTGTTGCACCAGAGGCCATCTGTGGTGTATTAGCCGCAGCTATGCCAAAAAACATATTATGGTAGCTGTTGGCAATAAAACCGTGCTCTATTGGAAGCATATAAGGAAACAAACTCACTCTAAGTTGTTCCTAGAAGGACCCTGTCACAAGAGAAGCGTATCACTTCTTCTAATGGACAGGAGCACCATTAGGTGTGTAACAGGACTGTACTGGTCACTGCCTACACAATAAGCACCTCTTTAATTTTGGCTTAATTGAGACTCCCACCTGCAGGCTATATGGCCTAGAGGATAAGACTGCTTATTACATTATATGCACATGTGATAATTTGGCTAGGCTGCAGTATTTTCACTTTAGAAGTGATCGTATCACTGAACCTAAGCGCTGCAAATTGTAGATTTTATTAGTGTTCACAAGTTCGTAAAGACATCTAGCCTGTTTTAACAGAATATAGGACGACGCACATTAAGCCTCAATGAGGTGCAGCTTTGTTGGGCTATTTTTTTAAAATTTATTTATTTATGATACTTATGACTGTATTAGTATAAATACATCAAGTAAATTTGTATAATCACAGGACGCTTGAATAATGAAATAATTTGTATAATGAAAACGCTTGTTGAGAAACTACCCATTGGAAGCATTCTAACAATATGTCTACATAAGGAGATCACAAGGCCATCTTCTTTTCAGACGCCTCAGAGGGTTATCAGGAATCAAAAAGGAAGGAAGATTAGAAATTATGGAAGGATAGATATCTGGATTGGGCCTAATCAGAAAATCATGGAACATTAAGGGTTTTATGGATTATTTTATTTGTGAGAAAGTAAGGGGCATTGAGGATTTTATGAAGGATTTCAGATTGTAAGGATTGGATATGAGAGGAATTTTATGCTTTAGAGGAGCCCCATAGCTAAACTTCGTAAGTCCAAATAGATCTTATTATAATCATGTAAATGACTCTTTTGTAATTAATTGGAAGTTTAGAGCATTTGCCTAGTAAGTATTAGAGTAAGCAGAAATGTCGATCAGTTTCTTGTCGTTTTAGTCTTGTATGAGGATTCCAAGTGAGATGTTTGTCCAGGAGGAGTCCTAGGTATTAGATTTGTTCAACAGGGATAACTGGGGTGTTATTAAAAGATACTGTAGGACAGGAAGTCATAGCTTTACGACGGAGGATAAAGGTGATTTGATAGGATTAATTGGAATTTATTTTAATCCTCCAGTTTCGACACAATTCTTCGAGGTTTGTGATGTGTGATTGAAGAACTTGGGATGCAATTGATGGATCGTTACTAACTGATAGGGTGCATGTTTCATCGACATATGTAGTGATGACAGTGTTAGGATGGATTGAGATATCAGCTGTATAAACTGTGTAAAGGATAGAACCAAGGATACTACCTTGAGTAACACTGGCAGTTTGAGAAAAGAGAGATGAATAGGGAATATTGTGATATACATCTATAAGTGTCTATCAGTGAGATAGGAACTGATGATGAGATAGTATGTAGGAGCAAAACATTTACGGATTTTGTAAAGCAATCCCGGGTGCCAGGCTCGATCAAACACCTGTTTTGTTGGGTTAAAAATAAAAATCTGAGTTTATTTAATAGGAGATTTACAGAAAGATTTTGGTATAATAATGATAACATTCACTTTCAAAATGAAAGTACTGCTAGTATATTAATGCACAGGTTATAATTAGGCTATAGCTTAAAGGAGCACTTTAAAAAAAATTGTTTATAACATTATATCCTTAAAATTTGCAAAGAATTACTCCTTAACTATCAATAGCATATAACTGTACAAACAATATTGATTACCTTCAAAACAAAGTTATCTTCAGGCTGAAGTTTCATATCTATTGCACCTTGTTTGCACTCTTTTTCAAACTCCAAATCTCTCTTTCTTGGAACATCAAGAGATGGAAACAAATCTCCAATGAGGCCCATAAAAATACTCCTGTCATCGGTAACGATCTTCGGAATATTGAAATCTCTCAAAGCTCTCATGAGAACCTGGTCCTCAGGTCTAAACGGATCAGCTCTCTAACAATGAAAATATTACAGGCTGATATTGTCAAATAAAATTTTGAATCTTTAATAACTTTCAGACAAAATTCGTCAACAATAAGTTGATTCATTTTTTTTTTTTTTTTTTTTTTTTTTTTACTAACTTTCAAATTGTTAATTTATAAATAATAAAGAATTTCCAGATAAAAAAAAGTCTTTTTCTTCTTATTTTAATTATAATAACCATAATTAAAAAAAAAAAAAATTAAATGGAGTTAGTCTACGATATTTGTTCCAATAGTTGAAAAAAATTATAATTTATAATAAAAGCATACCTTCAGCGAACCAGCTACAACAAGAACAGATTTAATTGCTCTTAAGCCCCAATCATAATGATCCTGTTTTGATAACAATTCTTTGCACAAACTGTATAAGGTTAAAAATTTCTTAGCTAACGGCCTAGCCTCTTGAAAACCTTGTGCAATCAAATTAATTTCACTGATTAATTCAAAATCAGGAACAACCATAGCGCAAGGCCTGTGAAAAAAAAATAGTATTACGATGAGTATATATATATATATATATATATATATATAATCTTCAAACTTAAATATAATATCTACTTCTAAAATACTAAAACTATTTACCATATCAATAGCTATATAAAACAAATAATTAAAACATAAATAATACTACAAATTATATAAATTAAAATAAAATGAAACGAAAAATCAAATCAACAGAATAAACTAGGGCTGAGTTTAATGTCGTGATAACATCTTTCAGACTGAATTCATAGTAGTTTTTAAATCTAATCATTGCCTGATTTTCTATTTTTAAAAGTCAAGAATTTTAATTAATATTGATTTTCGTCTATCATACAACTGGCACTTAAAAATTATTTGTTTACAATTTTTCCTGGCTGTCCAGAGAACAAGTACGATCATTAATTAAGATGAATATTTTAAAATATGATTTGGTCTGTCCATATATTAACTAACAGTATATAGTTGGTTATTAATATATCTCATTATATTATACTGAAAGAAAATTAATTAAAAATAAATATGAATATGATAGTTCGGTATATGCAAATTTGTGAAGTATTAAGAATTAGAATATAAACATATATTATTCTGGCTTTCTTCTGCAGAGGGTATATAATCTTCTTTCCAATATTTTGTTCACATGTTTCAAGAAAATTCTTCAGAGGGACAGAACATATGGACAATATATTAGAAAGAAGATTATATACTAACTGGAGAAAAGGACCAGAACAACACCATGATACTTCAAAGTTGATGAAGTATGGCCCAATATGTCACCACAAATCATTATAAACATTAAAGATAGAGACACTAAAGTTTTTAATTAATTAATTAATAATACTTCAATTTATATAATTTTAATAAATCTTAGTTTTATTGAAAAACAAGAATACATGAATTGAACCTCTCATTAACCTGTTAAGTAAATTAAATTGTTTTGTTAATCTATTATTATTGATAATAAAAACCGAAACACCTGATAAAAAAAAGAATCACCTGAAGAGAGCTTTCAAGTTTTCAGGTAGTTCAGCTCTTCCAGCATAACCTGGATTCATCGTGATGAACATACCAACAGTCGGAACGAGTTTGATTATATCTCCCTAATAATATAATATTCCATTATATTATAGCATTATCAGTGTTAAATAGTGCTTTATTAACTTTCAAGTTAAATTAAAGAGACAGCTAATTTGTTTGAAGAGAATAAGCGTATAATAAGCGCTCAGTCCATGTTATGTAAGTAATTCAACTGCTTGTTGACTCTAATGATAATTAATTTTTACTTCATATTTTCCACTAAATAAAATTAACTTTCAAAAAAAAAGAAATTAATTTAGAATAAAAATTTCAAAAACATAGGTAGGTATAAAAAGATTTTAGTTTTATAATTATTTATTTATTTTTTTCATTAAATCATAATATTTTTTTTCTAATGTTTCATATTTCTAATGATTTTGAAATTAATGTTATACTAAAATTTAAAAACATTTAATGGAATGCAACTAAGTGGATGTGGAAAAAAAAAATGTTTCAAGACATTTTTGGGAATGAGAACTTAAAAAACATACAGTTTTCTATTTAAAATAAACATGATAAACACTGAAATTCATATGGGTTAAAAGATTTTTGTAAGATAAATTTAAATCAGGAAAAATACTCCAGTATTTAGAAAAAGTAGTATATGTATGTAGTAGGTAGTATCAACAAGGCATTAAAACAGTTCTAAACTTTTATTTTTTAGATTGATTATGAATAAACAATAATTTAAAAAAAAATTTAAATGATGTCATTATAAACACGGAAGTATTAATAAAACTTTGTTACTATATAAAAAAGGAAAATTTAACACACCATAAAGTTGAATGTTGTTTTCTTTGATTTGATTGCGTCAAGAACTGTTTTGACCTGAACAGCTACGACAGAGAGCACCTCGACGGATATTCTGTTGAACTCATCAAAGCAGCCCCATGCTCCTGTTTGCGAGAGCCCCTTATAATTGTTGCCTAATGACTGAAACAAAACCACAATTACTTTTGATATGTATTTTTAATTAAAAAATAAAATGATAAGGTATAATTGTAATGAATGAGAAAACTTCGCTGTTTTTGTCATTACTTCTTCTTTGTCTTAAATTGAAACTTTGGCAACAAAACATATCAATGAGGTAGAGTTGGAATAAAAATAAATAAAAAAGATTTTCTAAATTAATTTTAGAAAAATTCAAAACAAACAATTGACTCTATCTAATAGCTGTAAATATCCTTTCATTTGTACTAGTTTTTGATTGTTTACAGCTGTAAGTTGAAGTTATTTTGAATCAAAACCAGGCCCTTGATAAATCTTTTTGAGGGTGTCTACTGCCGTTAGGATTTCGAGAAACTAATTCTTTAGTGAAGGAAGGAGATGGTCCGGGGAGGCAATCATAAATAGGCTAAATATTGGCAAAACTATTTTATTAAAAGCCAACGTTTTGACACGACTTGAGTTTTAAGTGAAACTCCTAGCTGAACACCCCTCTCTGAAGAAGATCTGCAAAGTCGGGTCGAAACGTTGGCTTTCAATAAAATATTTTTGCCACTATTTAGCCTATTTATGACCGCCACCCCGGACCATCTCCTTCCTTTATAATGCAACGGTCAACTATTAAATATTCAACATAATTCTTTAATGACATTTTGTGGCAAGAATAATAAGTATATACGAACTATTGAATGGGTGACTACACTTAAAATGAATTAAGACTCATTTGGTTTTGTTTATGTCCAGTGGTCTTCACAAAAGCTGTTGAGGCACGTAAAAAAACTAAATAAAAGGGAACACATTCACTTCTGATCAATGCAACTTATTTATTTAAACAAATTATGCAAATAATGAATGATAATTGAAAGTCCTACAATATTTCTTCTAAAAACCTTCCTCTTCTAGATAAATGCTCTAGTGGAGCTCTCTTGCTCATCTACCAGCCTCAAGTAAGTACTCTTTTCTCTCACATGTTTGCGTCCATCTCCTGCTGCTGCCACCTGTCAGAAACTGTTCCAAGCTCCTTGATTCATTTGTTCTTTGTTTTTCTTATCTTTGTTCACCAATTGTTGATACATGCACATTTTACACTTTGGACAAGACAATTTGTCCACTGCACAATTGAGTCTAATTCATTGTGCACTCAATCCATCTCTATTCATGTTTTATTATTCCCTCACTCAATATAACTTAAGAGTAGGCCATCCGTAACGTAGCAGTGAAGAAATGACATAATTGCAGACCAGAGACAGCATATTTCTGAGTGATGTACGATCTTTATTTAATGATTTTTTTGTTTTTAAACTGCTGAAGTCAGATAAGCCATTTTTGGTCTGTATTAGAGTGACTTTATAATTTTCAGTTCTCATATCTGAATTGTAAAAATGTAGAATGGTTTGAAATGTTACATTTATTTGCTTGTAAAAACTTCAAACCCGATTATCCATCAATTTCATGATGTATAGAATATATTATTAAAATTTTATATTGCACGAAATTGTATGAAACAACTGAATTACCTGATAATCCATTTGTTCCGAGCAATTGAAAACGTAAACTCTCATGCCAAGTGCTCTTCCTAAATCTTTGGTAGTTTCTGTTTTACCAGTTCCAGCAGGACCAGCTGGAGCTCCTCCCATTACTAAATGAAGGGACTAAACAGGAAAAATATGTAATTAATCAGATTCCTAAAAATAATTACATTTATCATAATTCTATGAAATAAAATTTCTGATTTTTTTTTTTAAACACTACTACATATCGTTGGCACTATTTGTGTTAATAAATTATATCCTAAAATTTATAAACAGACAGATACAAATAATATTTTATGAAAAAATACTACATGGCAACTCAATCACTTCCGATTCTCTTGTTATGAATTTTGTTGTCTTCGTTTGTTCTAAATGCATTTAGTTTGTAGATAGAGACTTTAATCATTGCACAACTAAATCTGTGATCACTGATAATCAAAAATAACTAAATAAAAAACTAGTTACCTGTGTTAGAGTAATATAACATCTGTCAGTCAGAGGAGTAATAACCAACCGCCTTTCATTCCCAAGGTATTCATAATCATAGCGGAACATTGCATCACAAATATTAATCAGACAGTCATTAACCTTAAGATCCCACCTGAAAGAATAACCTTAACTGAACAAAATAAAATTATACAGAATGATTTGTTATGCCACATGTAAGCAGTCGGACCCACAAAACAATTTGTCACAATGATAAACTTCATCATTTTTTGGCTGCCAAGATTTGGTTGCAGATAAAAAATTGGTCAATGTTATTTGAATATGGGGTAAGTAAACAAGCAAACCAATTTTTTTGTTTATTTTCAAATATGTGAAAGTCGCATGAGGGATGGAACCTCCATAACAACCTATCAAAGGTAAGTCCAAGATAGTTTTAACAAATAATATTGAGGAAATTCATTACCTATTTTTATTTTAAAAATTAATTAAAAATTATTTATTTTTTTTTTAGTCATGATATTTACATTAAATATTATTGTATTAAATAAATACATCTAATAAATTTTTTGTACAAATAAATAAATAATGACCTGAAAACACTTGTTGAGAAACTACCCACTGGTAGCACTCTAATAATAATATTTCTACATTAGGAGATCAAGGGATCATCTTCTTTTCAGATGCCTCGCAAGGTTTTCAGGAATTGAAGAAGAAGCAAGAGGATTAGAAACGAGAGGGTTCTGCAGTTTACTATGGAAGGATAGGTATCTGGATGTCAAAAAAAAAAATAGAAATAGAAAAATTATATTGATTGAAAACAAAACTGAAGATGGCGTTTTATTTTGCCAATTAATTATTTTTTTAAAATTACTTACAGCAGTTTGTTTTTTTGTTACTAACTGCAAGTTTATATTATTTTGGTCTTTTAGATTTTAAAAATTGTTCCTTATTAAGTATTTGAACATTCATAGTTATTTTATTTAATATATATATATATAATATTAAATAATAATATTTGATATTAATAGTTATTAATATTTAATATTAGTAATTAATATTTATTTCCCATTTTTGATGGTCACAATATGTTTTAAACATTTTGGTCTATGAAAGAAAGGAAATGAAAAACAAAATAAAATAAATTTAGTGGAAATTTTAATCCTTCCTTTAATTTCTTGATGCAGGCACATAAGTATATTTCGATGTTTTAGCTGTGTTTTATAACTCTATATTTTATCTTTTTTTAATTTTTATTAAATGGCATATTCTTCAGGATTTTATTTATTACATAAATACGTTCTGTTTAGATAATAAACAAACAATATGAGTTTTACTTTAAGTTAAATAATTAATAAAAGTATATGCAGTCACGATCATAGAAATCGCATCACCTATTCCTTTTGATTCTTATGCTAATAATGTTGATTCCATTGAATTTTTTTGTTTTTCTTTACTTATTAAGGTTACAAGAAAACTTAAACAATGTTCATCAATTCAGTTTTAACTAACACCAGGATAAAAGCTATAATTATAACCTATATCAAAAACTGTCCTGGTCAAAAAAACATTATAATTGTGACATTACAAGTAAAGGAATTTTCACAGAAAATAGTAACAAGGATAGGGTATCACCAATCAATGGTAGTCATAGTTTTGAAGGAAAAAAAGGCACCATGGAGCAAAATAAAGAAACTGGGAGGAGAAAAAACATACAAACAATTTGACCGCTTAATGGTACAATGTTTTTAGAATATCGTTTCATAACAGGCAAAGAAATATCCAAAGATCTTGCAGTAGCAATCTGGAAAATAAAATAAAATTTAATAATATTATTTGCTGGTGATTATCTACTATTGCTATGATAGATGACTGTGACAATACAATAGAACAAACAATTAGAACATCAGCTGTGGATAGAGAGAGAACCCAGTTCATCGCAAAAGATCATGTTCTGTGTGACTGAGTATGTAGGATAAATGAAAGAATCAAGGACACTCTGATATAGAGAGAAATATAATCTTTCCAACATGGTTTAGTGGTAAGAGATTTGGACAACATATTGAATAGAAAAAATAAATCTCATGAGTTTCTATGCATAAAGGAAAAAGTGGATCGACAAAAAATTTTAGCACTGTAGAAAAAAGGATGAGTTTAGCAGTAAGATTTGCTGAAGTATAACAATTCAGTGATTAAGATATTTAATTTTATTGAAACAAGCTTAGGATCAAAATTCTATAAAGACCAAACTCATTACCTGTGCCTCAGCTGTGATTGCCATTGGAAGGCAAGACCGCTTTCAACCTTCATGACTATCAACTTTGTAACAATATCTCTTGAGTGCACATCTTGGGTGCAGATTGTCATGATCTCTTCTCTGTCATGTTCTGACAATTCTCCCAACAACAGGTTTATAAGTACATTCAACTGATTGATCTGTATTATTAAAAGTAAACCAAATTAGGCATACCTATCCCATGATGAAAAAAACATTTAAATGTAATGTAGCCTTATAACGTAATATGCTTTATTGATTACCTGTTTTTTTTGGTAATCTTTCATAGCATTTTCATACCCTTCTCCTAGCTGGGCAAACGCTATAGTGACTTCTGTGACCCACCAAATCTGTGTCCCAAGGAGTGCATATTGGGCAGGATAATCAAACATCCATTCCTCCCTCGGTTTTTCATCATATGTTTTTATTGCCACACTCATGATGTCACGACCAGTCATGCGCATGCTATCAGTTACATTATTCAGCCATCTTTCCACCTATTTCAATAAAATAGTCTATAGTGCGTATTTACATAAATTGAACATTCTTCATCTCTACTTGGGGTATTGCGACCGTTTTAAGATGCTAGAGTATTTCTTGAAAACATTAAGGCTAATCCCATAACTATCAGAATAGTGGAAGTAGTTAAATTTTTTGAAAACTTTGAAAATTAACGTGTTGCTGATACTTATGCTAAATAATATGTATAATTAATTGAGTCAACATAAGTTTATTATACCTGAAATATTGTGAGAAATATATTAGATAGATAGATAGAAAGTAAACTTTATTTTGGGACAAGGTCCCTTATGAATAACACATATGAACAAAAAATAAAACTACATCTGGCCAAAAATTACATTAGTCAATATTAAAGAATATATAGTATCTTCAGTAAAATGAAATTAAAACAAGTAAAAATAAAAAAAATAAAACATTATTTAAATGAAAAGAGAATAAAATAAAATTAAAACTCTATCAATTTTAATAACCATTCACCTCAGTCAAAATCTGTTTCGCAATATTTATTTCATTGTATAACGTCATTTTGGGATGTGACAAGGAATTGGTAAAGATGATATTTAAATGAGGACAAGGAAGAGGCATGGCGGATTTCAAAAGGCAAGGAATTCCAGAAGGCAGTGGATCGGGCAATAAAGGAATATTCAAACGTCTTAGTTCTATGGGAAGAGATATAAAGGTCGGAAACACGGGATCTTGTTTTTTGATAGTGGATCACGGGTTTAAACTGTAGGAGACTGTAGATGTAGGAAGGATTTCGGGTGTTGATCGTTTGGAATAGAAAAGATCCAAGGAAATATTGTCTGCAGAAAGAAGGGAAGAGCCACTTTAACTCTTCGTAAAGGTGGGACACATGAGACCGCCTCGATGTACTGAAGACAAATCTTAAGCACGTATTCATGAGTCGCTTCAATTTATCCTCGAGTACCATCGGGATGCCTCTGCACAACACACAGTCGTAGTCAAAGTGGGGGAAAATGAGAGAGGATACAAGGAGCTTACGGATGGGTTGTGGGAGTAAGTGGCGGGAGCGATGAAATAGCTTAAGGGTACCTAGAAATAGAAATAGAAATAGAAAAATAACTTTATTCTGGGACACAGTCCCTTGAGAATAACAAATTAGAACAAAATTAAAATATTACCTATGGGGGCGATATGGGGTTTCCAGGAGAGGTTTTCATCTATGGTGATTCCTAGGTTTTTAACGGAGGAGCTGAATGTGATAGGATGATCCTTGATGACTAAAGGAGGAAGGAAGGAAATGGATTTAAGAATAGAACTGGAACCTATAATAATGGCCTGAGTCTTCATCGCGTTTAGATTTAAATTATGAAAAATAAAGATATTGTAGTGATTACGCAGATGCAAGATTTTCTTTTAATTAATAATCTAACATTGTTAAATTTAATACTACTACTACTATCTTACATCAATAAATTTAATAATATAATAGTTTTGAATGTAAAAAGTTATGAATGGTCTGGCCTCGCCTCAAACCTTCCGCAGACTATTTAACCTGGACAGACTGGTAGGCTACAATTATTAATGGTTGAAGATAAGATTTAAAAGTGAGTGAAGCAGTCAGTGATTCCAGTGCTAGTGAATTCTTTATAAAGAATGTTGTTATCCATGTTAAGCTTATATTGTTTTCTCAGGTGTCAATTATATTTGTATTTGTGTATACACGGCTTCCAGTTAGGATTGCATTTTAAAATAACAATTTAAATTGGAACTTATCAATAACAATAATCAATAATGTAATTGATCAACTGGCTGAAAGAACATCAAATTTTATTATATTATCTCAAAACAGAAAACCTCAGATTTAAAGGGAGGAAAGCATAGAAATTATTTTTTCTTTCTTTCTTTATTTTTTCTATTACAAAGATTCATAATTGAAAAGAAACCAGAAAAGTAAATTAGTCATATACACTCTTTTAAAATCAGTTATGAATGATTGTATCATATAACATTTTGATGTTTATTATAATTAACAAACAAAGATTAGCCCAACGATCGGCTGATAATGTATTAATATTTACAGTGAATTTCTGACTGTGGCATAGTTGATAACAGTGAGCAATTAACCAGGATTAAAAAAAATTATAATAATGCGCAGGTAAATTGGGCAGGTTATTAACAAAGTGAAGAGAGAAAAACTTGGTCTCTCTGAAAATGCATTTGTTCTAGTTCAAAATTTATGATTATATATGAGTAAAAAAAGTCACAAATCTAAAACATTATGAAATAATATGAATATAAAACCTATAATATTAAACAGGTAATGTTTTCTTTAAATCAAATAAAATAACAAAAATTGTTTAAATTAAGATATGTGAAAGCCTTTCTGAACATATCAGGAAATAAAAAATGTAGAGTCTAGGTATGTACTAAAATTTTACTCAATACATCCCAACCTGAATGAAAGGGAACCCCAAAAAATAACAGGTTAGATATAACTATTATTAGATAGAAGATAATATACACAAAAGGCCTCCCTCTATTTATATATAATTATTCAGACATAATTTAACCTAGTTTTCAAAAAGTTAGTGGACATTCATTAATGTACCCATTCTTCCAACTAATGCTGGGACAACAATCTGGGGTTTTAACTAAAAAAAATTCTTGCTATGTAGAAACCCTTTCCTAAACAATGATAGTTCTTCTTCCCTTTCATTCAAGATTTATGGTAAATACGAGGAGAAAAAGAAAAACACCCACCTGTCCATTACAATCGCAATTCTTAGAAAAATTGACTCTTTCTCCATTCTTCTCCTCCATTGCAATAGCTAATTTTGTTTTTTGACCACCCTCTGCTTTAAAATGAAGTTTGTCAATTGAATCGTATAGTTTTGATAAATTCCTAAAAAATATATATAAATTTTATAAAGCACATATAAATTTTTAACATATGAATGAAATTATTTTTAAAATAAGCGACTGTAAAAATATTAAAATTTATGTACTTTCATGGATTTTATAATCCCACCATCTTCTATTTCATCTTAAGTTTTTTTAAATTAATATTTAATAGAAATATATCACATATTAAATGGTTAGTTAAATTATAGATGATAATCAAAATAAAATGTCGAATTGTTCTATTTATGTTTTTTTTTTATCAATCCAATATATTATTTTATTTCCTGTATTATTTCAATCTTCATAAGATATTTTCTTTTCTTTATTATTTCTATCTCCATAAGATATCATAAACCATAAACCAAAGAGATAAAAAAATTAATTATACCTAAAGCATAATAATACATAAATAGTTCAGTTTAATAAAAATAAAAAGATATTGCTCACTTTTATGAATATAAAGAATTATAAAACTAACACAAAGAAATTTCTAAATAAAATGAAAAATATGTTAACTCACTTGCATACTCGTTCGGGAAAATTGCTATTTGCTAAAATATCAAGTAGAACAGCAACAGAAAGGAAATAGAATCGTGGATAAGCCATGCGCTTAGTTTCCAAATATTGAGACATAGCTTTCTCACATTTTGTCAAATCCATTTGAATAGCATTTAAATTCTCCAGTAAATTTGGTCGATTGGCTCCCTCAATTACTTTAGGATACTGAGCTAAATCGTGTAACATACCCTAAAAAGTTCAGAGATTATTTTATTTCGAACATGCATATATAGCTCATTCATATTTATTAAAATAATGGCATAAAATGGAAACCACAAGATAAGACCAAGCATTGTCCAAAATAAAAACATGAATAAAATAAAAACAGCATTTGCTATTTCGCTTAGTTTATTTATTTCAAACCAATTTTTGACAGAAACATAACGAGCCTTCAGCACATTCTATTTGACAACATTATATTGTTTTTATTTATATATTTCCTGCCAAAAACTTCATTTTGAAAAAATGCGATATCACCTGTCTTTTCCCCATGCTCTTCAAATTGGAATACTGTTAATACTGAGCCCCCAGTATTAAACAAAAAAAAAAAAAAACTTGCAAATATTTTGAGGTAAATTACTTTATTATTTCTCATTTATTAATTTCATAAAATGTAATAGGCATTTTATTAATGTAAATGATTTATAAAGCACAAAATATAACAATGAAGGTGGCAACACTGGTTCAGACCAATGACAGCATGGTAATGCTGGGGCTGTTCATTAGAGTAATATTGGATCTTAACTGTTTTTGTTTTAATATCCCATAATCTCATAACAAAATTTCAACCTAAAAAAAAGAAGAGGAAAATAAATGAATATTACAGCGATAACAAGTACTAGCAACTTGCCTATTACCCCTCAAGATATATTTAATTTTTTAATGGTAATATGGTTTAGCACATAAGATATTAATAAATTATTATTACAAATAGAATTAATCTATACTTGAACGATACCAAAAATAAATACAACGTACCTTAAAAGTTCGATCAGTATTATCAAATCTCTTAGTATCTTCTGGTAACTGGCGCCTTATATCATCAGATCCTATAAAAATAGCCTCCAGATAGCTCCAAGTTCTCTGCACTTCATTCCAAGTATTAATAACTTGGTCTGCCATTGAAAGTTTTTTCTGCCATGATGAAACTTCCTCAAAGAAATGTTCAACGAACTTGGAACTGAGCATGTTTTGAAGGTTTACCTATAAAAATTATTTATTTATTAGCCAACACTCACTCTCAGAATTTTAAAAATTAAAAATCCCAGATGGAAATATCAAAGTTAAAAAGAAATGAATTATATTTATTAAGGAAAATCAAGAGACAGTAACAATGTCTATACTTGGCGTCAGAAACTGGAAGGTAGCAGTAAAAACAGAGAAGAATGGTAATCTAATATAGGGGAGGCTTTGACTCAAAATCTGAGTCATAACACCAATTAACAATAATAATAATAAGATACAGAGAGATTTGTGAAATGTAATCAATGCTTGTACCTGATCACTTTCAAGCTGTTCAATCAAGGTATCAGTAACCCTCAAGACAGGAATGCCGGTACGTTCATGAGGTTCCCATTCAAACTCAACATTAGACCAAGTTTCTTCTAATTCTCTTAGCGTCTTTTCCATAGCTTGCTCTTTAACAGACTTGTCGACGATAGTTTTAACTTCTTCTTCGTACTTATATAGGTTTAATTCAAGAAGGTCTTTCAGAGTAGTTTCATCATCAATAACAAACTTAACCTAGATCGTCATAATTCAATATTAGGCATAAAATATTATTTATTACACAGTGTGGAGAATGATAAAAGTAATAAAAATCTCTTACTGTAAAACCTAGTTGACCTGTGCGAATAATTCACATTTTGTCATAAGACAAAATAAATTAAAGTAATGATATCATAAGATAGAGGAATTTATTATCTTCTATTCCGTAATCGTAATTAATCAAGGAAAAGAAAATTAATTTAAAACCATTCATGTGTTAAACCAACATTATAATTTGCATTACATTCACATTTACAAATTTCTAGAAGCTGTTTATTTAAAATAATGTCAGATTTCGATGATTTTTTCTTTTTGGTTTGTCATTTTTTGTAATTTATGGGTCCTAAATTCCTGATAGTTCTTGTGTAGATAGAAAGATTAATGTTCAAGTTGTGACTTTTCAATTCAAGTTGTGAATTTCAAACAATCTAAGGGTGGAGTTTTAAACCCATTATCTCAAAAACAGTATATGGATGAAGGATCACTATAAGATTTTATGATATAGTGATCCTTCACTATAACGTAGATTATGAGGAAATGAAACCTCTTATCTGTTATAGAGGTACCCATACTATAGCAGGGGCAGAAAAATATAAATAATTAGAGGAATTGTTAATGATAGTTTGTGGACTGTTCTACATAGATAGTCGGGACACAGTCAATTTTTAAGTTTTATTGCCAACGTTTTAACCCAAGCTTGAGTTGAAATGTTGGCAATAAAAACTGTCTATCCTATCACCCATAATTGGAAGAATTGTACACACATATATGTAACAAGAGACGCTATATTAAAAAATAAGCTAATGACCACTCTATTAAACATAGTGAAAAAATATATTTATTAATATATACGTTGCTGATATATTGTTGGCACCATGTTGAAGTAATGAACGTGAATTTGCCCAATGTAAACTTTCGATAATAATTATTCGTTACTACAACATACACAAAGCTATAAATTCGTAAAAATTATGTCATTCAGATTCCACAGTTTACAAGGTGGGTATGGAGTACAATGGTAAATGAACAAAAGTGAAAAATGTTATTACATAAATGTGATTTTTCACAATCATTACTTCAACATGGTGCCGACAACATGTTCATGTTGTTGTATAAAATAACATTCATTCTAAGTTGCTTTAAGACCTTTTGCTTTGCCTTAATAACCGTTTCTTCTGTGCGAGATTGGAATTTCCAAGTAACTGAGATAATGGTAAAAGAAGAAACTTATTTCAAGATCTTAAAAGTTTCATTAGAAAAAAGTTCTGTATATACGGAATAAATTTTCTATATGTCAAACGAAAAATGTTTTCTTTAAAAAACAGATTGCTCATAGATTAAGTTCAGAAGAAGTATTTGGTCCCTAAACAAGCAACTTCAAATAAACAAGAAATTCTTAAATTGAAGATATTGAATATTTCACTAATTATTTTAGAGGTTAATATAAGATTCTACAAGCAAAACAAATTAAAATTAATTAGAATAAAGCGATAATCATAAAGAATACATCATCATAAACTATTCAGTTTTTAGACCACTCAAAGATACTGACGACATTAAGTAAAAAGTATTTTTAAAAAATTCTTTATAATTATTTATATGAAATAAGCAGTAATTTAAATGAGTGAAACGGTAATTTAAATGAGTGAAAATCCCAAATAAACAACTCAAATTCTAAATATCTAAAATTCTAATTCTATTCTCATCTTCTAGACCTAAAAGCCATGCATATCTACACCGAAGCAATTAATCAAACCTTATAATGTTGCATGGTTTCTTGGTAATACTTCTGAAGAGCAACCTGCAAAGAATAACATCAATAACAGCCACTACATTCAGAATAACCGATTTCTCCCAAATTTCCACACTCATAATGGTAAAATAATAACCAACAACATCTAAGTATGACCACTGCTTTAAATTAGCAGTTTTAAAACTTCAATCCGATATTCCTATCAAAAGAATTGTCTTTATATCCCATCAGCAGAAACTGCTTTATTTATAATACAGCAAATTATTGAACAATATTTTATTATGGATTTCTTTTAATGGCTTAGAAAGGGTCATATGAAACCTCTTATCAGCAGCCATTTTGAAACAGAAAGGCTTATGGTAATATAGAGTTCTGAAAATCATCTTGGGAGATAGTTGGCTTTGGTATTTAATCTAAAAAGGTCAGACCAATAGTTTTGGAGAAAGTTTTCAGAAGGTGTCCTATGAAACCTATAATTGGCCACCATCATACACAGATGGTGATGCCGAGTTCCAAGGATTATCCTGAGGTGAGCTGTGATTCTGATGCAGAATCAGGAAAAAACTAGCTCCTGCAATCTTGGAAAAATTCACATATGGCAGACGGGATGAAAATTGAAATAACAAACGAAAACATATTTGCTACATAATAATTCCCTCACATACCTGAGGTAAAAAAAAAAAATGAGATCTTACTTAAAATACATTTTTTTGTGTCACTTTTATTCAAAAAAGTGATTTTAAAAATACACCTTTCTTGCACTTTCATCACAATAACTTCTACCCATGACTATACACTTTTTTAAAAATAAATGTCTGTAAGAAATATTTTGTTAGTTAATTTTTCATAATATACTCTTTTATCATTTCATTAGTTTCTCCCAAAACTAAATATCATAGAATAAAACTAAGTATCAGCAAGATGGGCATTTTGTGAAAACGTTCCGCACAGTTAAGTTAACCCATTGATATAGATAACAGTAACAATTGCAAAAACTATACCTCGGTTGCCACCATTAGCTCATGCCAATGTCGTTCCTTGATTGCTGGGTTCTGAAGTTCTGTAATGGCTCTCAATGCTGTCAGTAAATTCTTTATTGCAGATTCCAGCTCAAGGTAAATATCCCAGTTTCTCATGTCCCTATCCAAGGCTATTTTAAGGATAAAAAAAAAAATATTAATTTTATAATTTTATTCAGACAATAGATATTTAATAAAATATTTTCAAATGAGTAAAACAAGACCGTATAGCTGCCTTTAAGTAAGAAATATTCATAATTTTTCAAATGTGGCAGCCATAAGGCTCCAACACACAGAATGTGACATGTCGTGGCGTTATGATACCCTTTGTGGATATCGTTGCAGATTACCGCGCTCTGTGTGACTTCTATAATGCAATAGATAGTAATACAACTATATCGTCAGGTTGCAGCTGATAGGAATATCATTTTGCCGATACATATCACACTCTGTACTTAGCAGCCTGAACCTGTAAAGGTACAAATGTCCATTCTGTAAGAGAATTTCTCAAGAACTTTGGGATATTTCCATTATAATCACTTCTTGAAACAGTTCTTGTAGAGCTACAAGTTTTTGGCCTCTAAAACCTTACCCCTTTCAGTTACCCTTCAAATTTTTATTTTTAAATTTATATCCAGTATGGAAGTCCTTTTAGACATTTGATGCTAAAAGGCAATTAAGTCATGAGCGCTCCCTTCTCCTCCTCCCAACTTCTCCACATTAAAAAAAAATGAAACTTAGGAAGAGTAAAAGAAATTATAATTTATTACTTTATATTTTAATCCATTGAATATATTTCTATTTTCAATGCTTAATAAAATTGCTAGAATTAATTTATTTCAAAAATGTTTTGTATTTTTTTTTACAGTTCCCAAAAAGTGGATTATTTTTTATATTTGGAATAAAACATCACATTTATAGAAAACTATCAATATAACTATTACGTCTGATTCATTTATAATTTATAATAAAATTATCTAGAAATTATAATTTAAGAAAAAAAAAAAAAAAATTACTTCTTATTTCTTTGGCAAATTTTTTCAGCTCCAAATCCATGCTCTCAGAGTCTATTGTCTTCCATTTAGTATTTTCCCAAGTATTTATCATGGATAGTACCATGATTATATAATCCCAATTTACCTAGAAAAGGTAAAAATAATGTTCAGCTATTTTGAAAACTGGTATTCACAAACTACTTAAAAGGTTATTTACATCCAATAACTCTGGAACCTAAACTAATGAATAAGTGGGAAGAAATATTTTGTGATTGAAACGTAGATAATGCTCAATCAAAGATATTGAATAAAAAACTGAAACTAGCAAATCTAAAAGGTCCCTTATACAGTCAATATTATTGAGTCAATGTAACTGAAGATTCCCCTCACACCTGTCAATGGTATTGAGTCAATATTATAGCAGTTAACAACTGGCTTTCTCAAAAGAAGCAGGTAATTTCTTTCATTTTTCTGAACATGAGTAACAGTGAATTTCATATTATCATAATTTTCGTAACTGTAGCATTAAAAATAGAATTTTATGATAAAAATATTGTCACACTAATTTATTTGCCTTATGGTCAGTTTAAATTAATCAAATTAGTCTTTGATTGTTATTATAACAATTATTCAGGTAATTATATTATTTTTTTTTGTTTTTATATAATAAATGAAAAAAAAAAATTATTTATATATATATATATATATATATATATATATATATATATATATATATATATATATATATATATATATATATATATGGATATATATTTTATTTCCAAGCAGGAGTAAAACTTCAAAAGAATTACCAAAAGTAGTCTTGATAGGATTAAACTTGATTCTTAAGTCCTCTTCACCTGTACTACCATAACCATTATAGATTATTACAATTAACTTTAGTTTGTGTTAATTCATTTAATAATTTTGAAGAATTGTTATTCCTCGATGAACATGTTAAAAAGATATTTTTAACCATGACTTTTTTTTACTTGTTAGCATACCACTAGGGGTACATGTAACCCAACCTGCCTCCTTTGTTAAGAGAAAGAAAAAAAAATGGACTGATTTTTCTGCAAAAAGTAAAAAATGTACATTGTATAAAATTACGTAATAGTTTAAATTTCATTCAAGACTCAGAAAATACTCATCGTACTTAATTTAAGGTAATAATATGATTTTTTAAAGGTTTTACAAAAACTATCAGTTAGTACAAGATACAAATAAAACAGTGAGGAAGCAAAAATTGAAAAATTATTGTTGGGCCGCATTCCATGCAGGAGTGAGACTTCAGAAAAATTACCATTAATAGGCTAGATGGAATTTTACTTGATTCCTAAATCCCCTTCAAGAAACAGTTTCATCTTTACTACTATTACCATCATAGATTATTATTATTATTAATATTGGCAGTTGAAACACTGGCCAGTGTTTCAACTGCCTCCCGCAGTGCTACATCCACGCCCTGAAGCGACCTGCAAAGTGGGTTGAAACGTCGGCAAAAATTAAAATAATTAATATATTTTAATTTATTATTTATTTGACCGCACCCTCGACTAACTCCTTCTCATACATTTTTATATGTTTTACCTGACCTACTCCCAGACCATCTCCTTCTAACATTCAAAAAATAATACTACATAAATAACTTATAAATTTAAGCTTTTTGTCTTCTATATAAAATATTAATAATTCTTTGACAAGTTAATTTTCTATTGATAAATATATATTTATCAATTCTTAGCTTGAAACATAAAATATATACTAACTTTGACTAAGTACAATTGCTTTCTGAGATGTGCAACAATTGTTATTTCAGCAACAGGAACCTCAAACAAAGCAGCTTGATCGCACAAATTCTTCTGCATCTTTTCTAAATCACATATTTCTTGATCACATTTATTTATTTCTTCATAGGGTTCTTTGCAGTCCCATCTAGGGTCATTAAAATAAAAAAACTATCATGTGAATATAACATTGGCAAGACTTTACAGATATTTCTATGATGGAGAAAAAAACTTACCTGAAAAAATCCTTATTTTTAAATTTCTCCATGAATAAATTTTGCCGGATATCAAAGAAAGAAAGCCTCTTTCGGATGGTGTTAGATTCCTCTTGCATAAGAGGTCCAGCTTGAGTTTTAACTAAGGTTGCTTGTATTTTCAAATCTGCCCAGCGAGCAGGCAACTCCTGTTAATTTGAAAAGAAATATATTCAAATCAAAAATATACCAAACATGGAATTTTAAATATACACGATACTGTAAAAAACAGCACTTAACAGCGAATTAATATTGTAATACTAGATGTGTAAATATAAAATTAGAATTTTCATCAGACAATACATGTTTATTGCATTAAACTTAAAAAATACTTTAACCCATAAGGATAATAACCATCAATGCAAATAAATAGTAGTCAGGCAAACATTGATAATATTTACCAATTGAATGCCTAATTGGTTTTGCTGTATGTGATGGCACATCATGATAAAGCAAAATCATTTTATTTTGTCTTTAATGATATTCTGGTCATCTTTCATGCAATACCTAGATTCAAATTTACCATTTGTTGTTGATAGTATTCAGAATCAATGGTTTCACCAGATTTTATCAGTTCATAATAGAGCATACGCTTCAGATCCCACAAAACACAGAGCATTGTCTTATTTCTGTAGCGACTTAGCCTTGAGGTATTTGAAGGTGGTTTGACTGGAGTCACCCATGATCTTAGATGCTTAGGGTTTTCCAAATATATCCATTTTTCATCACTTCTCACAATTTGATGGAGAAATCATATTCTTTTGTTTCTGATGAATGATGAACATTTCGGAGGTGGTTTCTTGTTGTCTTTCATTCAATTCTTGAGAAACCCATTTTCCCATCTTCTAGATCTTTCCCATAGCTTACAAATGTATGTAGACAGTTTCTTGTGTTACATTCAATTGATCTGCAAGTTTTAGTTGGGTTGGAGCATAGTTCTCATACCTAATGCTTGAGATTCGCTGTTTTCAAACTTTTGTAGTTGTCTTTTACTTTCTTCATTACTCGCATGAATCACAATCACACTTTTGAGTTTTTTATACCAATCAAAGTGAGTTGTGGTTCACCAAGGTATGCCTACCACAAGGTTCAACAAGCATTTTCTGCGAATCTACTACAATTTTCTTTAAATGGAAACAGAAAACTAATGCCGTCCACGAATCATAGTTTGTAGTCAGAAAGCTTGACATGTTCAACACTATTAAATGATAATAGTAGGTACTGATATGAAATTATATTGTTATGAATAGAAAATCAGTTGTCAAAGAAACAAAATGGCTCCAATAACGCTGTTTAGCAGTAACTACAATTAACATAACTAGATCTAAGGACAAATTCCGGCTTCTTATTTACATATTTGGTAAATTTGTGGATACTTAACATTTCAAATGGATTAGAAACAGTACCAGCCTTAGACAGTTGGCGCCCCTCGGTAATGAGGTCAATTCTCTCCAAAATGTTAAATTTATTTCTTAAGCTGTTTTATATCAAGTTTCTCCCATTTTGAATTTTGAAATTGAATTTTATTCCATTCAATATATTTTAATTTAGTTGCTTTACTAATAGGTTAAAATTACACTTTTATTTATTTTTTAGATTCTTGCTGGGTGCTCCCCTTCAGATCAGTGCCCATTGGCAATCACTTGGGTATTCCGGTCCCAAGCTCGTAACTGATTAGCAATACCTATCAACTGAAGAAAACTGAAAAAAGAAAAATTCTTTATTTCTCAGAGGTCCTTAAATTCTCACAATACCTTGTAAATAATCTATTAAATATTCCTAGTTCGGAGGCAATTGTAAATAACCCGTCTGGCGGCGATTGTGAATAGCCTTTCTGTTTTGTCGGGAGACTAGGTTATTTACATAGTGAATTTAATTTTCTTAAAACAAAACCCCGACACTGGATATAGACTTTTTGAGGGTGTTTAACTGTCGTTGGGAATTCAGGAACTCAATGCTTTTGTGACACTAAGTGACAAGAAATAATAATAATACATATATCTTAAATGTGGGATTTAGTAAACACACTTTGAATGAATTTATTCACCTGGTTTGTTATTCTTCAATTGTGAGGCCTATAGGACAACTAAATAGAAGGACTTTTCACTCCTGTATAACAAAATAATTTATTTCCACAACTGTAATAAATTGAATCTATTTAAGTATTAACTATAGGCTTGATATTCTTAATCATCAGTTTAGTAGACTTCTCTTCTCCAGTAACATCCTTCCTCCTTCCTCTCCCGGCAAGAAGTCCTTTCTTGTTCTCCCAGCTTCCTTTTTCAGCTGCTGTCATCTACTCGCCCTTTTTGAAGCTTGTTCCTTTATCTGTTCTGAACCTTTTTCGTCGATAGTTTATCGATAAGTTACTTTTCAATAAACAACTTGTCCACTGCATAATTGAGTACAATTCATAATGCAACCCTACATTCATATACATTCCTTCTCATTCCCTCACTTAATGTCACATAAAGGAGTAAATACTAGAGGCCATCTACTACAACCTGATCATGGTCTTAAGATTTATACCCAACGGCCCACTGAACTGTGGCATTTGACAGGTCTTCCATTATCTGTTTTTCATCCCAATGTCCTTTCCCACTTCTGTCGCTCTAATACCTTTCCTATATCAAAATTTCACCTATTTAACATCTATTCAGTTACCAACAAATGGTAAAATAAGTATATTTGTAAATATGAATATAGATTATTAGTCGATTTTTATTCTTGTTACATCTTGCTTATATCACCTTTTCATATTTTTTTTTAACATTGGAAGTTACGATTTATTATTATTTTTATTTACATAGTTTGTTGTTCTTTATTACATAACTCTAAGGCATTAAAACCTTCAATTTTGTTCATATATGTTTTTAAAATGAGAAACTTGTCCCATAATAAATAAGGAGTATGCTATCATTGTTATTAAAATGAAAATTAATAACGAATATTCCAACTTACCTTAAGCAAGGTATAAGTGTTTTCTGAGAAATCCAAACCGTAAGGTTTAAGGAGATTCATAATGTTCGATATTTCCTCAAACATTTCATCTGTCTTTGCAGTCCTATCTCTGATGTTGAATAAATATCCCATGACAGTTACGAGACCTTCGTAGTCACCTTTGACAAGTGGTATACTCATTCCCTCACTCGCTCTATTAATGAACTCATCCAATTCGACCAATCTGCATGAATAGAATTATTAAATTTATTAAAATCAAAAGATTTTATAAACTTGAGTTTATAACTCACAGTGTTTTAAAATGTATCTTTTAAATGATTCATCATCGTGAAAAAAGACTCAATGAAAAAGTAATGTTAGCTTGACAGTGATGTTTGATCATATTAAATTGTAGATTGAATGAGAAATGCATAATGTGACAAAAGAACAAACGTGCACTGATGAAAGATTTCCCTTCAGATTTCAGATTATCTGTTCATCAGTAGTTTATTCTTTATTTTTCCTCTATAACTTTGCTCTCACGACAAAATAAAAAAAAAAAAAGATATCAAAGTTCTTTTTATTATTGTTCTTAGTTACCCTGCTCAGCATCTAAAATTGAATAAAAACCATTAACATAACAAACTAATTTTTTCTTTTCCCATACATTAGTTTTATAGGTCCTATGTTGAACCTACAAAACTAAAGTACGGACTTAAGGAGATTTGTTGATGTTTTAATTATTTTTATTAAAATTCAGAAACTGAGGAGGTAAAAAACCCATCTCTGAAACAGACAATAATAAAAAGACTTTTTTTTGTTTTCACTTTTGACCAATGGGCAAAGTTTTAGAGGAAAAAAATAAAATATAATGAAAAGAGTTTAAGAGAATAAACTAATCAAATAATAAGATATATGGTCATCCTGAAAGTGATAAATATGTATAGGCTTTAACTATTTCAATAAATAGTCAGCGATGTACAAACTTCATGTCTTGCAATGATTAAGTAATCATTTCTTCAAAGTTTCAAACTTAAGCAGCATTTAACAAAAACATTAAGTATAGAAAGATTTAAAAAATATCCATATCATCAGGATGAAAGAAGCCAATATTATTATTTCTACAGGTCCTGATATTGAAATACCTCAAGTGTATACTGAAAAATATTTTTAAATACTCTTGATTATATAAGTTGCATGTGCATCACACAACTATCACTTACCACCCTACTTTGAGTAGAAATAAGAAAAAACAAAATTTCCAGACAATACAATATATTAATTTACAATAATTGATTGCCATAAATTTTCCTCATGTGTCTAATCCATTACATTTACTCATTTTTCGTCACCCTCCATTTCTTTTTACGGTAATATTTTTATTATTTATTTAATTATAACAGTGCCAACATTTTCTTTAATCTAACAAGAGTGCCAGTGATAAATAGGGCCACTTTATTTATTTAGATTTCAATGTGGGCATTTTTACTTGTTTAGGTATATACACAAATTTTAAATCATCACATTGCCATAAACTATATAATTAAATATTAATTAATATCATTTATAAAAATCACATGTTTAGGGGTATAGTATTATCGAAGCACCAAAATTCCTTATCTCAGATATAGCATATTAGAATAAAACCTACATTAAATTAAAAATTTCTTAATAATACACTGATTCAGTGAGTTTAATCAAAATTGTTAGAGCAATTTTTGAGAAAATTGTAAAACTGTAAAATTGGCAATACAAAGAGCCACTACTGGTCAATTGATTTTGAGAAAAATTGCTATAACATCCTAGGCATATACAAACTTTAAATACGTAATTTCAGTTTTATAAGACTTTTCATTTTTAAGCTAAAATGTTTACATAAACACACATAGACCATTCTGCAAGAATTTTTTTTATTTGGTCCCCCCTTCCTTGCCTTTTAGGTAGACTACACTTTTTCTTGGCAGAGTTAAAAGTTTCACCAAGCACCGGGGTTTGAACTCATAGTTATTTTTCTATTTCAAACTTTAGTAATTAGGTTGCTGGCAACGTGCGGTGCTGTGCACACACGTAAGCCCACTCGGCCACCCTGCTCTCTCCTATTCTGCATGATTTGGTTATTTGGACTAAGGGGATCTCAAAATGTGTATTTCTGTTGATAACTTGGATTCAAATTTTTTTACAATCGCATTAATTCTCCCTTACTACATATTTCATATATAGGTAAGTGAAGTGGGCGGGGTGGCCGAATGTGCACTGCACCGCCGTTGCCCGGCAATCTGACATATGAATCAAAGACATAAAAATAGTCACGAGTTCGCGTCCCAGTGCCGGGGGAGTCTTTTAAATCCCCGCCCACACTCCCTGGCCCGGGAAAATCCCGTATAGCCTTAACAGCGAGGAAGGGAAGGACACAAAAAAAAAAAAAAAAAATATAGGTAAGTGAAAATAAAAATAGATGAAATTTACATAGCACAAGAGCCCAACTTCTTACCTGTCAACAACTAAATTATATAAGTGATCTTTAAATAAAGTGTCCCATTCTTTATTTTCAGTTAAAACACGTTCTTTAAAACTGGTGAGATCACATTTAAGCCATGTATCTATGAAGTCATAGTCTGGAATTGTCTCTAATTCTTTCTCTAGTTCTTCATAAATGTCAATCTGGAAAGTGTACTTAATTTTAGAATAACTCCAAAACACATTGATCTGTTAAGCCGAAAATGAAACTATCTCTATCACATTCAACTGAGCTTCAAATGAATCACTAATACATAGAACAAAATAAAACTTCAGTAAATCATATTTATTAGAATTACATTTGTTTGAAACATAAAAGTATTGTTATTTTGAGAAAGCTATCCAAAATATCAAACATATTTAACACCTATTCAGGACAACTAGGCTTGCTACATTTTTTAACACGTTTAACATAGCTGCTGAATATGATATCACTTAAATGTCACTCCCGATGATATCGGTCTCTAGCAACCAACAATAGTTATAGAATTCCGAACAGCATCGGACGTTGGAAACATACATCGGTTTTGAGGTATACTGCTATTTTTTGACAATACAGGTGAAATAAATTACCGATTCAGTGTCCTGTTGATTGTGCTCTCATTATGACCAGCAATCATAGGAGTGGACTCCAACGTCCGATGCCGTTTATATGACAAGTTTTTTATTATTTCTGTTTATTTCATTAAAAAATCGTTATTTTTAGTGATATAAATCTTAAATATTGAAAATTAAATAAGAAAAGGTTTATTTATTACATATATTTATAATTTTTATGATATAGTTTGTACATTACTTGTGTAATACTTTTTCAATGTCAAGATAAAAACTCAAAGTTACATAATAAGTATCATATTGTGGTAATGTAAGAAAAATATAGGTATTACATTGGAATTTAATTTTAAAAAAAGGAAAACAGAAAGTGAAGTATTGAAAGTGAATGACATTTGAAGCTTAAAGGTCCATGTGATAAAAGAAGTAAGCTGCTACTGAGTTTGGGCAGAACAGCTCTTTAAAAGCTTACAGCGATCTACACAGGCCACTGTAAGCTAAACTATCACATGTTCAATCTCTGAGTGACGACTATGCAGATTCTGTCAGGAGGAGAATGAAACAGCCTTTCACATCGTCTGTCAATGGGATAGATTTGTCAGACTCGGACTGGAGCTATTTGAGAAAGAACAGATGGATCGCCCCAGTAGCTATGAGACTGTCGATCCAGCAAGCCTATTAAGATACGCAGAAGTGACAAAAATAACATTTTAAGGAATAAAATGAATTGCATCATGGCACACAATAGATCCTTCAAGGGTTGTGGTGTTTTAAGCCAATTAATAATTTAAAAAAAAGTGAAGTATTAAGCTACTGATTGCTTGAGATGCCAACAGTCCTCACAGAAACTAGTGACTTTGTGTGTTATCTTATTTGCCTCCTTACTTCCTAGGATCTTTCTCAGTTCTCTGTAGCATTCTCTACACTGCTTTCCCTGTTTCTTCCCTCACCTGAAGAATGGACACGACGCATCAGACGTGGTGATGATAGTCGGGGAAAAGTTGTGAGTTCATAAGCGAAAACCGATCAGAACTTTGTTATTGATATGGGTTATTCCTTTTTCATGTTAAAGATGGTCCTAGAATTGACCTCCAACGTTTCAAACATTATCTCAATATCCATGCATGGACACTGCCCAGTCACAACAGGAATATAGATCGCCGGATAGGACAGGATAGGACGCCGGGGGCTGATACCGTAGAAAAATCATTTTTTATCAGTCTGGTATTGGTCCCCGACGTCCTACAGCTTTATATCACATATAATGATTATTTACGTTTGTATCTTTGCATCTATCCAACTCCCACTGAAATATTTTTAAAAATGACCATTTTAGAGACTTCATAAGATAGGAAAAATTTGAAACAATCCCGGCTGCTTCGTAGTCGAGACAAATATCAGTCCCCCGGGACCGTAACCACAGCTAACAGTCCTAGAGTAAGACAGAACAGGAACTGTACACTGCATTTTGTGTGAATTGGTATGAGCAAATAGGTGCGGTTTTGTAAATAGAAACAAGAACTTAAAATTGTGTTAAATAACTTATATTTCAAGACAACTACTTAAAGTTTGATTTTTGAGGATGACTTAGATATTGTAATATTAAAATGATTGAACAACAATGAAAGAAACATCAATAATAATAAATATAAATAAAAATGTACATTACCTTAGCCTTGAATTCAGCCAGAGTTGGGGCTTTTTCTTGAAGGTATGGTTTATCTTCATCGTCAACTTTTCCCTGAAGCTCTAACTCTTCTAATTGCAGAATTCGGCCATATTTTAGAAACTGCTTTAGTTGTTCCTTTCTGTCATCTAACCAAAGATATGCATATTTGCGATAAAAGTCCACAAATTGTCCAGCCTGTTAGAAATATCAGTAATCAACATTTTAAAATATTAAAAAAAAGAAGGAATACTTCTAAAAATATATATTGTAAGCGTATTATAGATGTGAGTGATGGAAGAATAAATTCTACTGGGAGGTGGATCTGATAAGAAAAGATGTGTCAAAAGCCATGGTTAAGTGGACCATTGTAAACAAAGTTAAAGAATGAGAGCAGGTATAGCGAGGATGGACAGAGGATTTGAATTAAGGAAATGCTAGATGAAGAGTGGGATTGGATAACTTTGTAAAGGAAGGATGCCAGGACGATACGAAGTGTCAGCTCTCAATTGGAAAATCAAGAGCGATTCCTTAGGATCCTTGAGATAAATCATATTGAACAAAATGAATGGTAAACAATAGAAAGGGTGACCAGCCCTTTCTGGCATAATTAAGAATCCATTAGGGTCTTTAGTAAAACTAGTGTTTGCCAAATGGTCGAAATTTGACCATAATCATTATTGAACACTCAGGAAAACATAATTGAATCAGCATATTTCCAAAAAAAAAATTTTCTACTCTCTACGTATTCGTACATTCACTTTTATATGTACTTAAAAAAAGAAAACAGTGCAGTGCCATTTTTGTAGTTTTTGAGTTATTGGCAAATAAAAATGTGAACCATTGATACTTTTTTTAAAATAAACATTTGAACCCACTTTGCATATGCGGTGAAGATTTGAGGCAAAGAATTTTGTATTGAGGGTTTTTCCAGTTGTCAAATACCAATTTCAATTTGGTTTCTCATTAAAAAAATATTTCAACCCATTTTGCTCCTTTGGGCAGTACAAATTGTTTCATTTAATCAATTTACTCACATTACAGATATATTCCAAAGAACAATTTGTCATAAAAGAATTCTCCTAAAAAATAACAACTGAAAAAAAACGCAATAAAAGTACCTTATTGGACAAGAGTCTTTTTAGCCCTGGAACCAGGGCCCAAAAATCGACCTGATCGCAGGCGAAGGTTTGATTGTAAATTACGAAAGTGTATGTTATTCTAAGTAAAAAAAAACTTTGATTCTATGGGTTCTTCCACTTAGGGAACTCATTTCCAAGTTACAGGACCATTTATAGTAATTTTTCTCAGTTTTTGACAAATTTGGTAAAACTCAGCTTTGGTTGACCGTGGTTTTATACCTTAGGGCGTAACCAAATTTTAATGTTTATGTAATCGTTTGACGCAAAATTTAACGTTCTTTAATTTGTTAAAGAGTACATTTTTCGTCTTGATGCATTGTTTAGGAGTTATAGGTGAAAAACTCAAAAAATATCGAAAAAATCTGACTTTTTTGGCTGTAAAAAGTTTTCCCTTGGTGGCCCGCATTAGCAATTTTGTTTTTTCCATGTCTAAACCCATATATACAAGTTAAAAAATAAAAACTTTTCTTACATTTTTTGCAATGGATTTCCTGTTTCGAACCTCAAATTATTGGCCTAATATATTTTAAATCAGCCGCCATTTTTGAAAGCAGCGGCTCTGGAACGGCAGACAAGTTTTTTTTTTACTCAGAATAACATACACTTTCATAATTTACAATCAAACCTTCGCCTGCGATCAGGTCGATTTTTGGGCCCTGGCTCCAGGGCTATTTCGATTTTTATGATTTATTTTTCATTTTATAGGGAATTCAGGAAGCGTTCACATAATCACAGGTCTAATGAACCAAAAATTGTGTACTGTTTGAGTCAATCGCGAATAAAATTCTGAATAGCTACTTTTTATTCAGCTTCTTTTCAGCGAAGTATCTTGCATACATGAATTAATAGAGCTTCAAGGAGAAGACTTTAGCCACGTCTCATTAAAATCATTACAGCTTGTAGTAGACATCCCCCTGTATTTACTCTTTTAGACGACAATGTGTGAGGGAATGAGAAGGTATATATAATATATAGGAATGTGAGGTAGCACTGTGAATTGTACTCAATTGTGCAGTGGACAAATTGCTCATTGGAAAATCTCACATCGATTAAGAATCGAAAAGAAGAAAAGGTCCGATCAGGTAGCTGGCAACAGATGGCGAGGACGACACCAAACACTTAAGGCCTGGACACCAACACAAGAAGACGTCATCTGGGAAGAGAGGCTTACTACATTGAAGACCAAGATTATCAAGCCAACCCTTCACTCATATATATTCATTTATTATCAGTTGTCATAATAAATTGTTTTATTATGACACGGAGTGAATAGTCCTTTTATTTAGTTGTCCTATAGGCCTCACAATTGAAGAATAAACCAGGTGAGTCAATTCATTCAAAGTGTTTACTAAGTCCCACATTTCATGTATATATTCTTATTGTTTTTTCTCACACAGTGTCATACAAGGTAATAGATCCCCGAATTCCCAATCACAGTTAAACACCCTCAAAAGTCGATATCCAGTGCCGGGGTTTTGTTTTAAAGATTCACGAGTGTAAATAACCTTAAACCCCGATATAAAAGCCGAAGGCTATGCGCCTATTCCCGCCAAAACAAATCATTTACATTTAACTTCCTGTAGGTTATTTACAAGCTGTTTTGGCGCTATAATCTATAGCGACTAACGTTTTTCAGTTTGAAATAAAAGGCCAGATGGTAATGAAATTTATATAAAAAGACTCTGAATTTAATTAAAATATATCACAGTTTCAAAGCAATCGATAAAGAACTTTTGGAGGTTAGCAGTTTTGAACAAATTAACGTTTACATTCTTATTTATATGCACTGTTTCCAAATTTTTTTTATTGAATGACTAAAGCTCATTAATAGCTACTAAAAAAAAAAGAAAGTCAGTTGAGAAATAGAGGAGAGAAGGCGATAATAAATTATAGAAATGAAAAAATTACCTTTACAACTGATTGTGCAACTTTATCCTTGATATCCTTTTCTAATTCAACTATGTCCTCATTTAAGATTATGTCATCCTAAATAAAAGAATAATAATTAAAAAAAAAAATTATTATTACTATGTATGTAAGATTTTGATTACATTATAAATGAGTCGCTTATTTCATAAGTGAACCTTAATACATTGTAGTATATTGCCCCCAGTATTTACTCCTGTCAGTGACATTGTGTTAGGGAATGAGAAGGAATATATAGGTATGTGAGGTTGCACGATGAATTGTACTCAATTATGCAGCGGAAAAATTATTCATTGAAAAGTCTCATATCAATAAACAATCGATGAAGAAGGATGCTGCAAAAAGATAGACCAGATAGCAACAGTTGCAGGAGAATGGCGAGGGAGAGAAGGGCACTTGAGGCTATGACACGGAGGCGAGATGACTTGAGGCTGAGACATTGAGGCGGAAGGACATACCTGGGAAGAGAGGTCTACTACAAGATTTAGAAGATCAAGTTTATAGTTACAACACTTTAATAGAGTCAGTTAATTACAATTGTAGAAATAAATGATTTTATTATACAGAAGTGAAAAGTCATTTATTTATTTAGTTGTCCTATATACCTCACGATTGAAGAATAACAAACCAGGTGAGTCAATTCATTCAAAGTGTATTTACTAAGACCCACATTATATATATATATATTCTTATTGTTTCTTGTCACTCAGTGTCACAGAAGGTATTAGATTCCCGAATTCCCAATGACAGTTCAACACCCTCAAAAAGTCTATATCCAGTGCCGGCGTTTTGTTTTAATAATCACAAATGTAAATAACCTAGTTTCCCAATATAAAAGCGGAAGGCTATTCGTCAATTCCCGCCAAAACAAATTATTTATATTTAAACTTTAACATGTTATTTACAATATTTTTATGAAAATTGAAATAATTATAGATTCTAGTATAAAAACACTTAATGAATGCAATGGTGCATTTTTTTTTTTTCTAAAACGAACCTGACTGAATATATTCAGTATTAATAATATTAATAAAAAGTGATGAGAAACTAAATTTTTTTTACAAAACCATCCATGTTGAATAGTATCATATTATCTTTAAGAATGTTCCAAAATTGCAAGTTGGTTTTATTTCAAAATGTGCCTCAAACCATAGTAAAGTAGAAAATAAATATTTTTTTTTTTTTGCCGGCTATTACCTACTTTTATATTTTATGACCAAATGCAGAATTTTAATTATTACTTTTTTCTTCTTTTTTTAAAGGATGATAAATATTTAAGATATGCAGTCTAGATTTGTTTTATTCAGTTCACTGACGTTTCTACCTAAATATGATGGTCATCATCTGGAGATGATACAATCATGTGAAAAAGGAGTGATGCATGTCAGAATGAACAATAAAATCCTTGTATAAGCAGATATAGCAGTCCTTGGAAGCAATCAAGAGGACATTGAGAAACTTACTAGGACTCTGATAAGAGAAGTAAAGCAAACCAACTTACAAGTAAATGAAGATAAAACAAACTATAAGATAATAAGCTGAAAATTCCACCACAATGACAGGATCTGCATAGAAAGGAAATGGTTCTCTAGGGTAGACAAATTCCAATACCTCGGATCCACAATAGCCTCAATGAATGACCAACAGTCAGAAATAGAGTAGTGTAGTATGAAAAGCACAAACGAAGCTTTCTTCTCTCATTCAAAGGTATTGAGATTCCAAAATATCTCAAGAAATTTCAAATTAAGGATGTACAATGCTATGATAAAGCCACTTCTGATATATGGCTGCGAGACCAGTACCCTAGAAAGAAGTATTGAAATATTTATGAGAAAAATCCAACACACGATAAGGTGAGTAATCTGAGATCAGAGTACTAATGGTTAAGAAGGACTAATAAAGAACTGCTTACAGAAACTGGTCAACCAATATCTCATGATAAGAGGGACAAGGCATGTAGCTCGGAGCAATCCATCTGGAAGCCTCTACACAACAATCAGACCTGGTCTGGCACAGTTTGGGACCCTCAGCTATAGTCTGAAGTGAGGCCCCCTTATCAGGACAATATATATAAAAGTGATAAAAGTGGTTTCAAGGAATTTAAATAAGGAATTGACCCAAATTTACAAAACGATTATTTTTGGGGTCAAACATACCACGGTACCAAATAAACACAAAATAAGGAGGTTCAGGATCCTCCAATCATTATATGGTGGGACCCCAAATATTTGCATATTTATTTATTTAAAATAATTAAATAATAATAATTTATAAACATTTTTTGTTCTCTTTTCGGTGCAGAAGACGAATTCTTAATTTGATTGGCATTAAGTTATATAAAAAAATCACTACCTACTGGTCTTAAAATCTGAAAAATAAATTTATCGCTTAATATAAAAAATAAAAAACATTTATGTTGGAGATCCATTGGAGGGGTAAAAAAATTTTGCAGTAGTAAACGAATAAAAAACAATTATTTTGGTGACCAAACAAACAACAGTACTAGGTAAATACAAAAGAACGATCTTTGAGGCCTACAGAAGGGAACCCCAATCATTCTATGGCGATAAAAAAGTACAAAAAATTTGTGTTGGATGTCAATTGGAGGGGCCCCAAAAAGTTTGAGGAAATAAATAAATACAAAAGTTTTATTTTGGGGGTAAAACATACCACAGTACTAGATAAATACAAAACAATGATCTCTGGTTCCCTCAGAGAAGGCCCTCAATCATTTTATGGTGATAAAAAAGTACAAAACATTTATGTTTGTGGCCAATCGGAAGGTCGCCAAAAACTTGAGGAAATAAACAAATATAAAACAATTACTTTAGAGGCCTAACGTACAAAAATATTAGATAAATACAAAATAATGATCTTTGGGGCCCTCATCATTTTACGGTAATAAAAAAAAGTACAAAACAGTTATGTTGGGGTAATAGAAAAAATGGGTTTGGAGCCCTCTGCAATCGCTGACTAGCTGACCTGGTCAGACAACAATGAATGCCTCAATTGAAGGCAAGAAACCATGTGGAAGGCCAAAAACTAGATGGATAGATAGAATTAATAGAGCTGTGTGCAGATAACTGGAAAGAAATAGCACAAGATAGGCAGGGACAGAGTAGGCTTGTTAAGGCGGCAAAAAATCTACAAGATCTGTAATGCCAACAGAAAAAAAAAAATCAAAAGCTTTTTTAAACCTTTTGAAAAATAAAATGATTTTATAGTTTCATTAATTTTATATTATTTTATTAACTAAAGTTAAAATTTGTATCCTTAATTTTTTTTTTTTTTTTTTTTAAACAGACTTGAAGTTTACTATGTTCCAAAAGCAGCCTTATTTAAGTTTTGATGATTTTTAATTGATATTAAAATAATCAACAATTTTTGAAAATATGTGATAGAATATTGAAAATATGTGTGTGTAAATATGTATATTGAAAATATGTGTAGAATTTTAATTTTCTTATTTTATTTTTTTTTTAATATCTGCTTCGATATCACAATTTTCTATCCTTCTTTTCTTGAAAATTTGTCAGTGATCAAGGTTCACTTTGAAAATAAATAATCAACCTGTACCACTACAACCCATGAAGGGTCTTGGGTGCAGTACTATCTGAGGAAGTACTGTTACAAGGCCAACGGTTGTGCAGGGAGGTGATATCACACTCAACCGCCAGGTTTTCCCCTTCAATTATTTTTATTAATTAAGGGTACCCAATTTATAGAGGCTGGGTGTGCCCCAGGAGGGTCGATGCTCCCGATCCCAGGGTCGATCCACGGCTAATGAAAAATTATTAGTCATTAGCCAGATTCGAACCCAGGACCTTGAGCTCTGGAAATCAGTGCTCACCCACTGAGCTACCCTGCTCCCTTGAAAATAAATAATACAAATAAATATTATTAGCATTACAAGGTAAGTTCTGTCTCTTGCTGCATACGATATTCTGGGGACCAGGAGAGCTTGACAGTTAATATCTTCCAAAATTAACCACATAATGCCAACTAAGCTATCAGGATCACTTTCATCTCCAACCATTGATGGGATGAATTGTATCATATCATTTTCAATGGTCATCCTCAATAGAAATAATGGTGGCCTTTTCTTCCTCTCATCCATCTCATCTGAGAGATATGCTACACTGAAATGTAATTCAGATAATTAAAAATCATAATAAAGAAACAGAAAAGTATTAAATTTATTTAATGAAAACAATAAGTTATCCGAAGAAGAAATTAAATATGAGTATAAAAAGCAACAAAAGCAGGAATTGTGAAGTAAAGTTTCATTGCGGAAAATAAAACAACTAAACTGAGGTATCATGAAATGAAATGATTTCCAAAAAGCTGATAAGTTCTTTTATGATTAATAAATAAGTTTAAAATATCATGACTAAAGCTTATTAGGATGTAATTAGAAGAATCTAAATACAAAACCTTGAATCTCTAAAACAGGTAAATATTTTTTTAATTTTGATTTAAAGAGCAAAAATCTGGAATATATCATCGCCCAATTTCTTCTACTTGGAACTAGATTATTTACTCTATATCTGATTGTAAAGTCCTCTCTCTCTCTCTTTTGCGAAGATAATAACTTTGTGGTAAGATAATTCTGATTGTCAATATTTCAAAAGGACCGAAACAACCAAGAGATGACAAGAAGACGAAACATCTGAGATGTGACAATAATCATAAAAATCAAAGCTTATCAACGAGAGACGGTAAATAAAGTGGTTTATATGTTAGCCTTCGATGAACTTAAAATCAATTGAAAAGATAGATGGAGGAGAATAGCTCTATGTTCATAATCTATTATCTTCTAATTATATATCCACCAATGAAATGGGGCACTTTAGATAATATATAAAGAAACTGTTTGATATATTTAATAAATAAAAAAAATCCAGGTACGGCTTCTATACTCAGGTGGTTTTAAAGTCAACTAGGAATGGGTGGCCGAGGTTAAAAAAAAAAAAAAAAAAGTTTTAAAAGTCAACAAATTAAGACGCGATGAATTGTGTTTCAAAGATTTTGATAAGGCCATTAAGACCCGATTGTAGTAGACATCCCCCTGTATTTACTCCTTTAGACGATATTGTGTGAGGGAATGAGAAGGAATATATAATATATAGGAATGTGAGCTTGCACTGTGAATTGTACTCAATTGTGCAGTGGACAAATTGCTCATTGTAAAATCTCATATCGATAAACAATCGATGAGCAACGCTGGAAAAAGATCAGAGTAGGTAGCTGGGAACAGATGGCGAAGAAGACGCCAAACACTTGAGGCCTGAACACCAACACGAGAAGACGTCATCTGAGAAGAGAGCCTTACGACATTGAAGACCAAGATTATCAAGCCGACCGTTCACTTATATATATATTCATTCATTATCAGTTGTTAAAATAAATTTGTTTTGTTAGACAGGAGTGAATAGTCATTTTATTTAGTTGTCCTATAGGCCTCACAATTGAAGAATAAACCAGGTGAGTCAATTCATTCAAAGTGTTTACTAAGTCCCACATTTCAAATATATATTCTTATTGTTTCTTCCCACACAGTGTCACAAAGGTATTAGATTCCCGAATTCCCAATCACAGTTAAACACCCTCAAAAAAGTAAATATCCAGAGCCGGAGTTTTGTTTTAATAATTCACGAGTGTAAATAACCTGAAGCCCCGATATAAAAGCGGAAGGCTATTCACTATTCCCGCCAAAAGGAATCATTTACAATTACCTTTCAGTAGGTTATTTACACGGTATATCGGACCCTGCACTATAAACTCAAAAACATACCTATTTCTATAATAAATAGTAAATGTTGCAGAGTGGTTCTTAGGTGAAATGAAATGAAAATTAAAAAATAATTTTATACTGGAGATACAGTCCCCTAATAATAATATCAGAGTTAAATAATTAAGAACATTAGTCTGACTTAGATGAATACAAAATGATGCCTAATTAACTAATGGTTGTTATTAAAATTGTGCAGTTGATTGAATTAAACTGTGTACAGATGCAAGTAAATTTTACATGTTTGGGGAAGTTTGAATATGGAGTAGGTGGTGCAACAGGAGTTGTTTGAAGGAATTTGTTGATGAGGATTGACATATGGAGTTAGGTAGAAAGTTCCAAAACGAGACAGCACAAATTATGAAGGATTTGCTGACGGAAGTAGTTTTATGGGAGGAGATTTATAAATCTATAGCTTGAGACCTGGTATTGAGAGAGTGGATAGAGGAACGTAGAATAAGGAGTTTCAGGATATGTGCTATGATTACCGAGGGAAACTTATCACATGTTTAGGTTTTGACAATTAAAATATTTCTTTCTATGTTAGTCTTCGATGACCTAAAAACCTATTGAAAAGATAGACGGAGAATAACTCTACGATCCATTGGGCACTTCCAATTGTATAGAAAGAAAGTTTTTGATATATATAATAAAAAAAAACATCCAGGTATGGTTTCTGTACTCTCAATAAAATACTTCTATACTGTTAGTGAGAGAACTACAAACCAAGACTCTAATGCATGAAAAAGTAGATCTTGAGCAAGCAAAAGAATGGATTAGTATTATTCCAGAAATAACTATTAAATTGGAGAGATATTTTACAATGGTACAAGCTAATCACTAATTTAAAAAATTGTTACTTTAAATTTAATATTTTAAATATGTTTCGCTGATTTGCATTAGGGAGAGAGACAGCTATCTAATATGAGGGTTATAACTATTGTATACTAGTTATTATTATTGTTGTGCAATTTGTTTTATTTTCACTATCCTGTTGTTCTTGACTATTTATTACGATGGACTTTAGAGTTTTTAAAAATTACCCTATCTAAACTTTATTGGTCAATTTACCCTCCTCCAACAGCATGCAGTAGTCCTTCTTGAACGATCTGGTCGACTAAATCCAAATAATCATCCCATTTTTCAAGTTTTTCTGGATTATTTTTAAACTCCTCAAAAAGAAGCATCTGTGAAAAAAAATTTAGAGATCAACATAAACTTGAAATGAAAAGTTGTAAAAAATTGCCAATAACATTATTTTTTTTCCTTATTACTTGTTGGCCTGAGCGAATGATGAGCATAGAAAATTGGCCAGTGAAAAGTTGACAATAAAATACAGAAATAAGTTAATACAATGTATAGTAAATAATTTTTTCTTCTTAGTTAAATCACTGTAGTTCAGTCATAATAACAAACCAAACCATCTTGGTTAATAATGGTCTATTTTCCATGTTTTTTTAGAAAATTTAGTAAACTTTCAAATAATCATAGGTCTAATCAAGAAAAATGTATACTATTTATTTTATTCACAAATAAAGTTTCTTTTCATTTGTAACTGTTTATTCTTTATAACTGAATTATAAAGTTCAGAGAGGAGATTGTTACCATGATTCCTCATTGCTCCATTTAATACCCTTTCGTTTGATACATCATTCATCAAAATTCATCACTCCTGAGAGTCAGAAAAGGGATTATTACTTCGAAAAACTACCCAATTATATATATATATATATATATATTATATATATATATATATATATATATATAATATATATATATATATATATATATATATATATATATATATATATATATATAGGTAGATAGATTTCCAAAAATGAATCTTTGTAATTAATCAAGAAAAAGAAATCTTTTGGAGGTAAAAAATTTGTGGTATTAAGTTTCAAGATATAGAGAATCCAAAAATTCAACATAAAAAAAAAAATCCAACTACTGCTTTTCTCCGAGACTACTGAGCTGATTCTTTGTATGTAACGGGCCAATGTCCCAGGTTACACTCTTCAGAACCAACTGTTTTTCATTTCGAAATGGCAGCTAACTAGAGGTTTCATATGCTCATAGCACTGCCATTTATGAAGAAAGAAGAAAAATACACATTTTTATAGTTACAAAAAAAAGCCTTTAAATAAAAATGAAAAAAATAATAGTTTTTCAATTTTTTATGCTTGGTATAATAATTATAAAACAATTTTTTAATGTTTAATAGAGTTATCTATTTGGAAATAATAAAAAATTGTGTTAAAATTTATAGCATTTTTTTTTACCAAAAGATTATTAAAGGATATAAGATTGGTTTGAATACTAGAATATGAACAAAGTTCATCTACTAACAAAAAAAAACCAGGCCTCTCAAGAATGTTTCTGGTGGTATATGAACAAAGGAAAAAAACAATATAGGATAAAATTATCTTTTTAACACGTTTTATAAGATAATATGATTTATTATTATTATTCGAACCATGCCAAGGACTTAAGAATCAATCTAAGGTCCATCAAGACTAAAATTGATTCTCCGATTGTAAATAAAGTAATGACATTTGTATGTGCTTTCCTTCACCATGTGCAAATTTCTTACTTTTGATTGATACATTTTTATTTGCAGAAGTTTCAGTTTTTTTAAATATTAATACTTTCTTATTATTATCTACCAGGTAAGCAAACTATTCTAACCAGTGCGGTCTGTCATTAAATAAATTTAAACTGCCTAGAATATATGGTCTGGCGCTCCTATAAGCTTTTTAAGATTATGAGGCCATTACACTCTTGTCCTTCATGGCCTCAAACTTACCAAAGTTCTTTTTTTTGTTCCAAAAAACTTACCGAAGCTGTTGGAGGTCTCCAATATTCTTCTTCCATATCTTCATCAAATAAATCTTCTTCCTCCAGCATTTCAGGATCTTCTGTCGGTGGCCCCTCGACAACTACTTGGTATTGAAGACTTTGGAACCCATCGGTTTTTAATGACTGTATTCCATCTTTCTTTTTTTTCCCTTTCTTCCCTTTACCTCCTTTTTTCTTCTTTTCTTTTGGCCCCTTTGGCTTCACTGCTACTGCTTGTGGTGGTGCTTTCTCTTTGACAAAGACTGGTTTTCCTATTTCAACAGTTTGCTCTTCTAGATTTGAAAATTCTTCTTCAAGTTCTTCTGGATATTCTATTTCACCTGGCGGTCTAATTGGAAATCGAGTCACTTTCCATAGTTCAGATAAATGTCTGAAAAATAAATACAAATTATGAACAATGATTTATGACAGCTCTATTTAATTTTAGCATTATTTTAAAAAAATATAACAAGATAAAACAAAGTATATAAATATAATTTTCAAATGCATTTTTATTATATAGACATCCTCATATAATCTTCCCCCTCTTTGAGAGACTGAGACTGAGTTCTTAAATTCTTTTACTGTCTTTTCTTTAATTTGAAGGACTTCTTATCACCACACCTTCCACCTTGTGGTGGACCGGAGCACCCAACAGCCCTCACTATTATCATCTCTTTATAACAGTCCATTAAGAAATCAATCTAAGATAAGAAGTCTTTCAAATTAAAGAAAAGACAGCAAAATAAATATAATATTATTTCATCATTTTAAAAACATAAGATCTACAGTTAAATCTTTTTTATCAATTCATCAGTATATAGAGAACAGTGATTTATGTTTTTGTTTTTGTAAAATACACATTTTATTTTGTGTTTTTTTTTTTTTTAATATAAGTATCAAAATATAAAGTAAACAAAATCATAACTAAATATTTTTTCGATTTGTTATAATAATTTTTTTATAATTACCATAAGCAAAGGGCTAGGTTCCTAAACTAAGTGCTGAACTCATTGATGACATATTTTTTTTTTCTTTTTTTCTGTTCTTCCCTACCTCGCCGTTTAGGCTATACGGGATTTTCCAGGGCCGGAGAATGAGGGAGGGGAATTTAAAATCCCCTCTGGCACCAGGACACGAACTCGTACTTTTCTTGTCTCTCAAATCTTCATATATCCGGTTGCCGGGCAACTCACGGTGCTGTGCACACGCTTTAGCCCATTCGGTCACCCCGCCCCCTTAATCGATGACATCAGACATGTCTCTAAACTTTCTAACATACATAAACATCTACAAGATTGAATAAAAACTTTATGAAATAAGAATGTAAATACTAGTCCCCATATATTTTAAATATAGGATAATGATAGCGAACAGTGTATTTTTTGCAGCTGCTGTTTCATACCAACTTTATCAGCACACTCTATTAGCAATTTGAATTAAGTAACATTATTAAGATTTGAATTTGAAGTATAAACCGTTGTTGTGCTGCACTTTGAAGTGCCTGGGTATAACCATCTTGCCTAGACTGTGTGAATTTTATTATGTTCAGGAGATGAACCTATTTTATTGCTGAATAAATGGATATTAATAAAAAGTGTTTCTCCTCATTCAAACTTTTTGTTTAAAAAACATTATTCAACATTATGATTGTTTTTATAATAATTTGATACACTTATTATACTTTCATTATCATCATATTAACATAAATGTATTGATAATAAATATACCTTGCTCGAAGTGCAGGCCGTTCAAATTGCATTGATTCTTCAGTGCTGGGAGTAGCAGGCCTCAACAGGTCTTCTAAGTATTTTTTCCTTTTTTCCTAAGGCAAGGATATAAAAAAATAATAATAATATCAATATTATTATATCTATATAACCATATATCAAGAAAAAGAGTTTTTGTTACGTCCGTGATAACTTAAAATGTTGCTAATCTAATATATCCTAATACGTGAAGGTAAAGAGTTTGTCTGTTTTAAGGCATTATCTTCAAGAACCAATTGGCCGATTTGAAAAATCCCGTTTGCGATAGTTAGACTATTCATTGAGGAAGTCTAAGGCTTTACAACATCATGCTACAACTTATGTTGAGCAGTTATCATAAATATTAATTAATCTGGAAAAAAACTGTAAACAACTATGCAAGCTTATCGGTGATAAAGTATTGTTTACATTTGTTATAAATAAAGTGTAGGATCAACACATTTAAGCGAATTAGATTCAAGAGCTGACTTCTTTTTTACTATGGAAAACTATAAATTGTCTTATCTCGGCCATGTTACAGAAAAAACTAGTATACTCTTAAATCATAGCGAGAAAGTACTAAAAATATTGTTGAGAACATATCAGGTTTCTAAAAGACTTTGTTAAGATACAGTGTTGATGCTCATCAAAAACAAATACTCGTACCTTAATCCTCGAACACGTTTTCCTTGAAAAATGGTACAAATATTGTATAGCCAATGTTTTTTTGTTTTTTTAAAGTTACATCAGAGCTTTGATTATTAGCTTAAGTCATATATTTTAAAATCTTTATTCATTTATTTAAGGAAATGAGTGAAGAAGAGATATTCCCGTACTTTACTGTATCTATAACATTGAACAGCAAAAATTTACTTTCCTTATCCTTCTACATTTTTACAAAGCACTAGACACAGTTGACCATAACATCCTCCTTACTAAACTGAAAAATCTTCCATTAACAGGGATCTATTGGTCTACATCCATCCTCTTAGATAGGTCCCAGTATGTAGTCGTCCCATGTCAACCTCCATCTAAGACACTTCCTTTCTCCTATGGTGTCCCCAATAGCCTTCCACTTCTGATTTATAACACCCAATACCATATCTATGCAGATTATTTCCAAATATACCTGTCCTTCCCGTCTTCTGACCTATTAACAGCCACAAAAAATCTTCAAGATTTAAATAGAATCTGTGACTAGGCAGAACCTAATAAGTTGAAGTTAAATGCAAAGAAGACGAAGGCAATTGTAATAGGCTCTAATCACCTCCTTAAAACTGTTCCTAATATTCCAACCCAGTTCTTATATGACAATCCAATCAAATTTTATCCCATCACCAAAAATTCAAACCATGTATCCAATATCTCTCGCCGTACCTTTTCCACCTTAAAAGGTCTAGATTATCTTTGTAATTTATTATATAAATAATAAATGTCAGTCACATATATAAAAGTGTATACATTTTTAGTAACTATAGGACAAATTTTGAAAAAAGTAAAATAAAATATTTAAAGGATTCGATATTTCTATCTTTATTAAAACTCAGAGGAAAAAAAAAAATATTAGGATTTTTTTGTGGCTGATCCTTAAAATTTTCCTCATGAATTTTTATGGTTGCTCAGTTAACCAGATGCACATATTCATGTACTCATCATGTATATGAAAGATGCATGTATATTCCAAATTCAATATGGCTGACACTACAATTAAAAATGTTAGGTTAAATCAAACTAAAAACTCCTCGATAGGCTGGGGACTCCATTATCATTTAGGAATTACTGTAAGAATTTTTAAAAACAAAAAAATATATGTTTTTTTTTTTTAGAAATTATCCTTTATTTCCAATTCTGTTATACGTTATATCATGTCCTAATGATGAATTACATGTGTATGTGTGTTAATTAACCTTCTAATCCATTCTATAAACAGTCAGGAGGAATATCCATGTTTCAATCAAGAGACAAGATGTTTGAATGGAGAGGGAATATGGATTAGGAGAATGAGAATAATAATGAATAAAACCAACCTCTTTTTCGGCTCTTAATCTCCTTCTTTCTATTGCCTCTTCTTCTTTCTTTTTCTTTTCAGCTTCTTCTTCCTGTTCTTTTTTTCTTCTTTCTTCCTCCTCTTCTAATTTTTTTCTCCTACGCTCTGTAATACAAACATTTGTTACATAAAGTAAGACCTTACTAATACAGCCCGATATCAAGATTGGTAGTGTCAGACTACCAAAAATGCCAGATTAGTGAAAGTATATTAAAATATAACAGGAGCAGAGCACACATCAAAAAATTTTACTTCTATCCTCCTTTGAGCAGAAATTTATTTTTATTCTTAAATAGGCCTAGTTAATATTTAATTATTAAAATATATTTTCGGAAATAATGTAAATAGCAGGGAAACTACAATGTACAAAGGTAATTCAATTTCTTAATAAATGATATCTATTGCTGGGCAAGATAAATGTTTACCCTGATGATATTAAATTTAAAAAAATGTAAAACAATGCTATTGACAAAGGTAGCACACCTACAAAATAGGTAAATTAACTTTAAATCATAGCAATTTATAACATGCGCAAACCACATATTTATAATTAATCTCTATATTGCAGAAAAGAATAGACAGTTTTGATGATGGAAAAGATATTCTCTAACTGTTGACTTTGTAATAATGTGTTACAAATAAAAGTCACAAAGAAAGATATTTTTGGCAAGTTCACTTGAATTAACCTAAAACTTGAAGAGAATAGAATAAACCTAAAAGAGAATATAATATTATTAAACTAAAGTAAATTTATTAAAAGTTATCAACATATTTTTTATTTTAGCACTGCTTGAAATATTTTCAGCATCATGCACTGCTTCACTTCTTCTCACATAAAAAGTACACATCCCACTTAATTTAAACATTTAAACCCTCAAGTTCAAAAAAAGCAATCTTTATAAAAATATTTTTCTGTTATTTCTGTCCCTAGTTATAAAGACCTCTCATTCTCTTAAAACAGTTTTTGATAAAAAATTTTCAACAGCAATTTTTTTCACGTCATATCTAATTTATTTCCCTTGACTCTTAATTTAAAATATGCCATAGTTTCCGCTTCAACATGGAAGAAAATTTAAGTCGATATGAAATATCTTACAATGTTTGCAGAGAGTTTTAAAGCTTAGAGAAAACCGATATTAAACAAAAACAAATCCATTAAAGTATATTAATTGTTAAAATTAGACGGTTTAATTTATAATTATAGTGATATAAAGTGAGTTTCTTTTATTTTAAGAAAATTAATCTTTGTCAAGGAAAATTAATGATGTTATAATATGGATGTCGCTCTTAGAGAATGGAGAAGAAAATGGGAATAAGAATTAGGCAAAATTTATACATCACAAACTTAATTTGGCTGAAGATCAATTAATTCTAGCCCAAGATAGAGATGACATAAGCTACATGTTTAGAAAAGTGATAGAGATTGCAAATAAATTTTAAAAAGACAGAGTACTTCGGCACTTCCACAGATAATATGCTAAATGAAAAGGTGTTAAAACAGTGTATATGTTCAAATACCTGGTGTCAGTATTCAATAGTGAAAGAACCTTTAACCTCTAATAGTGATATAGAACGAAGGATCATTCAGTGATAAGAAAAGTAATGGCAATGCTCAACGGTATTCTTTGGACCTCGAATATACAGCCTAGTACAAAGAGGCTAATAAACAAATTTATATTTGAGCCTATAACATCATTAATGTCTGATACCGAAAAAGATTGCTAGTGGTGGAAATGGACTTTTGGAGAAGAGCAGGTAGAAAATCCAGAAGGAAAGAAATTAAAAATGAAAGAATTCTGGAATTGATCGAGGTGAAAGACTACATTATAGCAGGTATTAAAGAAAAAATATTAAGGTTGTTTGGATACGTCAAAAGAATGTTTGCAGAATGATTTTCAAAAATAAGTATAGAAGTAAAAGGAAAAAAGAAAGGCCGAAAGTAAAATGGAAAGGCGAGGTGGAAGAAAGCCTGATGGGACACAGGATTAGAGAAGAGCAAGCCATGGATCGAGAACTATGGAAAAATATTTTAAATGACATTTAGGTACAGCAAACTACAATAGTGGAAAATTACTTTTAAAAAAAAAATATGATATACATTATTATTCCCCGAAAATATCCATTGGTTTTTCCATTAATTCTGAAATAATTTCAATTACAATAAAAATAATTGACCCAGTTTTGACAGGACTTTGTAGGGTACACCAATTTTGCTGCATTGGCTCAAAACTTGAAAGCAATGAAAGAGCTAGAAAGGATATTGAAAAAATATTGACAAATGGGCAGAAAGCAATTGTTATGCTCAATTCAGTTCTTTGGAGCGAAAATGTTTATAATAAAGTAAAGAAATTAATACATGAGGCCTTGGTAGAGAGTGTAATGCTCCATAGTTTGAAAACATGTCCGCTCGAGAAATCATAGGGCAAAAGATTTCTAACTGTGGAGATAGATTTTTAGCGAAGGTCGGCTAGAGTCTCAAGGAAGGATGCAAAGAATCAGAAACGAGATCATTCGAGATAGGATGGAAGTTAAGAATAATATACTAAAAATAATGGAAGAAAGAAGATTACATGGTACAGGCATATGAAAAGGATGAATAACGAATGACTTCCCAAAACGGCATTAGTGTGGGAGGCCGAGGATAGGAGAAGGAGAGAAAGACCTCGTCTCAGGTGGAGAGATGTTGGGCTGAGAGTATGGCGGGCCGAGGGCTGACAAAGGAGGAATTGTTGAACAGGGAGAAGTGGAATAAACGACTGAGGGAGGAGTTTATCAGCTGAGGGAAACTTTAATTTATAAGGACAAACTCTTAAATAAACAAAAAATGTCTTGATGTGTAGTTTTTTATTTTGTTTGTGACTAATTTCTTTCTGAAGACCTTATTCAGACTAATTAGTTCATAGCATCTGTTGTCAATTGAGGACTGGTGACCTCAAAAGTTAAACAAATTTAAATAATATAATGACTCTTAATCTCTCAAGTCATGAGGTGAATTAGAATCAAAAAGAGAGAAAATCGGAATGTACGCATTATTCGAACCTGAACCATGTGTATTATGAAATATTTCTTCCACTAATGATGATTTTTTTTGCACTCAGCAGGCAGTATTCAAAGAAGTACAAAACTACCTTCTTCAAAAAGGTTTAAAATGACCATTTCAAGTGCTGATGAAGACATTGTTCAAGTTTTACTGGTATTGATGAATGGAAAGCACTTAGAGAACACAGAAACAGCCGTACTCGAAACTGAAGTCAGTTATTTTATTTTATTATTTTTTTATTTATTTTTTTTTTTTTGTCTATGAAAACATCATAGATGTGAATTAATTTAATTTGGAAAATAATAAAGAATATTCTTATTGCAAAATATTGTCATAGAAAATTTTTGAAACAGGAAACAATTTATACTTAAATAATTTCTTTCAATACCTTAATCAATTTATAACTTATTCATTACCTTCAATACCTTATTCATTACCTGATTCAATTTCTTTTTATACCTTATCTTTAATTTTTATTCATAAGAAAATTAAGCAAATATAAAAAAAAAAATTAACTGATATTTGCAAATTTAAATTTGAATTAGCCTGATACCTTTTTCTTCTTCATCTAAAAATTCAAACTCATCTACCATTGATGGTAAAAGCCCCAGTTCTTCCTCTTCTAACTCTCCCTCTTCTCCTTCTTCCATTAAATCTTCAGGCGCCTCTTGAAAAACTGGAAACAAACGAGTTAAAAATTAAAACAGATCGGAAGTAGTGGATGACCGAGCAATCCCATCCTGAATAAAAAGTTAAACATTACATTTTCATTAGTGTTCAAATGTTATAATCAATACAACTACCTACTCCATGGCGCTACAGCCCTACAAGTGCCTGGGCCTCCTCCACTATTTTTCGCCACTGCTCTCTATTAAGTACCTATCTTCGCCATTGTCTTATTCCTAGGCTCCGGAGGACCTGTTCTAGGTCATCTAGCCATCTTTTCCGAGGACGTCCCCTATTTCTTCTACCTCTAGCCTTTCCTCCTAATAACTTTTTTGGGATTCTGTCGGCCGGCATTCTCCCAATGTGCCCTAGCCACCTCAACTGACTCCTTCTTACGAAGGACACCAGATCTGGCTCACAGTACATTTGTTGGAGATCAACATTTCTTCTTATTCTCCATCTTCCATTATCAACAACCAGGTCCAAATATTCCCTCTGTTCTTCAGACCCCTAAACTATAAAATCAATATAACTACAGTACCAAAATTCATATAGAATCCATCGCTCTTAGTATAATCGGCTGCAACTAAAAGGAAACCAGTAGGAGGCCTTATGATTTTGATTTGCGTTCACTTCAAATTATTATGGTCAGACAAAAGTTGTATGAATCAAAATTTCATGTAATTTACTTCTATTTATAAAATGAATATTATAAGTTAATAAAATAATACATGGTTTTCAAGTTATATTAAAAAATATATATCATTTTACTTCGTTATTTTTACAATTCTATAATAAATTCGAGGTGGCAAAATTAATTTTTTTCTTTTTAAAGAAAGAAAAATAAAATAATTTTTTGAGGTTTTTTAAATATTTTTTAACAAATTCAAGGAAAAAATTTGAGATCACTAAGTTGAAATTTGAAATCCGCATACCGAAAAACATGATATAGCCATTTATAGTTGAATTTTCATTTCGTCCTACAATACTTGCCATTCGCCATCTTAAGATTTTGTTCGGTTGACTACGGTGCTCGCTGTTTGTCTTTTAAGTCATAATCACCATTTTTGAATCATCTAAACCAACACACACATTGAATCTTGCATTAGGATATTGTAACTGTACGTTTCCGCAACTATATGATGACTTTCACTCACAATTATCTTTTCACTGAACAAGAGAAAGACAATGTACCACAAATGCTCTTTATTTGGCTCAAAATTTGACTTTTCTATCACATAAAAATAATATAAGACAAACTCGAAATTGATTAAACTTGAATGGCATTTTGAAAGCTACTGTTACAGCAATAAAATAACAAAGAGGAAAAATAAATAAACAGAGAAAATAATACAAGCGGTTAAACTCTAATCAAATCTCTGTTTTCAGGTTCATGTCTTTTTAAATTAAAATTAAGAATTATTTACCCCCAAACATGGGATAAAATAATAGATACTTTTAAGAACAATTATGTATATTAATAACAATATTTTTTTTGAGATAGTGACAAGAAGATAATTTTAAAATCATCTTTTTCTAAGCATTAACAAGAATAATATAATTCTGAAGATGGGGTTTATAAAAAAACCAAAAAAAAAAAAACCAAGATTGGAAGAGTGATATAATAAAGAAGAAAATATGGTAGTTTTGAACTAGCTCAATGCTTTTTTTTTTTTTTTTTTCAATATAATGAGTATATTCAAGGGACTGGGAAAAATATTCAAATTATTGAGTGTTAAATTATTGGGAGTCCACTGTACTAGCATATAAAAGTACACATCGAGTTAGATAGAAAGATTTTATTTAAAAAACTTCTAGAATGACCTCTAGAGGTTGGTATACTTATGATTTTAAAGTTATCATGACTACTTTCAAACAATAAATTATTCATTTAAAATACTTTGAAACTATTAATAAATAACATTAAACTAATAATAATAACAAAAGTTCTAAAATATCAGAATTTCTTAGAAATAAAATATTTATAATGGTGTAGAGAGATGGTTGATTATAATATGAGAAGGAGTTGGCTGGGAGGTGTGATCAAATAAATACTATAAACTAAAATAGGATTTTTTTGGTTACACCGACATTTCAACCCACTTTATAGGTCTTCATAAGGGCATAATATCAGGCACTGCAGGAAGTAGTTGGTAGACGAGCAGTGGAAAGTCTAGTGCACATATATATAGACACTTTTCTATGTGTACTAGACTATCGACTACCAGTCTACCAACTGCTTCCTGCAATGCCTGATACCATACCTTTATGAAGACTTATAAAGTGGGTTGAAATGTCAGTGTAACAAAAAAAAAAAATCCTATTTTAGTTTATAGTAGTTATTTGACTGCACCCCCGACACACTCCTTCTCATAAGATATTTATACCACAAACTGAAACAATAGTTGCTGGTTGCCAAGATCTAAATTAATAATTAACATCCAATTCTAGTTATTATAATTTAAGCCAATACTATTCCTATAAGTTTGAACAAAATATTATACGCACTACTTGCTAATAGTTTCTGGTCAATTTTGCTTTTTCTTGGTTCTATTTCTTCTTCAGGGGGGTGTGTTGATGGCTCCTGGGCTGCTTCAACTTCTTCTTCTTCAACTCCCTCTTCCTCAATTTCTTCTTCATAAATTTCATTTTCAAAAGTTTCAATGGGCAAGTTATGAAGAAGGCGGAAGTTTAGGTTGAGCAAATCAAATATTTCATAGCCAGCAGCTATTATGCATTGATATCTGTCAGAAGGAAAAAAAATTAGAAATAAATATCTCAAGAGCTGAAGCAAAATTTTATGTATTATTTCAGGCATTTTAAAATAGCATAAAAAAAAAGAAAATTTAAAAATTCAATAAGACGTATCGAAAAAGACAATCAAAAGCTGAGATGAAAATTTATTTCATTTATTTTACACTTGAAGCTGTTAACTCCTAGGACGCCAAAATTTGTCTTTTGTAATTCGAAGTAAGGCAAAATTAAAAACTTTTTTTGGTTCAATAATGTACAATAGGAGATAATTTGCAAATAGAACACATGTAAGGACATACTGCTAGATATAAAAAACTTTTACTACCGATATTTAAAGGTGCATTGCATCTCAGCAGGCTAAATTCAAAATTCAAGTTTTTATAGTTTATTAAGGAAGGAGATGGTCCGAGGTGGCGGTCATAAATAAACTAACTAGTGGCAAAACTGTTTTATTAAAAGCCAACGTTTCGACTTAACTACAAATGTCTTTTTCAGGGATAGAATGAACAAGATACAAAAGGATATAGAAAATTATGGGAGTTACATAATATTATGATAAAAATTATAAACAAGGGGAATAAACCTTTGAAATTATGAACAGTAAGTAAATTGAAATATTAAGAACAATAAACTATATAAAAAGAGTAAACTGAAGTAATAAATGCTAACAATTGTTTTAGTATAATAAATTATAATATATGCAATTGTGAATGTACTCCTACAGATCTATAGGAGAGATTGGAACAAAAGGAAAAGGGATATAATATGAAATAATGGACATAAAGGGATGTGGAGATAGAAAAGAAAACAAAAAAATAAGAAATAACGCAATTCGGCGTTGTGCAAGCATCTAAACTCTCCGGTTAACTCATCCTTCTATGGTACGAATATTCTACCCAATGCTTTATTTTCAAAAACCTTAAGACTTGGCTCATCCCTTGATGTAAGCAGCCACGTTTCACATTCATAAAGAACCGTAATTAGAGAAATGGTTATATAGATTTTTTAAAGAGGCACAAGCTAAGTAATTTTGTTACAGAAAAATAACAAGCATTTCCCGCCTTCAGCCTAACCTTAATCTCCTCTTCAATTTCGTTTATTTTTAGTAATTGTAGACTCTAGTTACCTAAAGTTCTCTACATGTTCAAATATATTAATTTCTATATCAATAACACCGGAATTATCGCCATTTTTACAACTAAGCATATATTTTGTCTTATCCGTGTTTATTTTCAGCCCTAGTTCTTTACCGGCTTTCATAAACGTTGTCGTATTTAGTTTTATAGTTTCCATGTCTTTGGTTAACAGCACCAACTCATCAGCATAGCCAAGCACGGGTGTTATCCCACCCAGATTCAACCCTTTTTCGGTACCCATTACCTCCCTAATGGATTGTTCTAATTACAAATTAAACAGGACAGATGAAAGGGAATCACCTCGTTTTAAACCTGGACGAACCTCAAACTTCTTGGATAAATAATTAGTGATTCTAACTTTATTGGGCGTTTCTGTAAAGCACATCCTAACTGGGGGCGGGATGGCCGAATGGGCTAACGCGTGTGCACTGCACCGCCGTTGTCCGGCAACCGGATATATGATTCTATGATAGGAAAATAGTCACGAGTTCGCGTCCCGGTGCCAGAGGGGATTTTAAATTCCCCGCCCTCACTTTCTGGTCCGGGAAAATCCCGTATAGCCTAAAAGGCGAGGTAGGGAAGAACAGAAAAAAAAAAAAAAAAAAAAATGCAGCACATCCTAACTAGATTTACAAATTTTATGGGAATCTCCTGCTTGATTAAAATATTATACAGATTCTGGCTGTCAATAGAATCGTAAGCCTTTTTGAAATCAGCATACAGCTGATGAACAACCCCTTTGTACTCTAATTTTTTCTCCAATATTTGTCATAAAGAAAATATTTGATCAATAATTGAACGGTTCTGTCTAAATCCGCATTGATAGTCTTCGATAAATTCTTCGGATTTGATTAGTAAGGATTAATGTAAATATTTTATAACACACCAGAAGGAGTCAGATTCCTCTATAGTTATTACAATCTGTTCTCGAACCCTTTTTATGAATTGGAATAAGAATAGATTCCTTCCGTTCTTCAGGCAATTTCTCATTCTTCCATATCTTTTTAACTAATAAATATATTTTAGAAACTCCAGCTTCCCTGCATGCCTTAATAGGTTCACTGGGAATATTATTAGTTCCCCCTGCTTTATAAGGTTTTAGATAGTTGAGGATACAGAGAAATAATTGGTGTTTAAAAAAAAAAAAAAGTAAAGATGGGGTTTTACATATATAGATGGGCCAAGAATTTCAAAACAAGATAGCACGATAAAGAAATTTTTACAGGGAATAGTCCTATGAGAGGGAATACACAGGTTTGAACACAGATGGGAAGAAAAGGTTGGTATAACCCATATCTTGTTGGGTAGCAAACAAGGAGCAATACCTGGAAGGCTACCAGTAAAAGAACTAACCGAGAACCAAAGAAGAGCAAGTTTTGCTAGTAGTAATGGGTTGTAATCCAAGCATGCATAACCCTCCAATGCAAACACCTATATTGCTTAAAAACAGGACAGGGTTTTAAATTAATAAAATAGCATGGTGAAAGAGCAGTCTACAAACTGCCATTATCAATTTAAAATCATCTTGAATAACAACAATGTAAAGCTTCAGCTATTATTAAATAGAATGTTAGCACTACATGCATTAAGAATATTAAATACAAATAACAAATACTAATTGCTGTAATTAATGAATTACGTACATACTATCAATATTAAAATAATTTATTTACCTGGCATCTACAGAACATAGGGTAATATAATCAAGCAAATTGGTATCATCCTCATCAATTCTACGGTATATAGGAAGGAAGTTGAATTGATTCATCAGCCATTCTATACGGTCCAGATTCTCCCTTGCTTGTTTGGCCCTCTGAGTTAGACCCTCGACAGTCAAATGAAATGAGTCGATGAAACCTGCTGATTCTGCAATTTTTAAAAATAGCTTAAATTACTGAAACTATTTATTGGGATTAAGTCTAAAAAAATAATTACAAGTTAATTAAACTTTTCAATTATACTCATATGCCAAAATAAGAAAGAGTACAGAAATTGAAATGAAAAATAACCGCTTATAACAAAGTTATATCATTCAGATTGATCACAAATTGAAATAATTCAAAAATGAAAACGGGACTCCTTAGAAAAAGATAATGTATCATTGTGTAAATGACCAATAGTTTTTCAAAGTTTAAACTTGGCTAAAAATAACTATAATATGTTTATTTTTGAAGCTAGATTTTATCTCTTTTTAAATAAAATTTCCTGAGATTATTATGGCTTTAAATTTCAAAATCAAACCCATGTTTCAATCATATCCATACTTATGAGATTGATAATTCAATTTATTAGCACCTAGTTACACACACGCCTGCTCCTACTTACTATAAGGACAAGTACATATTAGGTATCAGGAAGGGCGAAGGAGAGAAAGCACTTTCTGTCACCTTTCTTCTCATAATTTATGAAACGGTGCCAACCACTAATATTTCAATCTTTTACATAAAAGTAACCCATAAAAAATTCAATAAATCATCTTGGTATTAATTAAATAATATTACAGATGATAAAATAATTACTGATCTACTCCTTTATGTATGGCGTTCTATTCCCCTCCCCTCTCCAATGCAGGCTGTTTTACTTGAAGAAGATGAGCAGATCCCAACAGATAAACCACAAGAAGACGCAGTTATAGAATTCAGGATTATCACCGGACATGATTACTTAGAAAAACAATTTACATGAAATACATGTAGCTGAATCCCTTAACTATAATCTCTGTAACAGCGGGTACACTATGGATACAGTACACCATGAATCATGTCCTGGTTTGCCAGATATACTAACTTCCAATTCATCAAGGTTAGACATTTAAAGGGCAGCTTGAAGACTCATGGCCAAAACCGAAAGTCAAGAGGCATAGGATAAAAAAAAAAGAGAGATTTCTTCAACTGAAGGTGAAGAACAAGAATTACAAGTATCATGCTGGTGGAATAAGTACAAGGAATGTTAACATTATTAATTTAAAAAATATTATGAAAAAGCAAAAATTTCATTCTACTCAATAAGCTGATTGGTATCATTAAATACAAATTTAAATTACCATCAGTTTTCCAATTAACAGTATCCATCGCTGTTTCTACTTCATTATTTATAGCGTTGATCTCATCAGACAAAATGTTTATTTCTTGTGGTCTTGATTCTTTCATCATTTTATTATACCTAAAAAAAAAAAAAGTTGAAATAAAATATACTTGTAGCTATGTATAGACTATATAAAGATAATACACTAACTATAAAAAGACACACCATTCAACAATGTTCATTAATTTGACCCTCCATTCATAGAACTCTTCCATTCGTTCAAAGACTTGTTCAGCCTTGGGTGGGATTGATGGCACTTCCAACATTCTTAAGTAGCGAACTTCTCGCAGCACCGATCTTAACTAAGAATCATGATAAAGTGTCGTAAAAACAATGAACAAGGATTACAAAATATGGAATCACAATTTTATACAATAATGATGAATATTCTAAATAAATATAGACAATGATTGCATTTGTATCATTCTCATAAAGATTCTTTGCAGCAATAGTTATAATTTTTAAAAGAACCAGGCAACAAGCAGGTTATGAGATATTATAATAATTATTATTTCAGTTGATAATTCTTACTTTTGGATCAAAATTAAGAACAAGAAGGCAATCTTGATCAAATTTCAGTAAACACTGTTCAAGTTTTTCTTCAATAACATCACCAATCTTTGAACACCATTTGTCGTATAAATCATACTGCAATTCATCAAGAATACGACCCATCTGTGATGCTTTTTCGAAGGAATACTTGCACTTTTCAGTCTTAGTACACCTAAATAAAAGAACTGGTTTATTCTTATTTATTTTTTAAATATGAAATCATCACTTATATTTATCTAATATGACATCAAATATAATTATTTTCATTTTATTTATTTGTAAATACATTAGTGAAATCAATGGAAATAATTATCAATAAGCACGGGCGGATCTACGGGTGGGGAAGAGGGGGGCTTTCGGGCTGAAGCTCCCCCCCAAAATGGTAAAATATATAAAAAAATCTTAAAGTATTATTGTTTGTGTAATTACATTTAAAAGGGCTTTAGAAATCAGTTAAACACCATTTCATATAGGTAGTTAGTTTCTTTCTTTTTTTCCAAAGTGATTATCGTTATTTTTATGAAAAAAAAGCTTTCGGGCTGAAGCCCCCCCAAAATTAAATTCTGGATCCGCTAGTGTCAATAAGTAGCAAACTTCTCAGCAGGGCTGCCATCAGCCCAGGGCAATAATAATAATAAAAAATATCGTGACCCCTCTCTCTCAATATCTCATCTGTTTTATTTTTTTAAACAATGTTAACATAATAATGCAAGTAATTTAATTAATGTTCAGGATTATTTGCACACATTCAATAAAAAATAGAAAATAAAATGCATCTATATTCAATAATAAAACTTTAGTGAAAACAGAAAATAAAATATACCTTTAATTAAACATAAACTGAATTATGTTGTATCAAAAAGGCTGATTAAAAATATTTACAATGATTTTAAATTTGCGAAAATGCTTATTCACAATAGTCTTCTTGGCTTTTCTTCTGCAAAAATTTAAATAACCGAGCAAAAATTTAATGTACTTGGTAATCTAGCCACAACAGACAATATTTTCTTTTCACTTTAAAATATACACAATTAACGTATCTATAACTTAGACCAAGAGTCTCCAAACTTTTTGGCCAGTGCGTCACATTGAGATCTCGGCTAAGTTCCGCGGACCACATTGTAGCCTCAACCTCTACCCAAGTCCTGCATGCCATGGCTTCTGAAGAAAAAATAAAATCTTGTTCTATAAACAACACTTCAGCGGTGAAATGAGCTTCCTAACAGAAAAATCCATGCAATAAATGTTATAGTAACCTCGTGTGTGAGTAATTTGCCAAATTCCATATTTTTAAATATATTTTAAAACTTTACCATGTAATTAACAAAACTTTTAAAAGCTGGATCTGGCCTGTGGGCCATACTTTGGAGACTCCTGAATCAGACTATATTGTCAAAGTATATTAAAAATAAATAAATATAATTTATTATAATTGTTTTTACTTTCACTTACCAATATATGAAATATATAGTAAAGGAAAGGGAGTGGGGTAGCTCAGTGATAGGGCACTGAGCTTCCAATGCAAAGGGCCCGAGTTCGAACCCCGGCTCATGGCAGAAAATTTATTTATCTATTTCATTGGCCGTGGGGCGACCTTGGGTTAGGAGTCCCTCCTGGGCCACACCCAGCTTCTATAAAGTGGGTACCCTTAATTAAATAATTAATTAAGGGGGAAAACCTGGCGGTTGAGCGTGATCTCGGTCAAATCACCTCCTTGCACAACTGTTGACCTAGAAACAGTGCTTTCCCTAAATAGTACTGAACCCCAGACCCTTCATGGGTTGTAGTGGTACAGGTTTTTTTTTTTTTTATAGTAAAGGAAAGTATTACGATCGGGAAAATTTTCGAATCTCAGTTTTCAACAGAAATACACGTTTTGAAGTCCCCTGAGTCCAAATAACCAGGTCCCGCAAAATGGTCTATGTGTGTGTTAACTGCAAGCTCAAAAACGAAAAGTTGTACGAAAGTGAAATTGCTAATTTATGGTTTTTATATGATAGGGATGTTACAGTATGTCACTGTAAAATCAAGCATTTTAAAATAAAATATAATTGTTATTATGATTGATGTTCTTTAACAGGACTTAAATGGCTAATTTTCGATAGTAGCTTCCCCTAAAGTACCTTTAATTTTTTTTTATTTGAAACAATTGACCATTTCGCATTAATCTCTAATAAAGAAGATAGTTAAATATAAAATATGAAAGAATTTGATAATCAAATAAAGGAGAAATAAGGGGTCTTAACGGAGAATAGTTGTAATTGAGGAGCCAAAGGAATACGAGCGCACCCGAGCTCGCCCGAAAGATTAGAACACGCTTCCATATGTAACATAAGCTAATATAATATGGACTTCGACAATATACATATACAGTTTTCATAAATGCTATTGTTGGTAATATTTAATATTTAATTGTATAGATTACAGCGATATAAATATTAAAATTTGTATATATAAGAGTACTTATACAAATAAAAATACCCACAATGAAATTGAACTAATATAGCGTTTATAATTTTTATTTTCACTTCCCCTTTGTCTGAAAATACTTATTTCTGCTAAGGGGGTGGTAAGAGAAAGTTGTGTGATGTGTGCACAGCACCAGATTTTTTCATTTGTATACATTTGTTGAACTAACTTTTTGACTTGATAGATTTTTTAGTCAACACCCATTAGATTTTGCCATTTCTCATCATTACTGCCCCATCATGGTAGGCCTGTTTCTCAGAATGCTTACCATAAAGTATTTAATAATAACATTAAAAAGCTTAGTTTTATACCAATACTACCCATCGCTGTTTACATACTTCCATCCACTGGCCGATTAGACCCAACTACATAATGAATACACTCACATTTAATTAATTAAAATTGTATAGAATTATTTCACTAATATATTTTGTGATTGAATTCCAAATAGTGATTCAATTTGAGTAAAATACTTGGTATTCGTTACTCAAAGTAGCATTTGCCCATCTCTGGTTTAAACGAGTCAACATTAAAATTCATCAATATCTCATATTTATAAGATGATGAAACCTGTGTGTGATCGTTGTCAACCATTCCAAAGGATATTCTAATCGCTTCCTAAGATCCCTCAACCAACAGAGACCACCAGCTATCGGAGGCCAGTAGTTAGGAACCTCCATGTGCCCCTTCAATGCTAGTTTGTTCATCTGGTCATCATATATTTTCTAAAAGTTTTAAAGGTTGAATTACTTTACATTATATTATTTTATATGAGAAATGGGTAAAATGTTGAAAAAAGAACTAATAAAATAAAGCACAATATCTATTAAAAACTAGACATTAATATTAAATAAATTTCAAGAAATAACAAAATAAACAGTATATCGGGTTCCTCAGATTATTCTAGTTATTTCTTTTGTCAAATATCAAACTAAATTATTTATTTTATTATAATGGCGCTATGATCCTGCAAGAACCCGGGCCTCCTCCTATACAGCCAACCAATCTCCACGGTCTTGTGCTACTTCCATCCATCTTCGAACGCCTAGATCATCCTCAGATCATCCTCAACATCCCCCAGCCATCTGATCCAAGGGCGCCCTCTACTTCTTTTGCCATCTGGCTTCTCATGCAGCATCTTCTTTGGCATTCTTTAGTCTGGCATTCTTTCCACATGACCTAACCATCTGATTCGGGCTCTTTTTATCAATGCTACAATATCAGGTTCACCATACTAAATACAATTGTTTACTTCCACCTTAAGCCTTTATACTTTCTGATTTTTTATGTTTATATATCTTTTTTACTCCTAAAATAGTTTCATCTTCTTTTTAGGTATTTTGAAGACCTATTAAGTTGGCCAAAATGTCACTTTTGAATAAATAATAACCAATTATTTGATTTTTTTTTTTTTACCAACTCTCTTTCCCAAACATAGATGCTTCCAAATAGTGTCATTGTTTGCTTTGTACATATGCCTAATCAACAAACATTTTCTAAATACACGTAATTTTAATAAAAATTACGAACATCAACATTGTGAAATTTATTTCTTCAATCTGTCATTTTGTAAATCTGTTTATTCCATTTGTAGCTAATCTGGAACTGTTACCTCGTCTATAATAAATGATGAAAAAAAAAAATGTTAAAACTAAGATTGGCTGTTTCTGAATTAAGTATTTTAAATTGACAATCAAACTCCATTATCAATTTTTGTACATGCTGGACATGTTTTCAGGTTCATAATTTAAAAATGAAAATATAAAACCTATGAAGGGCATCACAAGAAATGTCAGATTGCCTGTAATCAGTGTGTCTCTTATTACTCATTTCAAGGCAGTTCTAATAATAATCCATGCATTAATTATCGCTTATTCATTAGAATTTATTAAATAAAATATTACTTCCTGTTGTAACTAAGTTGTTGTATCAATCTCTAAGTTATTGCAACTCAATAGTGGATTAACTTCAGCGTCCATATTTATATTCTATTCTATGCCGATATATACTAGTGTTTGCAATGTGTGTTCTATACTTATGAATTCAATATTTGTGTTCTAAATAGAATTACCTCTAATCAATGCCTTCTGTGTAAATACCTTTCAATTAAAAGATTGTAGTAGACATCCCCCTGTATTTACTCCGTTAGTTGACATTGTGTGAGGGAATGAGAAGGAATATATAATATATAGGAATGTGAGGTTGCACTGTGGATTTTACTCAATTGTGCAGTGGACAAATTGCTCATTGGAAAATCTCATATCGATAAACAATCGATGAGGAACGCTGGAAAAAGGTCAGAGCAGGTAGTTGGTAACAGATGGCAAAGAGGACGCCAATCACTTGAGGCCTGGACAGGAACATGAGAAGACGTCATCTGGGAAGAGAGGCTGGCTTACTGCATTGAAAACCAAGAATATCAAGCCAACCGTTCACTTATATATATATTCATTATCAGTTGTTAAAATAAATTTGTTTTGTTAGACAGGAGTGTATAGTCATTTAATTTAGTTGTCCTATAGGCCTCACAATTGAAGAATAAACCAGTCAATTCATTCAAAGTGTATTTACTAAGTCCCACATTATATATATATTCTTATTGTTTCTTGTCACTCAGTGTCACAGAAGGTATTAGATTCCCGAATTCCCAATGACAGTTAAACACCCTCAAAAAGTCTATATTCAGTGCCGGCGTTTTGTTTTAATAATCACAAATGTAAATAACCTAGCTTCCCGATATAAAAGCGGAAGGCTATGCGCCTAATCCCGCCAAAACATCTTTATTTTACATTTAACTTCCTTAGGTTATTTACAAGATACATTAGTTTCCCTTTTATTTCAATAATTATTACGAATCATAAAATTATAATTTTTTTATTGGAAGATGCATCATGGCAAAAACAGACCTATAGTGCAAAACAGTTTATAATTAGCAAGAAAAGTTTTTCATCTCACATACAAAAGATACAAAAAATGTTAACTTATATCAGTGCCTTATATTCCTTTATCAATTGAAGGGTTTGGTGTAAGAAGGGGGCAGCTCAACCTTTTCCAGTATGCAGCAAATTAAAAGAAATGTTTAAAAAATTCAGTTTTCACCGAAACCAACAAATATTCAGTCTTGTGTTGGGTTATGGGGTATCAAATACAACTGACCAGAATACACACAAATGCATGTGCTCAGGAACGTGCAATATAATTTTGAATTTTGGAGCTGCCTCCATTTTCTCCAGAATTAACCATATTTCAGTTTACAAAACCTTTATTAACAAAGATAGTACAACATCATTGGCATACTACATCAATATGTACGCTTCTTCAGTCTTCCAGTTCTTCCTCAGCCTCCTCAGGATTGTTTGAAGCATCTGACGTCAACTGGTCCTAAAACCACATTTTGTTTTTCCCAACATTTTTCTGGCCAGCTCATTGACATCTTTAAACTTTTGATCTTTAAGCAGGAGGATACAATCATAAGCTTGATGAAGGTGGTCCAGTGTTAACAGGCCTGGAAGTCGTTGGTTGTGAATTTGAGCATTATCAAAGACAGTCATCACTGCATTGATGATGACAGCCTTTACAGATATATGGCTGTTCATAGAGGAATAGTTTGTACTTAGTGATTAAATATTTATCGTTTGGAGGAAGAATGATGCAGCTGCATCTGCCGGATTTCTCTGGAACTAGCGAGTAGAGCTGCTTCATTCTTGTACTAAACGAAGTGGATTTTTCTTTTGTATGTGATAGGATGTGCAACTCAATAGACACAAAGTGGAGCTTTTTTTTTTTTTTTTTTTTTGGGGGGTCGTTCCCTTCCTCGCTGTTAAGGCTATACGGGGTTTTCCCGAGCCATGGGGTGTGAGCGAGGAATTAAAAGACCCCTCCGGCACCAGGAAGCGAACTTGTGACTATTTTTATTTCATTCAGACATACATCAGGTTGCCGGGCAACGGCGGTGCAGTGCACCCATTTAGTTAGTGCAGTTAGTCCATTCGGCCACCCCGTCCTCCAATCACAGCTGCCTTGGAGCTGCCTCCTTCTTGCACCAAACCCCTCAATTGAAGACAATCACTAAAATATTTAAAGATTTCTCACCTTTATATCATCCAATTCAGCATCATACATATTAACGATCCTTTCATACTTAGAGTCAAGTTCCTTGACCACAAGTTCACGTTCAAGCAACGGTCCAAACAAATGAATGAACTGAAAACAAACAAATAAAAACAAATAAGCTAAAAAAAAAAAAAATCCTGTATTTAAAATTAATAATATTTCTTTACCTTAAAAATTTGTTCAAAGTTAGTACATTCATCAAAAGCACTAGTTATTATAGAAGCAAGTCGTGCATCAAAATCATATATTCTTTTCTTCCAACTGTAAGAATACAAACTAGAGAATATAATAATGATAAAAAAATATTACTAAATGTTTTTATCATTCAAATTAGTTTCCAACAATTATTTTCAAGAGGAATATTCTTGTAAAGTTTTTTTTTTTTTTTTTTTTTTTTTACACTTCTTTATATAAGTAACAACAACAACTTTTTTCCCCCTTTATCTCTAATGATTTAAATTTTTCAATCACTTAAATTTTTAGATTATTGAAAATGAATCAAAAGAATTTGAAAAGGAAATGTGATTTTGTATAATATACAGTATTGAAGAAGAAATAGAAGATTTAATAGTTTCCTTCCATCTTTTTCAACCAATATTTTTAAAAATATAAAACCTTTTTTTCCTCAGTCCTCCTTCTGTGCAGTATCACATTAGGTTTATAATTAACCGATATTAATAACAGGTCTGTGTTCATTAATGAAAGGAATCCTACAATTGTTTATTCCAAATTATAATTCATCAAATAACAATAACATTAGATAGGTTTATCATTTTTGTAAGTATCTGGATAAAAAAAAAAATGATCTTAAAATGTCCTTTGTATAATTTCACAACAAAATGCAGAGCTCTGCAATGAATAGATTGTCTTCAAAATAGAAAGGGATAATCATGAAAGTCCTTTCCTTTCTTTCTTTTATTTATTTTTTATGTTAAGAGATATGCTGTGACATATTTAACTAAAAATTAGTGAGCTTCTAAATGCTCCATTCTTTTTTTCCACTTTAAAACGCAAATTTCATTGATTAAAATTGTTCATCAAATCATATGATCAGAACTTTACAGTAAAAGTAACTCAGTAAAGAAATCAAAGACGAGTGTAAATAAGCCAGTTAATTTCTATTTTGGGAGGATGCATTGTAATTATAATTATAATAATCACATGACAGTGTTAAAAAAATAATTGAAATATCAGGTGTATTGTGATCATGTTTATATGATTAAAATAAATCTCATGAATTAAAATAAGATCAATCTTTATCTAACAATAATTATAAACAATGGTTAAACCACTGTTGAGCAAATAAATAAATTCAACTAATAGCAGAGGGGAGAGGGCCTGAAACACACAAAATGTCAATTTTTTTTTTTGTTAATCTCTTTTTGGTTCTATGAATATAAAAATATAAATATTTTAGATTATTATAAAGGTTCAATTTTTAAAGTATAACACATATACTTCAGCTAATAAATATAATCAAGCTCTTGTCTAGAAAAAAATTTAAAAAAATAATCCCCAGTTGCATTATTGTTTCTACAATTACCGTAGCCCCCTAAAATTAAATCCTATTGAATTCAAGAAGAGAAAATCTTTTTTTTAATTTTTAATAATCAAGGGCCGATTATCAACAGATCACAGAATGGCAACTGCTCTCTTGAGTCAGCATCCTGCCTGAGTCAGAAGTCGTCTACATACGATTCAAAGTCTGAACATCGAACTCACCCTGTGAAGGAGGCTGAACCATGTTATGTGGAGAAGCAAGAAAAAAAAAGAGAGAGAAAATTATGTGTTTAAATCCTTACTTCTCATAATCTATCAAAAATCCATCATTTCCAAGATCAGTAGGACTGTATTGAACGTTGAGCCAAGAGCCGTACAAGTTATTAAATTCTTCAAAAAGTGTAGCCAATCTTCCACTCAACATACCGCCACTCCATCCTCCAATTTCTACTTTTTCCAATCTCAGGTAATCAACACAAGTTACAAAGATATTCTAAAACAGGTCAAGGGCTTAATGAATGTGATGCTTCTTTAAAATAAAATAAGTTCCCCAAATGTTAGTTATACAGTAAAATAATTTCTAGAAAACATCACATATCAGCAATTTAAAAAAAGAACTTTTTCAGAACTATATTATTTCTAATGATGTATTGTTTTCTGGGATGTTCAGTCCCCAAAAAACAAAACAAAAATGCCTGTTTTGAATAACATTTGTCTGGCTGCATTAATTACAACTCTTAATTAAAAACTAACAGATAAATTAATATATAAATATTGGGCATTGCCATATTCAGAAGAATATGCTATTAAATACTTTCAGAAGTGCGCGAAACAGAAATAAAGTTTGGCCAGATGACCAAATGGAGATATTTTCGTAGCAATTGTAGGAAAAAAGTATCTATAAGAAAAGAAACATAGTTTGAGGGGTCAAAAATTACCTTTTTAACGACTTTAAAATTTATTTATGGCTGGTCTCATAATTTAACAACAATCCAGTGGGGCAAAGAGTAGCTGAAACTATCCAACAAAAGTGTGATAATGTGGAACAGAATTTTTAAGAGAGGTTTGTGTCCATAGCATGTTATAGAGGTCAACAAAAAAATTTCAGTTTGAAAAAGTGGTTGAAATACCCAAGAGTGTTTTTTCTAAAAGAAAACATCATATAGGGAGAGTTCTCCCTGAACAAGATGTTTGATGGAGTTTGTCAAGAAACAGACAAGTGTTTCATCGTAAAAATAATGGACAGAAAAGCAACAACTTTATTAGAATGTATCAAATATGATATAGAAGAGAGAAGCACCATATATTCTGACTATTTGAATGGATACAATACCCAACAACTGAATGAAGCAAAGCATAACCATTTCCAGGTGAATCACCGGTATTTTGTTGAACCATCAAGTGGAATCCATGCTAATTACATAGAATGATTATGGGGCTCAGCTAAGTGGAAAAATGATAAACATATAGGAACTGTGAGGCAACACCTGGATTCCTATTTTAGTGGTGGCAGATCCACAGAGAAGAGGACCCAACCCATTCCTCGCTATTTTAAATAGCATTAAGCTATTTTATCTGCCAAAATTAATTAAATGTAAAATAAAAGTGTTTTATATGTATCCATAAAGTATAAACTTATATATGTTGTATGTATTAAGTGTTATATATGTTGTATTTTGTCTCCCAAAATATATAAAAGTGTTTTGTTATTAAATTTGTTTTTGTTTATTTCAATTTCCATAAATATGAATACGAAGATAGGTATTATCAGTATCAGAACTATCAGTGTCCAGGTAATAAAAACTGTTCTATGAGATATACAAATTGGAAGAACATAGCGTGGTGAGATCAAGAATATAGGATAATTTTTTAGTTCCTAAGGATTGGAATAGAAAGCTGCAAAGAAGTCATTGTCTTGGAAACTAAGATCTAAACAGTGTTGCTCAGGATATAAGTCAGAGCATTTGGCAACACTGAAAATTAATCTTTTAAAACAATTCATTAAATTATCATTCAGACACATACTTTCCTAATTCTAAAAAATCTAGTTTAAAGACTTAATCTTTTTAGCATCCGTTACTTTTATTTCTATTATTAAAAAAAGAAAAAGAAAAAATGATTATAGACTCGGTGATGATGAAGTATAGCAAAATATGAATTACCTCAATATATTCTAGCCTGCAAATATAATCATCATATCTATCTTGAAATATTACATCATGGTGAAAGGACCATGGTTTGGGTTCCTCTCCTTCCAAGTACATACCAGGAATATCTTCTTGATACTGGATAAAAATTTTCCTAAATAATAAAAATACTGTACATTTTATGTTAATACCAGATAGAATTAAAACAGTGATCTCTCTCTCTCTTACTATATATATATATTTAAACAATTCAATTACTTGAAATATTTCATGTTATCAATAACTTGCTTCAATTTCGGTAACGTTTCTTCAACCTCACCAGCAAACATACCCGATGGATCAAGGCACTTTTCGGACTAAAAAAATAACAAAAACTAATGGACCAATCACTTTGAAATTATGCTAAATTGTTTATCACATTAATGGTATATAGAGCTTCTGAAGTAATGAAAAAATCGTAAACATATTAATCACTTGAAAGTATAAAATCATTAATTATAGACCTGCAAGATAATGTAGTTACAAATTTCTTTCATCAAAGTTATCATTTGATCAGTTTGATTGAAATGAGGACAATTAATCCAAATCAAACAAATGTTATAAATCAACGGAATAAAAAGTTCTTGAGCTTCAAAAAGGCTTGTTGCATCTAAAGCGTCGAAATGCTTTTTTAGAGTAGATAGGTAACGATCAATTGACCTTGCTTCTTCTAAAGCTGAAATCACAATTATATATTATGATTAATTTTAATTATATCCACTAAAATTAAAATTTAAAAACTGAAAAAACACTACAAAACAGCTTTAAAATTATTTTCTCGGTATATTTTTTGTGAAGATGAAATATAATAAAACGTTTTTTACATAGTTTAAAAGGTGTATAAAAGCCAAAGGAACCGATTTACATTAGATAATAAAAAGTAAATATATTTTAAATTACAAAATTGTATAAAACCTTTTTCAAAACATTAGAAATCATAGATTAAAAACTGGTTAGTAATTTAAAAAAAAACATCTATGTACATTCAAATTTTTCTTACCCAAAACAACACTTCGGAAAACTGACTTAAAAATGTCATAATAAGGACTATTCTCCTCTTCAAGAATCGAAGCCATCTTCCTTACTTTAGGCTCCTTTAATTGTGAATATAAATTCTCAAAATTTTTTAGGCGACCACTCCAAAATGCCAAATCTATAATAAACATAACAAACATCTAAAACTTATTTCAAAACACAAAAAATACTAAATAAGAAATATGAGAAAAGAAAGGTAATTAAAATTTCATTTCTTCTTTTATTTATTTATTTCTCAAATAATAATAAACTTTTAATCCAGCAAAATGAACACATTGTACAATAATAAGTTATAAATCTCATAAATAATTTAAATTAAGGTAATAATCTTATTAAAACATTATTTAATTAATAAAACAAACCAGATCAACTGTTGGTGTTAATTTTATTAAATAACTGGCTGAAATAAAATGTTTAATAACACTAATTAATATTCTATGATTCTGGCAAATTAAAGTATATTACCAAGTGTTGGAATCGGTTCTTTCTCTTTGTCAAAAAATAACCTGGCTGTATCTTGATAAACTTTATTCACTTGTTCACCCCACTTATGAACAACTAATTCTATATTATTCCTCAGCTTGAAGTCTCCATGAAAATCATAACTGGAAAATATTGATTAAATTGACTTGTTGATTATATATACATAAAACATAAAATACAAATCATCTTTTATTTATTCATATTTCTTAATGATGGTAAAATGACTAGATAAACAAAACTAATTATATCCCAAATTAACAGCATCCCTAGATTGGAGGAGTGTGAAACTATTAACAAAGCGGCCATGAGCCAGACGTGGAAAGCAAGTCACCCAAATCATAATCCCTATGACGATTATTTCAAGCTAACGAGAAGGGAACAAGTTGTCATTTTTCGCCTCAGAACTGGACATAACTGCCTAAAATCACCCCTCTTCCGAAAATTCAAGATAGGACCAAGTCCCCTATGTGAATATGACCATAATGAATAAACCACAAAGCATGTTCTACAGAACTGCCAGCATTTGGAGGGTGTACGGAGGCAGATATAGCCCCAACCTACAGACCTTGGGACCATAGGTAACCTACAGACAGGGTGTTTGGAAGTCTGGAGGACCTAAGGTGGACCACTAACTTTGTTTTTTTACTCCCTGACATAGCCATATAGAGGGAAGAACGAAGAAGAAGAAGAATTATATTTACATAAGATTGTATTTTTTGAAAAATATCTAAGTGAAACATTTCAGAGGGTAAATTAATATTTAAGGTAAGGGATGTTGAACTTTTTCAATTTTGGTTAGGAATTATTTAGGTAAAAATACTTCTTTTTTCCCCATGAAAATTAGAGATAAACATTTTTGTAAAATGGGGTATTCAACTATGAGCTTGGTTTTTGAGAAAACTAAAAAGTTTAATTGATAAAAGCGACATTTTGGTACTCTTAAAAAATCCATCAAAAGCTAGGAGATACATCCTCTCCTGGTGAGTTAATATTTATTTCGTGGCTGTTCACAAAATCATTTTAAAACTTTCATTCAGTAATGCATAAGGCAGGAATAAGCCACTTTCTGGACATGTTTCCCATTGATAACAGTGCAAATATCAACAATCAAGGTTCAATCAGATATTATTATCCATGATATGCCTATTTTCCGCTTAACTCAACTCAAGGTAAATTAAATTATTTTATTATTTCAAAATTACAGTATGATGAAAATTAGTCTTGCTTACTCTGATATAACATTTCCATCCTTATCTAAAATCCTTTCGATTCCCTCTGGCATAGGAAGAAGAGTTAAACCATCTATAATGCCCCTGATTCGAAACACTTCATCCCGCATATCTATTGCTTTCTTTTTGACCTCCTCTATTATACTTTGTCCCCAACTTTCAACTGCCTTGCCACTTTGCAGTATCGGAATCCAAATCTAAAATTTAAAATATTAGGGATGAAATAAACTTTATATAAATTAAAATTTTAACACTATGTACTGAACAAATCCTTACATTCTCTAAATATACTTGGAACTCTTCTAAAGGTTTAGGTGACATGTCTCCAATCAATAAAACGTCTCTCATATTTTCTGCAGTGAGAGCAACAGCTTCCATCCGTATATAATAAACAGATTTATTTTTAGTAGTTGAAGGAAATTCTGCAAGTGGTGTAAGAACTCCACCACCTGTCATTGTAATGATTAATTTCTCCATTGTCTCGTCATTTACAAATCTATTTATTAGAGCCTGAAAATTAATTTAATTGTGTAAGTATAATTTGTTTTTTGCACTAAGCTACACTGATGCAGTTGTTCAGACCTTATAATCTTCAAATGACATCATTTTCATCCACTTGTCTACTTTAAATCTTAAAGTCTTACTCAAATATTGGTATATAAACATTATCCTAGGATCGGATTCAGTGATTTCTTCTTCTTCTTCATCATCCATGATTTAGTTGTTTTTTTATCTATACAACAACAAGAATTGATAGATATTCATTTCAACAATTTGAATACATACTTTTTAAAAAATTTATTTATGATATTCACAACTGTATTAATAAATAAAATACATTTATATATACTAAAAAAAAAAAAATCTTAACATTCTTAGGAACTATGACTTTAAAGGAATTAATGTACACATAAAAATTGCAATTTTTAATAATATGATACTCAAGCTGAAACTTTAAAAATAAAATAATTATAAAATATTTAGAACCTATTTTAGAATGGCATAATTTAAGAATTATAAATTAAGTAATTGTAATGTATTATTGAATTTATTCTTAAGAATAATTGTCCAATCTTCCTTTGAAGATAGGCCAATCATTCTTAAGCGTAAATTCACACAATTGACCCACATCACCTGAAGCCAAAACTATAATATTGACTGAAAAATAGTAATTTAATTACTTATCTATCTAATGATGCATGGGAACATCTCGTCGCCAATATAATTTATTACAGAAATATTATAACTCAAATAACACATTTATTTTCCTTTTGAACATTATAAAATTGGAATCGAGCACTAAATCCTGCATCTGACTTTTGAAAATGTTTATCCAGCTTCGAAATTAGCTCAGAATATGGTAAGTCATCGTGCTTCTTCGGTACACACAAACAACAACAATATCAGCTTATACGCTTCCTCATCACATGAATTAAGAAATAACACCCGCTTGTTCTTCTCGCTTCCCAGATAATTAATTGTGAAATAATTTTCCAATCTACCTTTGAAGGAAATTGGATAATACATTACAGTAATGGAGTTAGAAGCTATCAAAATGAAACAAAAATACTTTGATATTACTATTAATTTAGTAACTTTCTGTAAAAAAAAAAAAAAAAAAAAAAAAAAAAAAAAAAAAAAAAAAAAAAAAAAAAAAAAACTGTATCACTACAACCCATGGTCACAAGTCTTGGGTTCAGGTCTTTGAAAGGAAGTATTGTTTCTCTGTCAACGTTGTTGTAAAGAGGTGATATGAACTAAATCATCCATTGATCGCCATCTTTTTCCCATTAATTAATTATTTAAATAAGAGTAACCACTTTATAGCGGCTGCATTACCACAGCAAAAGTAACAGAATAAATAATAACATGCAACAGCCAAACCCAAGAGACAGAGTTTATGAGTACAGTGCCTTACTCACTATGTAACTTGCTTCCCAATAACTTCTTTTAATAGATACAAATTAACAGCAAAATTCAATGATTATATATAATACAGTTCAAGAAAACAAATATCCCAACTCGTGAACAATAACAAAGTACAAAATCGTTCCTCTTCACTTTTAATGAATTCAGTATATCTGGTACTGGGTGAAGTCTCAAGAAAATTAATCAATACTTGTTGAAACAAATTGTATGGTTAGAGGCAGAAATGATCTGACATTTTTATACCAAGGAAGTTTTTTTTATTGTCCATGTTTCTGAACCAAATTATACAGTTAATCCTTAATAATTACAGAATTTTGTCAATACTGGAATGTGAATTTGATTCGGCCACGAATACATTACACACAACCTCCATATTCACAAAATTAGATCACTCCAACCTGAAAAAATAATGCTTAAAGTATATTTGATGCCATAAATTATAAACCGAATCATGACACAAGATCGAACCAAGTAAGAATGACGATGTAGGGTCATCACAAACTGTATCGATGGTACAAATCATAAACTCTTGATGAAAAATATCATATTTTTTAAAATAAGTTAATTTTGAACAAGGCTCCTATGTTACTTTTAGCACATTAAAAAAATATACTTGCCAACAGAAAGGAGAAATATATAAATAAGAAGTCTGCGGGAAGATTATATACAACACCCAACTTCTACTGATATAACAACAACAGAGTAAAATGTGATTTATTTTAACAAAAATAAAACTAAAAAAAAAACAGAATTTATTCATAGTTACTATGGTAACAAACACACTGCCAACACACTGAAATTATATAATTCATTCCATAAAATATTATTGGTACTTATAAATCAATTATGATAATTTGAACTCATCATTTTTGTTTAAAGATTTTTATATAGCATTCATATATTGTATAAAATTAATTATACATATTGATTTAGGGAAAACCAAAATTTTAGTCATATTTGTAGTTTGTCAAAAATATTGATATATATTAAGAAATAATTAGATGTAATGTAGAAACTCAGTTCTATACAACTAAATTTAAGAAATAAAGAATTTACATACATACTTAGTATTAATATGAGGACAATAATAAAGCATTGTACAAACCTTTTACTGGTTCATTTATTATGGTTGTTAATAAGTTAATTAAATGAAGTGTGCAAGCATTAACATCATCCGGTTTCTGAAAATTCATTGGCCTTCCTATTTAAGTTTTAAGCAAGCTCCTGAACTCAGCGCTGAGCTCATGGATGACATCAGATCAGTCTTTAAACTTGGCAAAACGATACCATCAATCAGCTCAACGCTGAGTTTTGAAACCCACCTTCCGGATGTTCATGCAATAAGTTGAATGAGACAGTAATAATTCAAGAACAAAATATGCACTGTATTATTATTTATTTATTTTCACTTTATATGGAGGTGTTTCTGAATCATTGCATCTCCAGTCATCTATTCTTAAATTTTTGAAATCAGCTTTAAATGAGCATTGCTATATCTTTTTATCTTAAACAATTCTACCTCATTGGAAGAGAATAGTGACCAAAAGGGAATCAATACAAATGGGAGTTTCTGATTGGTAAGGGATTTCAAAAGTTTCAGCCCAGAGGCCATACATTTAACATTTTATTTTTAAATTAGTACGATTGCTTCATAGTAGATTTGGAATTTAAACATTTTAGGCCATTTCATAAAATTTTATTTAAAGGTATTTTAAGATATCAGAATCGTTTTGGTACCGTTAGGTATCCGGGATTCTACATGGCCAGTTACTGCTTAATTCTAACTTAGTAAAGACTTAAATTAAATTACTATCTTAAATGATCTTGATATGACAAATAACTTTAATCACTTAATTATTATTCGTTTGTATTTTTGTTAGTTCTTTGAAGCGTGGGCGTATTTCAATCTCAACTATTGGGGGAGAAGATCACAGTGAAACTTCTTTTAAACTCTAGCGTACAGTTTAATAAATTCCGTCGAATTTTAAGTAATTGTATAGTAATTAAGTTCTTCTGCATTACGGATGATTTCTATAACGGACGCGAACGAACTTTATGCAAGTATTTTGTTTTTCCATAAGGGATGGCAGGAAAACAGTGAAGCTAATAAAATCTTCGTCAAAATAAATTACAAAATTTCTTCCAATAAACAAAAAACTTGACTTACTTTTTGAAATTTTCCTTTTTTACAATTTTAACATTTAAATTTTTAATTTACAATTAATAAGACTTATTGTCCCCTCTGGCTTGAATTACTGCTTCCACCCGTCTTGGCATACTTGTAAAAAGAATTTGAAGAAAATCTTGCACTATATTGTCTCACTCCTCCAACACAGCTGCCTTTAGCATTTCAAGGATACTAGGAGATGGATCTCGTTACCGAATCTTTCTTATGAGTTAATCCCAAACGTGCTCGATTAGGTTAAAGTCAGGACTTCATGCTAGCCAATCAATGGTGTGGGAATTTGTGGTATTCAGATATTCAGAAACACATCTTGTCTTGTGAGGACGTACGTTACATGCGTGAGCAGCGATTCAGAGCCTATGAACGGCATCAAAGGCACTAAATGATCTTGAAGAATCATTTCTACATACCTCAAAGCAGTCAAGGCCTCTCCCTGGGTTGACACTAACTCGATACGTGCCTCTCAAGATATGCCGCCCCAGAACATGGTAGAACCCTTCCCAAATGTCTTAGTTTCTAACGTGCAGTACTGAATATACCATTCTCCAGGTCTTCTCCAAATTCTTTCACGGCCATCTGGTCTCATCAGAGAATACAACTTTTTTCCATTCCTCCAAAGTCCAAGATTGGCGTTCCCTTGTAAATCTCAATCTCTTCACGGGGTGTTCAGCGATGAGAATATGACCTTTCACTGGCCTTATTGAGCTGAAGTTTGTCTCTCTCAGTCTTCTAATAACCGTTGACTCCGAGATTGATATCCCTCGAACACAAGCGATAATGTTTTTAATGGATGAAGTTGTAGAATTACGCTTCCGAAGTGCGTGCATTTTAATGGAGCGGCCATCTATGGGATTAGTAATTCTGGGACGCCCTGAAGCTGGTCGTCTCGAATGACTACCAATCTCCCTGTACCTTTTTATGGTCCTTGAAACGAAAGAATAGTGAATCCCAAGGCGATTAGCGATGTAACGCAATGATATGCCCTCTTCAGAGAGAGCGATGCTTCTGACCGAATCATCGTGGCTTAAACGATTCATTGTGAATAAAATTAATTGTTATAACTAGACTAAAGAGAAAAGAGAGAACAGACCTGAGGCAAACGAAAGATATCATGGACTGAAAGGAAATTTGAAATGAATAAACCAAAATTTCATCGTTTTTTTGTAAACAGTGAATACAAATCTCCAATGTCTCTCATTTAATAAATATAAACAAATTATGGATAACAATATGCCAACCTGCGTTTATATGTTCAATGCACGGAGGGGCGAGGAGAACGAGCAGACTAATGCGTGCACAAATAACGCGTTGCCTAGCAACCTGATAAAATGAAGAGTATGCGTTCCAGTAGCGGTTAACTCTTAACCGCTTAACTTTTGACTCTGGAATTATTAATCCTTTGCTCTCTCAACTGGCCCGGGAAAACCCGTATAGCCCAAAAGGCGAGGTATGTGGGGAAAAAATGGTACAGGTGAAAAAGTTAGTGTTCGTTCGACTTTATTTTCACTGCGCTTAATGATGATAGTAATAGCTTAACTAATGATAATGTCCAAATTTAAAATAAATAACTAAATTTAATGTAATTTAAACGAGAAATATCATGTTTAAATCTTAGATTTTTCAATAAATTGAAGGTCAACAATGACTAATTTGTATTTCAATATCTTGCATGTCATATTTTCATCTCTTTAATTATTACTAATGTTGACACGGAAAGTTTAATTAAGCTATGGCCATAAGCTTTTCTCTAGAGGTAGAATCCCTGATGTGAAAAATACTATTCACCATCAGTACAATAATAATGGAATCTCTTATTTTGGCTTAAAGTATATTTTTAATAACGTTTGCGTCAAGAAACTAAATTCTTGTAAAATGAAAATCATCTTTATATAAACCTTGGTATACAATAAATTTTAAAAAATGTACTTTTGTCAATGTTTTAATGTATGAAAAATTCATTCCTGAAATTTAATATATATAATCAGTATCACAAACTAGGCTTGTGAGACCAAGTCTTTTTATTGGTTCCCAAAGCTTACGAATGCCAATTTTCAAGTCATTTGGTAAAAATGGGATTTTAAAATAATTTCGGCTCTGTGAAGTTAGATTGAAATAAAAATGTATGCACTATCTTTCTTCGTTTTGAAAAATATTTGTGTAAAATCTTAAGTTCCGCGTTTTTTAAATATCAAGGGACAAATTTGGCACGGTACCCCGTCAGTGTGGTAATAGTCAAATCAATATAACGGTTATTTCGTCTCCTATCGTTAATTTAATTTTGATGACATTTTCAGGAATTTTGTGGTTTAGAGGTTTCATGGCAACTTTATCAAATTTCGTTTACTAATTTTGCTTGTGGATGCGCAAACGTTGATACGCCTATATTTAAAAAATCACACGTTCTATTTGGCCCAGATTGGGATGATATTCGGCGAATAATTAAAAAACGGCCCAGTATCAATTTCCATTTAGCAATCTACTCTATACGCATATTAATACGGTAGTATAAATCCCTTTTCTGACTGTCAAAAGCGATGGATTTTGATAAATGACTTACCAATTGAAAGGAAAAAATAAATTCTACAGTTTAAAATTAAGAAATAGCAAATGAATGAATAAAAATTTTAAACTTATCTCCTAAAGCAGTGAAAGTTAAAGTAGAATTAAAAAAAAAAAAAATAGGTCATTTTCAATTACAATTTCAGCGTTCCGTTCTTTGCTTTCATGTTGGTTTCCAGGTTTGGAACTCTTCATTCCGAAGACTCATAACTCCGTCGAAATGTCACGCCTCCCCTCAAAAATACAAAACCCCGTCAAAATATGCCTCCTTCGTAATTTTTTATGGCGCGACTTGCGCCATGAAACTCTCTTTTCGGCAGCGCTATCCTAAACAAAAATAATAAGGAAACCTTCTTGAAACAAACCCCACCCAGCATGATATCACATGAGTTTCAGGCAACACCCTTCTTAGTTTTTTAAATGAAAATCCACTCACATTTGCACTTTCTTTTTGGTGAGTAAAGTTCTCTTTTTGGTGAATGTAATCAGTTAATGAGTTGAAAACTGTCTATTACTGGTACAGTGTATCACTTGCGAATCCAGGTCTTTATTTTTATTTTGTATAAATTTAATACATAATCTTATTTTGTATAAATTTAATACAAAATAAGATTTGTTATTGGTGCCCGAGGTACTCCCATGTCTCTCACCACTACACTGAGTTAAGGTGGCTCTTCCCCTCCTTTAGAAGACAATATTTCCTTGGTACGTTCCTCTATCAAATCATCAACAACCATCGTCCTTCTTACGCCTACAACCTTCTCCAATTCAAGTCCTCAGTCCATTCCCTTTCAACAAGATCTCGACCTTCTGACCTCTACATCCCTTCTCACAGATCTGCCTCATTTCAGAATCCCTTTATAGCTCGCGCTGTCAATTTCTGGAATTCTCTACCTCTCAAAATTCGACATTCCTCCTCCATATCCACATTCAAATCCCTCCTATTCCAATTCTTACCACAAAAACAGTCAGATACTTGCTAAACTTTCGATATTATACATTTCTACTCATCATCAAACGATAGTACTATTCTATACTGTGAACTTCACTAGGGTTATTACAATATCTTCATGCTCTTAATGCCACTGACCGCATCTATTGTTTTTTTTTATTATTGTTTTTTATTATTTATTATTTCAGAAGCATTTCCACCACATCGGTATAAAAGATAGCCCGACATGCCCTCTATGTTCCTTAGACATAATGACAGGAGAACATCTGGATACATGCCCTGCATTACAGGACCTAAGATGTTGCTTTAATGAAATGGACAGCTTTTATGCTCGAAAAGCAAAATTGTATTGGACTGCAAGAGCACGCATGGCTAACGAAGCAGGCGTTACTTAGGCGTAGGAAAAAAAAAAATTTTTTTTTTATTCGTATATAATTAAATCTGTACCTATAGCTAGCATTTGACAATGATGAGTCTACATATTAATCATTATTTAAATACACTGATATTTTATATTGTCAGGTTTGTCTTTACTTTGTTAGCAGAAACACACCTCATTTTAAAGAAGAACTCAATGTATGTATTAACTGTGGACCGGTAAGAGATTAATAAATTCTATTCTAAAGTTAATATTCTAATGCGGAATTTAAATCTCTACAACTTCTTTTAAATAAATTTATTTTCGCTGATGGATAGCTTATACGATATGAAGGAATGTTTGTTGAATGATGTGAAATAAAATATGTTTTTTTTTTCTCGAAAATGTCAACATTTCCCGAGCATGTAGCTCGAAAACAGTTGAGAATTCGAAACAAACCAATAAAATAAAAGTTTTAGATAATTTTATAAACTTTCATTTATTAATTAACAATATTTTGACAAAACGCACCGTTTTCGAGATACAATCGGAAACCTGAAAATTGTGACCTTTCCTCTTCTCCTTCTCCGACTCAACACCTAAACGTCAGCGCTTTTAAAATGTTTGAACCATATGCACCCTGAACAAGTTTCTGAAGGAATAGCTTAGGACCATACTCACGCACTCTATACGTCATTCCTTGACGGGACTAGTATCAATTCACCGCCGAAACAATGTCAGTTTTAAAATCTCTACATTTTTCAGCGAATTTTATTCTGTTTGTAGTAAAATTTTAAATTGACATTCAACAAAATCTATCGCTCCTCAGAATCGGAACCTTATTCTATATAGTGTAAGATTACTTAGAAGATAAAATTTCACGTTAATGATACTAAACCATCGAATTCCTCTCGTATCCAATCCTTACAATCCAAAATCCTTTGTAAAATCCTCAACGCTCCCTGCTTTGTCACTAATAAAATCATCCATAAAGACCTTAATGTTCCATATGTTTCCGATTTGGCCCAATCCAGATACCTGTCCTTCCATAACAAACTGCAGAACTTCCATAACCCTCCGAGGCGTCTGAAAAGAAGATAGCCTCGGGACCTTCTAATATAGAACTTTAATTTGAGTTCTACCAATGGGTAGTTTCTCTTCATATTATACATGTCATGTTACCAATGTCACATTTACTTATTGTATTTTCTATGTAATATAGTTGTAAATTTCATTAAAATAAAAAAAATAAAACGTTAATGATGAACTATAGTCATGATCACAAGCGGACCCAGGATTTAATTTTGAGTGGGCTTCAGCCCGAAACCTTTTTTTTTCATAAAAATAACGATAATTACTTTGGAAAAAAAGAAAGAAACTAACTACCTATATGAAATGGTGTTAAGTGATTCCTTAAGTCCTTTTAAAGGTAATTACACGAACAATAATAATTTAAGAGACAATTTTTTATCATAAAACATGGTTATATTTTACCATTTTTGGAGGGGAGCGCTTCAGCCTGAAAGCCCTCCCTCTCCCCGTAGATCCACCCGTGGTTATGATAAACACAGGCGGATCCAAGGGGGGGGGGGCATTCGGGCTGAAACCCCTTCCCCCAATTGGTAAAATGTAACCATGTTTTACAGAAAAAAATATTAAAAACTATCTCTTAAAGTATTCTTGTTCGTGTAATTATATTTAATGGGACTTCAAGAACCACTTCAACACCATTTCATATAGGTAATTAATTTCTTTATTTTTTTTCAAATTAATTGTTGTTATATGTATATGAATAAAAAATCTTTCGGGCTGAAGTCCCCTCCCCCAAAATTAAATCCTGGATCCGCTAGTGATGATAAACATATATGCGCTGCAATGAATTCAAGCTAGCAAAACAAATATATAGAAAATAAAACATAAACGTCGTTTTCGATAATAAGTTTTTGGCAAATTGTTTCGCAAAGTTCTCGAAAAGCTTAGGTTTGGGATGGGAAGGGAGAGGGGGTGGACCTAATTAGAGCTCCATTTGTTTTGGCCTTCGCCATTGGGGCAGTCCGGTATGGCACGCTATTTGAAGCGGATTGATCAATTGCGTCTACTCGATTATGTTTGAACAGTTCCTTCTTTTAGTAGTCGGGATTGAGCAGGCAGAATAATCGATTAGCTCACAGAGGAAAGCGGTTGGCATCCCTACTTTCCTAAGCAGGGCTGCCAAGGCAAGGTCCCCGCTCTCTGCTTCAGTGTTGTTTCTCCAGTCAGCAAGAGTTGTACCGAGGTGAACCTCATTGGATCTACATCGCTCAGGTACCGTTTCATTTGTATTTTTTCTTTCTCGTACTTAAAATAATTTTATTTCAAAGCAGAGCGAGGATAATCAAAAACAATTTTTTTTTTCAGTTGTTTTCCTTATTTTTTGTTTATTATTTTCAATAATGAACTGTTATTATCAACTACGAAAACAATAAGAGAACGCCCTTTCCTCCCCATAAAATTTGAGTTTTCATGCTTCACGATTAGCAGATTCCGAAAATCCAATTAAAAAAAAAATGTGTGACCGCTTCCGCGGCTTTTTTCCGAAACTACTTGGGCGATTGTTTTAAAAATTGGTATCAGAGTCAGAGGTCACCCAAGGATGATACTCCAAATATATTACTTTCTGCCCTTTCGTATGACGATTAGCGAAAACAGATGAGGAAAAATTTGATCTTGAAAAAATATCCAAACAACCAGCCCTTAGATTATTATTACTATAATTAATAAGTGAATTGCATTGAACGAATGATTTTTATTTATACTTTGTACTAAAAAAAAACAACGAATAATATAAATCGTCTGAATATTTACACTAAAAATTTTTCATTTATCGGCTAAATATCTGAATATTGTAACAGAAAGTAGTTGTCAGCACTATCGGTTCCAGAATTTAATTTAGGGGGGCTTCAGCCCGAAAGCTTTTTTTTTTTTTCATAAAAATGGCGATATTTACTTTGGAAAAAAGAAAGAATCTAGCTATCTATATGAAATGGTGTTTAAGTGATTCCTTAAGTCCTTTTTAATGTAATTACACAAACAATAATAATTTAAAGGAAGGAGATGGTCCGGGGTTGCGATCATAAAAAGGCTAAATAGTGGTAAAACTATTTAGCCTTTTTATGACCGCAACCCCGGACCATCTCCTTCCTTTATAATGCAACGGTCAACTATTAAATATTCAATAATACTTTAAGAGATAATTTTTAAATATTTTTTTCCATAAAACATCGTTATATTTTACCATTTGGAGGGAGGGGGGCTTCAGCCCGAAAGCCCCCCCTCCGTAGATCCGTCCGTGATTATCGGTATTATCTTTAAGACTGGTTTGATATTCTATATATAATAATACTTTGTGATTCGACAAAAGGTGGGTTTATCTACAGATTTAGCACAGCCGTGGGAACAATTGAATGCAATTATGTTTTTAGATTCAAACAAACCTGAATATATAAGAAACAACTCGGTTAATGAATGGCACAAGAATCTTGTCAAATGAAAAATAATGTAACTTCCTCGTGATTGCTCGGATCGTTATCTACCAGGCACGTGAGCGGCACAACGAAAAATCCGCTTCTGTGTTCTACTATTGAAATTAAAATCGAAGAATAATCTTTATTATAGGAGCAAGTCTCATAAGAATAATTCTTATTAACTCATAAATGAGTAGTTTATTTGTACTCAACCTTGTGATAAATATCCAGTTAAACTTTATATTTGGTAGGAGAATTGATTTAAAAGAAGATGGCTGATATCTTTGATTTTGAAATAGCTGATATCTTAAGGAAGATAGGAAAGGGATTCTGACAGGAGGAAGAACGAACAAGAAAGGATTTGTCAAATGAGGCAGTTCTATACAATGGAGTCAAAATATCAATCGGTTTGGTCCTGGTGTTCAAGGATCTGATGTGATTTAAAAGGGAAGTATTCGCGGAATCTATGGAGTTATTTAAGCATAATGATAGATTTTCGGAATATATCAGATACATGGTCATACATGAGATATACCAGGACAGGAATTGGTCAAATGGGACTCAATGGTTTTTGGCAACTATGAAATGAAGTAGGAAAAATAAAGTGAGGGAATGTAACAGGGATTTGGAAACGATGAGCAAAGCTTCAGTTTTGTCTTCATTCAAATGAAACGTGATTCTCTAGGCTCATTGATAAAAACTATTAATATCATTATGTAGTTTATGTGGATCCATAGGACACAGGTGGATTTTCGGGGAGGGGAGAGGGGGGGAGGGAGGAGATTTCGGGCTGAAGCCCCCCCAAAATGGTAAAATGTAACCATGTGTTATGGTAAAAAATTATGTCTTAAAGTATTATTGCTCGTTTAATTACATAAAATAGGACTTCAAGAATCACTTAAACACCATATCATATTGATAGCTAGTATCTTTCTGTTTTTCCAAAGAATTATCGTTATATATATGAAAAAAAAAACTTCCGGGCTGAAGCTCCCCCCCAAAATTAAATCCTGGATCCGCAATTGCCATAGGATTGGGGAGAAAGGGGCTAGCGTATCCCATCTGTCCTATAGCACGGGCGGATCTATGGTGGAGGGAGGAGAGGACTTTGGGTCTGAAGCCCCTCCAAAATGGTAAAATATAACCATGTTTTATAGAAAAAAATATTTAAAAATGATCTATTATTGTTCGTGTTATCACATTTAAAAGGGCTTAAGGAATCACTTAAACACCATTTCATATAGGCAGTTTCTTTCTTTTTTTCCAAAAAAAAAAGCTTTCGGGCTGAAGCTTCGGCCCCCCTCTCAAAAATTAAATCCTGGATCCGCTAGTCTCCTATAGGAATCGACGCCTGTGGTTTTTAATGGTATAATGTTTATTAGGTGTTCAACTTTTGAACTAACTCACTTAATTTAGATGGCATGTTATATCGATAGTAGATGTGACTTCAATGGACATTTCTCGTAACTTCAATAAAAATAATAAATAAAATGTTCTTATCAAGGGATGCATTTTCTACCTAGTGTCAGCTTTTAGAACTTAGATAATTGTGAACAAAGACCGCACTGGCTCATTCATTAGTAGAGTGGTCCAGTTTGTTGATAAGGGACTTTCACCAGGACCAGAACTTGTATTTTTGTTGACGGGAATAGCTCAATTTTGCTTCCACTTCTATCTTCCTCTACGGTTTTCTAACAGTATTTTATGTAATATATGTCGAAATAAATATCAGATACTCATTTAATCGACTGAATTAATGTCATTAAAAGCAAAACGTTGAAATAAATCCTTGAATCCGTCTGTGCTCTACAGGATGACTAGCACACTGAGTTAAGATATCTTTCCTTAAGAAGTGTTGTTTTCACATGATGGGCTATTTTGTTGATGTGAGATGTTCTTTATTTGTTTGCTTGTATGTGATCATGTCTTCCTCTCCCAAGAGAGAATTGTTGAAATGTTTCCTCATTTATTATTTATCAGTATTCTAGAGACTTGTACTTTGATGCTCGATACGAGTTGACTGAGATCCAGGTTACTTTAGGATTATTTTATTTAGTTACTGGAATGTTGTGTTATTCTTCAGGTTTATTTTAAGGAGGAATATGGATACGCAGGAATATCCTGTACATGATTGTAGCTGTTAATTGCAATAATATATAGAAGATTAAGAATAACAAGATGAAATGCCGGAAATGGTTATTGAATTCTTATAGAGCCTGAATATTTACAATGAAGATGAAGAAACTTATAAAATCATTGAAGACAGTGTCCCGATTTAAAGAAATGCTGTAAAATATTTCTGACTATATTTTTAAAAACACCGTTATTAATCAGTGGTACAAACACCTTTTTATCAAATTATTAACGTCCATTCCATCCACTTAAACTATAAGATATTGTGATCTTTCTTCTTCTTCTTTTATCGGCTCTACGGCCCACTAAGTTATCTTCGCCTGCTTCAGCATTGACCGCCAGTTATCTCTGTCTAATGCTGCGATTAAGGAGAACTCGAAGACATGGTCTGTCTTTTCAAAGAACTCCAAATAATTGCGCCCGAAACATTTTGGCAGGAATCTCCTCTCCTATTTTCATAACTTGTCTAGCCCAGCGGTACCTTTCTAGTGTGATGTGCTGTATATATAACATCAACCTCCTTGTATATTGTTTTCAGCTCCGCGTTCCTCCTTCTTCTCCATCATCGTTCTGAAAAACTAGCCAGTAACTTCTTCTGAGAACTTTTCTTTTAAAACATAGTATCGCAGCATCTTGACATTTAGTGAGGATCCATGTTTCAGAGCCATAACTGAATACAGGTGTAATAAGTGTTTTGTAAATCCGTATTTTTAAATAAAGATAATGTCATCACAAACTGGAAAAAAAAAGGAGGCTTACAAAAATATTGGGCCGTTTGGCCTATATAACCTCGTTATTTTTACATGTTGGGTGTGTGGGTCACGCTAAACGGCCCAATATTTGTGTAGACCACCTTTATTCTAGATTTTTTGATCAATTTATCTTACGATTCAAATGGAAAGCAAATGGGTAGAGTATTTATGAGTTTTTGGTACATAATTTTTTTTTTAATTTCTTTATTGAGTATTATAACAATCTGTCTCTTGGACATTGGTTATAGTGAGGTAGGATGACATTCACACTATATGTACAAAAAAATAAAATAAATAGAACAAAATAATAATCAAAAGTAAGTACATAATTAAATAGGCAAAGTTTTCTGATCTCCAGATTGAAAACGTCCTAAAGCCGAGAAGTTTCGTAAATATAAAAGTTGTAGGTTATAATGGAATGGAGCTATTCACGAAGTCTTAGATGTTGTTTTTTTTTTTGTTTTTTTTATGGATATTAATAATTTGACAAAATGGAGTCTGTACAACTGGCTAAATGGATGGAGACCGGATTTACATATTATCGCTCTTATATTATCTTGCGTGTAATACCTTTAAAACCGATTATCTATCCGTTTCATGATCTATGGAATAATTTATTACAAATTAATGAAGCACGATTTGCTCTGCTGATCATTTATTTATCAATATTATTGGATTTCTGTTATGTCTACTAATTTTATTCTGCTTCATGTATATACTATATTTTATATATATGTTCCTCTTTAAATTATTTACGTATTCATATTTTATATATTTTCCTATCTATTATTATCACTAGATTCTTTTAATTTTATTTCGTTCTCTTAATCTCTTTTATTCTTTTCCTATTATTCTTTATCTTTCTGAACCATATATCCATTTATTCGAAGCTTCAAAATATATTTATAAATTAAAC